AAGCCCTAAGCCCTAAAACCCTAAGCCCTAAACCCTAAACCCTAAGCCCTAAAACCCTATTCAGCGATTCTCTTCCGTACAACAGCGAGATGATGAGTCACTTATCGCCTACCTCGCACGCTTTGAGCGGCTTGCGTACGAAGCCAATGCAATTACATGGCCAGATATTTCCCGCCTCGTTACCCTGCACCGTGGACTCCGTCCTACCCTCCGTCAGACCCTTGAAGAATCAAACGATTCCCTGTTTAGCCTTCCGTACGATGACTATATCGACCTTGTTCAGCGCGTTGATCGCCGAACACGTCGTCCTCAGCCTACCCAGATTCCGGCCCAGAAGCCATTTCCGCCATATAAAACCCAGACCCAGACCCAGAAACCTGACCAAGACAACATGGACTTAACACCTATCCAAATTGGAGCTCTACGAACTGGCTCACCTCTCTCTCGCTCTGACTCGCCTGTCTCTACAAAGTCTGGATCCTCTGATCGTACGATTCATCGCCTAGAGAACGACCTTTGCTTCTACTGTGGCTCTGCCGATCACTAGATTTCCGCCTACCCCTCCCGCCCTACTCGTACGAATGCTGTTGTTAGGCGTCCTACAACTAATATTTGAATATGGTCTCCCCTGGAGACCTGAGTGAAAAGGGGGGTATTGTTACAGGGTGACCCTGTAACACGTGCTACGTAGTGTACGTAGCTATTGTCCTGTCTCTGTCTGCTTGATTACTCAGCATCTTCCTGTACTTAGTCTGTCTACCCCTGATCTGGTAGTTCCCCTCTTTAGCAAATCCATCTTGTATCCTGGGAGCTGACAGCTATTGCCGTACGTCTGTAAAGACACGACAAACCCTAACACGGACGTAGATGTAATGTGAGCCAAACAACCGTAGGAAAATGCGCTAGCAAACAATGCGGCGGTATAATGTATTAATGGCTTGCTAGCTAGCTTCGAGGTCTAACGGCTTTAGCCTCCCACCCCGACTATATAGGGCCCACTAGTGGTCTTTACGCTAATGTAGTCGCATAGTCTCCATAGTCCGGCAAACATATACACATGGCCCTCGCGTACATAATAGTCCATCGTCATAAGTCTCTAACCCCTTAATAGGATGCTAGACATGCGTGGGGAGCATATTGATGTCGTCGAAGACCTCGCCCCACTAGTCATTAATCACCTAAAATACCTGCTGGGCAACGCCGGCTAATAGACGGTGTAGGCCCTTCCGATTGCTTAGATGCTAGATGATCTCCTTAGGCTTAACGGCATACTAGTAGTGCTAGCAAATGGCAATGCGTAAGCCTTTGTTTCGTCGGAAGTACTAGTCGGCAATACTGTGGTCGGGCATTGTATAGGTGGAGAGATATATATTTGGTGTGGGTGAGGATATTTAGGCAAGGTACCGCTGAACGAATATTAGAACGAGCTGAGATACTACTGAAAACTAGACTAGGTGATGGATAGACCCCCTGAATCCTACCCCTGAAAGATCTCCTCGGTTGATCTATTACCTCGACTTCGCGTGGCTACTAAAGCTTGCTACGGCCTGCCGGGTCGCACCCTATTAAAAAAACTGACAAACTTTGAATCCCTGCAACTACGATAAAATAATCGAATTAATACTCGAAAACTAAGCATATAATAATTAAATAGTGAATTTACCGCTGGTAAGATTTTCAAAAGCATTAGACCACGGAATGCTTACCCGAGTCCAACCTAGAAATAAACCCGAGTCCGTAAAACTATCCCTATACAAGCGGGTGCTGACTCAGCCCGAGCCCGTCGCACTCGGGTTACCCCCATGGGATAGGGGGCTAGTGGGAGCGGCCCGCGCCCGGTGGGGCCCCTAAGCCCCGAGGACCAATGGCCGACCGTTTCCGCGAGATGCCCCACCTAGGAAGTGGTCGGGGCCAATGACCGACCGATTCCGCCGACCGCCTACCGCCCCAGGCGATTCCGGCAGAACGTCTAGGGCCCGCCCCTCCCGCACCGACGTTTTTTGTTCGGGTTCCCCGACCACTACGGGCGGACTTCGCTCTGAGGACTAGCCTAGTACACCTTGCCCTAGCTAGCCTCAGGGCAATAATCCGCTTCACTGGCGAGGACTTAAGTGACAGGTTCATCTGTTCCCATCCTATCCTGGGTAGGCGTATTGGGGAAGGAAAACATGGTCGAGATTGGCGAGCGAAGGAAAAACGACTAACAGGGTTCGCGACGCGCATAGAAGTGGGTCTATTTACGGGGTGGCCCAATCCAAGGGGCCGGAGGTGGACATCTAATGGGTTTCGCGACACGTATTACCGCGTAGGCCTTGAAAAGTTTGAGATAATCTTATTCCATCATTGACTGCGGCATGAATTCCTCTGTTGAGGCAGTATGCCCTTTTTAATTCAAGGTCTGCTTAGACTTTGTCAGACTTCCCATAGCAAGACCCGAGTCTAGACTTCTTTAGTTATGGGCGAGTCAAGTTCACCTGAAACGTATCACTTACCAACCACGATCTCCTGGCCTGTCATGGAAGTGTTCTTGGCTATGCTGATGAATTGATCTGCACAGTCCTCTAAGTCAGTCTAGAAAAGTGAGCATGTCTTGTAGATCTGAAGAACCAGGTGCATATTTAAATACCTCTCGTTTAAGAGCGGCTTTGTCTTTCTGTCCAGCAATTACTGCTTCGGGATATTTCTTGCCCTTGTAGACAAAGTGAGAATAAGTTTTGAATACGGGAGACCTCAGAGAGACATACCCAATCAGTCAAAAGCAGTCCAGGCAGAACGGCATTCACGCGGATCTCAGGTCCTAGAATGAAGGCGAAATGCTTCATCAGGTGCAATGCTGCGGCTTTCGTCACGGAATAGGCGATGCTGCTTCCCCCAGTTACATGGCCCTGAAAGATTTTGACGACATGCTCAGTCAAAAGTAGCAAAAGATTTCTCGAAAATACGCACTGCTATTGACGAAGTAATGATAAAAACACCTCCATCAGGATTTTGTTTCATGATTGGACCAGCTGTTTGCATAAGTTGCAAATGCGCCATGACATTTACCATCCAGCACTGTTGAGTTAATATATGATTATTGACGATGGAATATCAGATACCTACCTTGGTCCACTCATCATGAGATAAATCATAAATATCGCCAGGCCGAGTGAATCTGGTCCATCCGGCATTTGCAATAATGATATCAAGCCCGGATAGATTTTCGACAGCCTCCTTGACGATACGCTCATTGTCTGTCGGAGCTTCGGCATCCTAAAAGCACAGAATTAAACAATCGTTCCCTGTAAAATAGCCATTGAAGATGCATACTCCTTGAATAATACAGATTTTGACCGGATACTTCTGCCGGATGTCGTGGGCGACCTGCTGGGCAGCATCGGCATTCGATCCATAGTTAATAGCAACATTACATCCTTTTGCAGCAAATTTCTCGCAAATAACTGCTCCGAGTCCTCTGTTGAGAAGTGAGCTTTGTATATCAGCAAGTCGATGGATATATGTCTAACCTTGACCCTCCCGTCACGAGCACATTGCGACCTTTGAGCGTGTAGGGCATCTTGAGCGCGAAACCGAATTAACTTATTTCTTGCTCTTAAGAAAATGTAGGAATATACAGATAAATCTGAGAGAACGATTCTAGAGGTATGATCGGGAATTTTTCGGTTCACAGCGAAATGGAAGTGAAAGTCTCCAGGTTCGAATGTCATGGCCAAGCAGGAGATTTTCAATGCCCACCTTCCTGCGGGCTGCGGTGGGGGGTTACCGGGGCAGGTGCTTTGATCCCTGACTAATCGGTAGCCGTCAAAACTTTTACGGTGTCGGGATACCTGACCATTCCGATCATTGCGAAGTATCCGAGGTTCGGAAACACCATAGTTGATTTCTGTACTCTCCCTAGTGCCATTCTTTTGCAATGATAATTCTGGGCTGCAGAGAACGCATTGTGCGAAACCCCTTTGAGAGGCCGTTTGCCAGCGACTCCTTTGAATATGCATATGCCTTCTCGAACTAAACCCGCACTCCAAGACGGTTACTGGCATTATGGCAAGTCTACCTCACCGGACCAGGGCTCTACAAAAGCTGCATAAAGTCATCACGGTGCTCCGTCCCACCTGTTAAGTAAAATCCTCACCGTAATCCAAGCTTCGGGAAAATGCATGGATTGCGAGGCGAGTGCTGAACGCGTTGCGCACGTCACAACTCCTCTCCCTCGCTACTCAAGCCTTCTCCCGCCCGTCAGATGAACTGTGGATTAGACATCTCTGTTGAGATCGGCCTAAAGCCCCCATTGAACTCATTTATTTCACTCCCTGGATGCCAGTATTCCGCTCTCTCAAGAATCTCCTCAACCCTTTGGGTTCCACTCCACGATCCATGGACCATATCTCTCCATGCTCTCTTGCCTGCCACTATCCACCAGCCGTCACACTAGATAGCGGCTGTACAGATGCTTCCGGGTGATTGGTACGGCAGTCTGTATCAGTCGCTTTACGATGCGGCGGGCCGGTATATTTAGCAGTGACGTGTTCGAGATAACGTCAACTTAAGTCTCGGCTTGGCAACCCAGCTTGACATGAGCCAAGGATTCGAAATACCGACGGCGCGACTTGACGGCATCCTTCAACCGCCGAAATCCGGCTATATCCAGAAAGAAATGGTTGATCAAAATAGAATCGTTGACAGCAAGATGCTGATCGAAGCCCAAGGTCCGGGTCACGCAGCTAGGACACTCCGCAATGGATGTCTCGTTTTTAGCGAAGAGGCGTTTGATGTGACAGCAGATCCAGCTGCTGAGCACTCGCTGTGAAATTCTTCAGCATTATTATTGTTGCCATTATTATCTTTATTTTATCGTACCGTACAGTCTCCTTCTTTTGGGAACTGGTGTCGTCTTGCACAGTCGCACTCCCCCTGGCCCCAGGCTTTTAAGTTTAGTATTGTAGTCGTTATAGTGGGCCGCAGCTGAGCTGGGGAAGCTACCCTCACTATTCAAATTGTCCCGTCTAATCTATAGACTCTAATTGTATGTAGGTCACAAAAGGGTTCCCCGGAAGGTGGATGAGGAAGGGGACAAGTAATTAAAAACATCCCAGGCACGCCAGGCAAATCGTTCTTCTAGAAAGCTCTATTTTGGGAGAAGAAGCGAATCGCCACGCTAAAAACAGTGACGACAACGAGCTGCATTGATCGTTGATCCTTTTCACAATTGGGCTTTCAGGCAGTTTAGATCGTGGCAACTACCACCCTGGCCGTTGGAGCCGCATATATGGCTAAACAGAAGACCATTATCCAGAAAATGACAGCTAGCAAATGTTTTGCTGGAGTCGATGTCGTCTGCACTGGTAAGATGGGAACATTGACCGCCGACCAGCTTTCTGTTCGTAACCCGTCTGTACCTCTGATGAAGCTGATGTCAACTGTATTTTTGCCGTCGCTGCCATTGCGTCATCTCGTATAATCAAGAGTCTCGCTACCACTGATAAGGTGACAATTATGACACTGCGCCGGCGCCGCGGCGCTATCCCAGGGCGCGAGAGAGATCTTGACCCGGAACAAGGTCACTGAGAAACATACGCCATTCGAGTGAAATTTTTATTTCTGTAAAAGAGTATCATAGGGAAAGCTTAAATGTCATAACGGAATGTGGTAATTCTAACCTGAAAATGGAGAGGAGGGCTTCTATTCCTAAAAATTAGAAAACCTTCTTTCCTCAATCCGGGCGCAGGAGAAAGTTATCATTATTATTCAAGGTGAGCAGAAATCGATTATTTTTGGAAAGGAGTGGAAATATTCAAGTAATACATAGTCCTAAATCGCTCATATATCGCTTTCCGAAATTTGATCCAGAGTCGTTTTCATCCGCTTCCGAGACTTACTTTGACATCGCAGATCCTGCACATCGCTGCAGTCATTCAGTATACCAGAGTCTAGCAAAGGTGTTGCATAACTGTCACAGGTCTAGACTAACACCAGTTTCTCGGATTGCGATTGTTTAGTGCATGTTGAGCAGGTACCTGTTTTCTGCGCATGGTGGGAATTTCTCATCTATAGAGCTCTAATGGCCATCAGGTGGCACTCCTACTTGATTTAGAGTTAGTTAGAGGAGGCAATACTTGGCAGTTACTAGGCATTCTTGGAGACCTATTCAATATAATATTACCTTACTCTTTGAATCGCTGGCGCAGTCCCTTTAAAAAATTCTTGAAATAGAACATTGGGCGAAGCGTTTAGCAACTTAAGTGGGTCTTTCCTTGGCTGGTAATGAAACAAGCGAAACAATCGTCAAAAGTGAACGAAGCAGACGCAGGCCAAAGAGGACCATTCCCGATTGCATCCAAAACAAGGTTTGGGATTTTTCCATCGAAATCAACATAGCCAACCTCCGTCCACGTTGTAAACAGCTCCAGTGATGAACGTTGCTTCATCGCTCAACAGAAAAGCAACAACATTCGCGATCTCGATCGGTTTTGCTTTTCGCTTGATAGTCTGAGAGGCTAGCTCAGACGCTGAGACTTCCTCGTCGGCAGTCATTGGGGTGTCCACGCAGCCTGTGGGAGGGTCAAATCAGAAAATTGAGGAAACAAGGCCAAATATCACGATTGATCCTACCTGGCGAGACGCAATTCAACCTTACTCCGGGGTGCTCCTTTGCTGCAGCCCTCATCAAACCGATGACGGCGTGTTTGCTGGCGCAATAGGCAGCAAGCATTGGCCACCCTATCTGCCCATCGACACTTGCAGCGGTCACCTACAATTTGAAAAAGCGTAAGTGAGTCTGAAAGCTTCCCCAACGCGACCTGAGGAGTTCAGCAGAATACGTCGCAAAGACCAAACTTACGATACTTCCGCCATCTTTCATTCTCCCAAGTTGAGCCTTGAGACAGTGAAAGACGCCTTTAGCATTCACATCCATGTTCAAGTCCCAGTCACTTGTCGTCGTGTCCATGAGCTTGGCAGCAGTAGCAATGCCGGCAAAATTCACCGCTCCGTCAATCCTGCCCAGTTCCTGGAATGTTTTGTTGATCCAACTTTCAACTGCGTCACTCTTGCGTACGTCAACTACGGCATAAATATGCCCTTTTCCAGAGAGCGTCTCGATCGCTTTCTCCAGGCCAGCTTCGTTCAGGTCTGCCAGCGAAAGAATTGCCCCTCGGCTCGAAAGGAGTTGTGCTATAACCAATCCCATGCCAGAGGCGGCACCAGTGACGGTGATCTAATAGATCAGCCTCGCTCTGATTTTCTCGCAAATACAAGCCTCGCCGACGTGTGGCAGTGATGTTGTACCTGCGTAAGATGGGTTCAAACTCACAATTTTGCCTTGCAGGGACGCCATGTCGACAGTGACTTCGAAGTTGTCGGGCCGATAGGTCTATCGTTCAACAAGAGACTTTCGGCTACCCAGTTTATACACCGTATTAAGGGCCTTGAAAGATTCTTATGTCGGTCAACTCTGCTCTGCGCGATATGCTACGGTTCATATATATGATGAGGGACCGGGCGCACTCATCCCCCCCGCAATATGGATTGACGGTGCGGCCTGTTCGCAGTCTAATTGCTATCGCAATCACTGCTATCGGCTGACTTGCCCTGCCCTTATCTGTCCCTGGGTGCCGTGACGAGCACGGGCGTTTAGACTTTCAGTGGCGTCGGAAAAGTATCCGGGAATTACGCGTTCCTCACCACAACAATAATTTCTGCGTTATTTTTTCAACTCAATTAAATCATGCCACGAAAACCATTAGCTTAAATTAGTGGTAATACCACTGAAAAAAGTGTTAACCATTATACCCGGGGTTTAATTATTAGAAAGCATAGAACTGGTATTTCCATCATCTAAATTACTCGGACCGTAGGAATTCTTTTATTTAACCATTTCTAACACCATTTAACAAAATATAAAATGGAATAATAAGGAATCGAGTCTTTGATCTGGCCGTTTAAAGTCTTATACAGAAAGAGATAAGCAACATATTACTTAATAATAAAAAAGGATAAAGTTTTTACCTATTCAGCTATCTAGGGCTGCTCATGAGTCGGGTTTTTCCGGGTTCAACCCAACTCGTGAGCGGCTCTACAGCTATCGAAGTGGGTTGAGTATCTATCAATCACCTTTCTTGTTATTTTCAAATAATAAGGTATTAGAGGGCTAAAAAGGGACCAAAGCTAACAAAAGAATATGCAAAATTACAGTTAAAATAGGCTAAAAACACCAAGATTAGACATATATTGTGTGGGGTAAAGTTATTTGGATTTATTGGAGTTCCAAATTCGGTGGGGAATTGAGGTTTCGTAGAGACTTTTACAAAATTAGAAACAAGTAACATGCCTAAGCGGTCGTCCAGTGTGATTCCTCGCTTTGCAGACCACAACGAGCCAGATCAAAAGAATCTGAGGGTCTACTCATCGGCATATTCTGTTGAGTCCGATACACTTCTACCCCTTGGTATATTTGACCCCAACCGCATCTCAAAACGCAACACGCAACGAGTCCCAGCCTCTGCCAATGCTGCGGACATTGTCCGAATCCTGAATGTGGCCTGCCGTTATATAGTCTTCAAGTCTAGCTCACCCAGGCTCAGGCTGGTCGCATCAAACGCGGAGATTGACCCTATCCTCCACAAGCCAAATCCTGGATTAACAAATTGGTAATGAATATCAAACCAAGTTCTTTAGAACCAAAACTAAACAGTTAAACGGCTAGCTTATTTGAAACCTGTCTTTTAACAAATGTATCCCTTATGCAGACACTCCCTACACAGTTTTCAATAAAATCTTTCTAAATTCTAATAATATGTTTATTATCAATAACAAGGTTGTTTGTTCATGGGGGGGGCTGCTACTCAGCTGGATTTTTTCTTGGCCCCTGAAATAGCTGTCATCGGCCATTGATTCAGAATATTAATGTCCTATTACAGGATAGCTAGTTCCATCATGAAGTGACCGACATCTACTTTCTAAGCGTCCACGGACAAGAGCAACATGGACATAGAGTCACTTGGTAGCAGTCACTACAGCGGAAACTGATTGAATTCTCTCACGGGAAGCTCTATCCCACATGTCACTATGGCTCAAGTGCAAAGGTCTTAAGATAGTGCCACTTTTGGGGAATAGAATTTTGTAGAAAGCCTTCATTTGTTTTGGGCAGTCTAGCCCAGCAAAGAGAGGAGAAAGTCACAGACTAGTGAAGTTCCACTTAAGCCAACAATATTTCAGCACAGCTCAGGCCTCTGCATCGAAGAAGTGAGAATAGATTATGCGAGTCCCATAGGAATAAAACCCTGGCTGCACTATAGTACTAGATCAAGAGACGATACGTACATTATATTTTGTCATACTGTTCTAAGATGTTCGGCGGAAAGAAATCTTTCGCAATGAGTGGTTGTCGGAATACTCGCAATGAGTGGTTGTCGGAATACTCGCAATGATCGCAGTGGACCAAACGCGGGGAAGGCCAAGCAGGAGGAGAAGGACCGCCGGCGCTTGTTACTCGAGTCCGTGCACATCAGTTTGTCTGCATACCCAGACCAGTGGATACTGTGGCCAGATAAAGCGCCAGAACGTGGTATATGGCGCCGTGGACAGAAGGAAAAAGTGAGTGCACGTAAATAACGGCCTTATTTAGGAGCCCCTGAACACTAGCAAACAGCTCAGCTCAGACCATCAAAAAATTTCTTGTTTGCACAAGATTCCGAAGGTAATAGCCACCGAGCGTTCGCACTGCCGTTGCATTCAATTCAATCAATCTAGACAGCGATGGAAAAGCAGGCCGCCCAGTCGTCAAGCGACGTATCTCCTGGGGCAACAACGTTCTCACAAATTGGCTGCATAGGAGCAGGCTTCTCAGGCATCGGTCTCGGTGCCAGTTTATATCGGTGGTACGGTATCACTGATGTCCAGTTCTTCGAAAGACGAGCATCCTCTGGCGGGACATGGTTTGCCAACAACTATCCTGGTGAATTGAACATTCTGCCCTAAATACCTTAGTCGGTGCATGACTCACATACTGTGCCAGGTTGTGCGTGCGACGTCCCTTCTGCGTTGTACTCGTATAGTTTTGAGCAAAACCCGAATTGGACCAAGCTCTTACCTGATCACAAGGAGCTCAAGATCTACTTGGATGAAGTCGCTAGCAAATACCGGCTTCAGGAACGAATGCGTTTCCAAGTCGAGGTTGAGAAATTTGCTTGGGATGACTCCTCTCAAAGATGGACTCTTTGGCTTCGAGATCTCCAGACCAAGCAACCGATGAAACACGTTTGTCAAGTCCTCTTCAACTGCGGCGGTGCTCTAGTCGTTCCCAACCCAATTGCCTTTCCCAAACAAGAGACTTTCAGAGGAGATATCTTCCACTCCGCAGAGTGGAACCACGACGTCGACCTAGATGGTAAAAGAGTCATCGTCATCGGCAATGGTTGTACCGGTGCACAGATTGTTCCAGCCCTCATAAGGGCGGGTAAGGTGGCCGCTGTCGTTAACATTGTGCGGAGCAAACAGTGGATTTACCCCTCTTTGGATTTTCACTACAGCAAGTTCATGCGGTGGTGCTTCAAGAATGTACCGTTTGCACTACAATTACACCGATTCCACATATTCCTTTACGCCGAGCAAGAGTTTTCGACCGTTCAGATGACTCCCAAGGGTGCTCGGTTGCGCGAGAAGAAGAGAAAGCTTGTCGAGGAATACATGCGCTCCGCATCTCCGACAAAGTACCACAGTATGCTCATTCCAGACTTCGAGATCGGCTGTAAGAGACGCATCTACGATTCGGGATACCTCCAAGCTCTCCATGACCCTAGAGTTACCCTGACCAACAGCCCTATTCGTGAATTTACTCCAGCCGGGATCCGCACTGATGACGGCATTATCGAGGCCGATGTCATCGTTGTCGCCAATGGCTTCAACGTTCACGCCCCGTTGCCCAGGGGCGTAATCATTGGCAGGGACAACTGCGATCTCACAGACTACTGGAAGAAATATGGTGGACCAGGGGCGTACAATGGAACAGCGGTGGCACCTTTCCCCAATTTATTTTTCATTCTGGGCCCGAATTCGGGCACTGGCCATACATCTGCTGTCATGCCGCTGGAAAAGTGCGTCTCGTCCCACCTCCGCGGTAACTACGAAGATTACTGATATTTGCCTTTCAAGTCAAATCTACCAAGCACTACGCATCCTGAAGCCAGTGCTTCAAGGTAAAGCAGACAGTGTGGCTGTCACTGAAGAGGCCGAAACCAACTACGTGATGAGGATCCAAGCTGAACTTAAAAAGCTTGTATGGCACAAAGGTTCATGTCAGAACGTAAGTACCAGAAGTATCACAAAATTCAATTTTAAGTGATAGTAGCCATTACCTCTCTTTTCTGGGAAAGAAATGTTCTAACTCTTCATATTTATATAGTGGTTTGAGAACTCCAAGGGTTGGAATCCAGCACTCTATCCGTGGACGCCTGCGGATTTCTGGAGACGATGTTTGTTTCCTATTTGGTCACATTGGCGTTATCGCGATGTGAAGAGTTCGAAAGGTCAAAAGCACTACCCGTACTTCTGGCGAATGACTACCGTTTCTGCAATGATTTCTGCATTGATTTCCATGCTGTTCCTTCTTGGGAAAAGAAACCACCTTAATTAGGTAATAGTCAGATTGATAGTTGTTGAGATCGCATGGCCGCGGTCATGCGACACTCCCTCTCCAAGAGCCGTCTAGATAGTCCATTTCGATAGCCTCATTACTTCTACTTTCAGACATCTCACAAAATCCATTGCACTCATTTATTTCACTCCCTGAATGCCAGTATTCCGCGCTCTCAAGAAGAGTCAGCTATATGCTTAGCCATTGTTTATCGATTCCTGCACCTAAATGTAAGATCTCCGAAATGGTATTGGTTTATGACAATACTGTATGGGCTTTATACCTTTTTCATAACAGCTCATGTTAATATTTGTGGAGCTCAAAATCAATATAATGAGTGACCAATGCATTTACGGATCACGTTACAAAAACTTCCAAAACTCTCTAGGACCACGAAGTGTATAATAAATGCTCAACGAGGCTCTGACAATACGCAGTCGCACCCCAAATCTACCTGTGCCTCCACCTCGTCATACGCTTCTTTGAGTGCCTTCACGATAATCGAGATATCTTCTGCGCTAATGTTATACGGTGGCGCAATAAGCACATGGTCCCCGTCCGAGCCCTCGGTCGTCACCGGGCCAGGATAGACTGCAACACCTCTGTGGAACGTCGCCTGTTGAACCTTTGTCGCGAAAAGTAAGCTCGGCCGAAGTGGTTTCTTGTCCTTCCGATCGGCTACAAACTCAATTGCTTGAAAAAGACCGCGACCTCGAATGTCACCCACGTATTTGCAGCCCTGGAACGTGGACCGTAGCAGAGTCTCGAGCTGTGAACCCATCGCCGCGCATCGCTCAACTAGTCTGTCTCGATGCAAGATCCTCTGCACCGCGAGGGCCGTAGCGCACGAGACAGGATGCGCTTGGTACGTGTGACCATGGTTGAACCCGGACGACCCCTGACGGAGCACGTCGATGACCTTTTTGCTGATCAACACGCCTGCCACGGGCGCATAGCCGCCGCCCAGGCCCTTTCCGATCGTTACAATGTCCGGTTGAACGTTTTCCTGCTCAAATGCGAAATAAGAGCCGGTACGACCCATGCCGCACATTATTTCGTCGAGTACGAGGAGGATTCCATACTGGTTGCACAGCCCTTGGACTGCAGTAAAGTATCCCTGAGGCGGGAGGACACAGCCAGCTGTGGCACCGACGACGGTCTCGGCGAAAAATGCAACGATCCTATTAGGACCGATGCGCTGAAATTCATCGTCAAGTTCCCCAATGAGGCGAGCCACGTACGAACTCTCGGATTCGTTCTCGCGCTGGCCTCGATAAGCGTAAGCTGGCGAGACGTAGGAGACATGGGGAAGGGTAATAGCTCCATCATAGGGCGTCTTGCGCGAGAGATTGGTCGATATCGACATGGAAGCTATACTATTCCCATGGTAGGATCTCCGTCTGCTGACAAAATGTACGCGTTGAGTCTGACCTTGCTCCCAGAAGAACTGACGGCCCAACTTCATAGCGGTGTCCACAGCTTCGCTGCCACTACCCACGAAATACGCCTTCTCAAGGCCGTGTTGGAATATGCCGTGAGGGGCGGACAGTATGCACTCGGCCAGGTCTTCAGCGGAGTCTGTAGTGTAGGTACCAGTGTGAACGTAGGATACCTTCTGCATTTGGGCCACCGTGGCCTCGATGACTTCTTGATTGCCATGGCCAAGTATAGCAACAGCGGCACCACCACAGCCGTCGAGGATTCTACGTCCATCGGACAGAGTCAAGTAGCTTCCAGAGGCATCAGTGACTTTGAAAGGGCACTCAACGAGGGAGCGATGTAGAAGACCCGGAGCTGCATCGTGTACGACATTGGACGATGTCGTAACACTGGAGGTGAACGGTACTGTATTGCTGACAGTGGCAGTGTCGATTTGAGTCTCTAGAGCCATTCCGTGGAACCCGAGAGCAACTCTCTGCTCAATTAGACGTCGATGAGGGATTGTAAAACGGTAGAGAGAGCGAAGAAAATAGGCATTAGACCAGATGATCAGTTCTTTTTGTTCTCGGCACTTTTCGGGGTATTCTCGCCACACGCAGTGGAGATTCATCGATGCTGGTAGTCATAGGCCGAAGACCTGACTGTCTTGCCAGGCTATCCACCGGCAAATTGTGACACCAATTCTGATGTGACGGGATAGTGGGCAACGCGATGGCGCTTTCCTACATTGAATTTTTGCGAACATGCCTAATCTGGGCCACGGCTATCATCTCATTTGGCATGCCTATCAGCAAGAAGCATCCCGATCTATACGATATCTACCGATCGCTACTTTTGCTTTCTCCACAATCTCGATTCCGTAGCAGCGGATCGGCATGGGGGCACTCCACACTCTGGCGAACTTGTATTAATTTTGTGTGCTCCTCGAAACCTTCCATCAATTACGTGCATATTAGACACCGTCGGGTATATCTCTGCGTCGATTCTCCAGATGGCAGCATCGACCAAGGACTGTAAGGCTTATTCATAATTCACTGCTGGGTCTACTGGAGCTACTGGTTTCAACATGGTGATGGCGGCAGCCGAAACTAAAGGGAGCATGAAGACAGTCGGCGATAAAACACTTGATACTGGGCCGGATGACAATAGTATCATTGTTGTTGAAGAACCCCAAGTCGTCGTCCACCTCCAGTCCTCTGACCTCCGCTGTGATATGAATGTCATCAGCCTGATTTGTTTTGGTTTCAGCCTGAGTAGCTCTTGGGCAGCTTTGTCACTCTCCTCGGTCATTGCCATTATTCAGGGTGGCACAGTTACTTTGCTTTATGGCACTATCGTCGTTGCGCTCCCATACCTCTGCACGGGCTTAACATTGGCCGAGTTGATCAGCGTCTATCCCACAGCTGGTGGTCAGTATCACTTCGCATATATCCTTGCCCCGGCCAGATGGAGAAAATCACTCTCTTACATTAGTGGCCTGGCTTCTCTCTGCGCCTGGTTCTCCATCTCGGCCGGTACATTCCTCATCACCGCAGAAATTATTATTGCACTCGTGATTCAATTTCACCCAGACTATGTACCACAAGGATGGCACTACTTTCTACTTTATGAGACGTTCAATATCTTTGCAACAGTCTACAATATCTGCTTGGTAAAAAAGTATCCTCGCATATACAACGTCGCGTGTCAGTGTTTTTCCCTTAAGCGGGCTATGTCCTGAAAGCATCAGTTTCAAGGTGGCTAATGTCTTCTGGCAGTTTTACTTTCCATGGTCGGCGTCATAGTAATTCCAATCGTTTGTCTTGCTCGAGCTGAGAGGAGGCAGCCCAGCAACGTCGTGTGGACAACCTTCACGAACAACACGGGTTGGACCGACAGTATCTGCTTTATCACTGGGCTCGTGACCCCCGCCTTCTCTTTCGGCGGCCTAGACGCGACCATGCACCTGGTTGAGGAAACACTGAGTCCGAAAAAAGCAGTATCTCGTGCAATTTGCTACACAGTCGGTATGGGTTTCGTTACGGCTTTTCTTTTTGTGATCGCCACGGTCTACTGCATACAAGATATTGACATAGTCGTGGCAACACCGACTAGGTACGTCCCCATCGCCTTGGGTGCTTAAGAGTCTGATTTTGGACTCACCATCGAGTCTACTCTGCTAGGCTTCCAATCTACGAGTTGTGGATGCAAGCTACGCAATCTACTGCTGCCGCGACAACGTTTATAGTCCTTCTCCTCACGATTGACCTGATCGTCTGTGTTGCGACTGTGCAAACGATGTCGCGCCTCACTTGGGCACTTGGAAGAGACAATGCCTTCGTCTGGTCGCACTACTTGGCGCAAGTACATCCCAAGCTGGAAGTCCCACTCTGGTCCCTTATTGCGGACGGTGTGATCGTGGGGTTTCTGGGTTGTTTGTATTTGGTGTCGACCGTGGGTACGTAAGAAGACGTTTCTATTCGAGACTTCAAGCCGCTGATCTTTCTCCTCACGCTAGCCTTTAATTCGCTTTTAGGTATTGCGTCCCAGCTCTTGCAGTTCGCATTTGCAATTCCCATCGCTCTACTGGTCTGGCAAAAACGTTCGCCCATCTACTTGCCGAAAGACAGAGAATTCCGTCTCTCAAACCCGGTCGGCTACTTTTGCCACTTTGTCGCTATCTGTTGGGCAATATTCATTTGTGTCTTCTTCATGTTCCCTCCGAACCTTCCAGTTTCAGCATCCTCGATGAGTACGTTATGCAACCTCACCTATCCCAATTGAATTTGCCACGCATGCTTGTAGGAAATGTGCGCTAACCAGGACCCTCTTTGTAGACTATGCCGCCGTTGTGGTCTTTATAGCGGTGTTAGTAGGTATCGGCAACTGGTTTGCGCATGCCTGCAAACACTTCGAAGGACCCATCATTGAGTTTAGGGAATGATTCGCCTTTTGATCTTTTGCTTCTATCACGCAAATATCGGAGTATACCGACATCTTCCAAGGGGGAAAATCTGTCTGAATCTTTGGGCCTTTGTCTTGAATTTGATACTTGAGATTTTTCCTTCTATAGCAAACAACGTGAATCGTTCATCAATGAAATGCCAAAGCTCAGAAGACCTAGTCCGACCCTGAAGCTACCGTGTGCCTTGAACAAAGCCAATTCATGCTTATCTTAGTCATCGTTCGTATAATGGCTGAGGGATCCGCGAGCCTGCTTCTTCAACCACTAGCAAAGACACCTGGAGTCCCGCCGGCATTGAAACTAATGAAAGCAGCAATCTATATTTGTAGCGCCTTTGCAACACATGAATCTGACAACGGCTTTGTCGAGATACCTAGACCTGAAGTAGAGTACTTGGCCTCTTGGCTAGAATCACAGGGTGAGTGAGATATGGAGAACGACTTGAATATGTGCTTGATCGGATGAAAAAGGCTGGTCAGCGATTCAGATTAACGAGATTCATTTTCAGAATCAAAATTCTGGTTGGCTTACCGAAGAGTAGCCAGGAGGAAATATGAAACTATACTAAAATGCGCAACCCTATTTGGTCCTGTCACATAGCCTACGATTTCATCGCTAGCGCTGAGGCTCCGAGAACATACAGCGATTTTTGAATGTCATGAAAATAAATGATTTCTACGGCTTTAGAACGCTAGAAACGGTGTTTTTGCAGCAGCTAAGTAATCAGAATCGGAATTCAGGCACGAGTGTCATTCCTACCAGAAGACCGCTCTACATCGCTGACCACCTCTCGCATCTCATCTCCCTCCATATAGCTGGCTAGAAATAGACTGGCCCAACTCTTTCGAATGTAGCAGTGGGTCCATTGACGGTGACGGTGTATGATGCATGATCAGTCGCTGCAAATCAAAATACTCTACCTGAAAAGCCTTATTGGTATCAAGACGTTGTTTAATGGTATGCATGCAGGTAAGACCTCTTGGATTGATGAGTGACATCACCGCATTGTGGGTTTTCTTTTTCTCGGTTTGATGAATGAAGCGACGACAGTATTTTAATATATAAAGTATTTCATTCAGAGCAGTACTTAGACATTATCAAAACATGGAAAATGGCCGGAGGAGAAACCAGATTGGTGACTTAATAAGTTCATGCTGTGCGCTGATGGAAAAATTCGATGAATACCGTTACTCTCATCCACTATAATGTTCAATGGAGAGTGTATTCCAAGCTGCTTGTATGGAGGTTTTATTAACTCATTTGATGGCTGTTGCTCACAATGAGTAATTATGATTGGTTGCCATCATTCCGATAATATGCAGAACCAACATTCGCTAGCAGTTAAGAATACTTATATGTATAATCCATATTTAAGGTGTATGGATATTTGCGGAGAGAAAGAGAGTGTTACCGTTGGCTATGCACAACGAGCCTCGTAAGAGGAAGAGAGAGCTAAGCTCAGCGCAGCAGGCTCCTACTAAATACAGTGTGACAAGCTTGTCTCAATCCTGGTCTAGGCTTCAGCACTGCATCTTGAGGCGGGCTGCCTGACAGTGTAGAGGTTGCATGATCCGTCAACTAATAAGGGCGGAGGAGTTCCGGTGTGTTTACAGTAGCTTTCAACGATATTCGAATTAGGCCTAGCTGCTAAGACACATGATGAAATATCGGGGTGGAATCATGCTACCAAGCCCCTGATTGCACGATCACGCACGCATGATTGGATCATGGCCTCTAGGTAAGGCGACTATATCTCTGTGTCGTAGCAGAAATTGCTCGACGCAGCTAAGGAAGCGGTCTAATTCAGCCTGAGGAGTTCCAAGAATGATCGCTACCGACCCTCTTCTCGTGGTCCAGAACCCGTCTTCCATCATTTCAAGCCAGAAAAGCTCCTTCAAGCATTCGTTCTCTCGGAGATCGGAGATGGACACGATATCCTCGGACCCGGTCTGTGTAAAGTGTGATGCAAGAAGCGATCCGCGTCCGGTCCAACAGCACTGCGTTCCCTTGCACAGCTCCTGGAGACGGGTAAGGAGAATCTCACCGCTACAATTGAAAGTAACTGCTTTATCTGGTGTGTAGACGCTCGACAGTCCTATATAACCGGCTCGCATCGTCAGGGTATTGTTGTTGAATGTTCCGGAGTGCGGAAGGGATCTCGAAGCACGGGGATCGAAGACATCCATAATTTCTTTCCTTCCACCGAATGCCCCAAAGGCGAGACCCCCTCCCAGATATTTTCCAAGCGTAGTAATGTCAGGCTGTAGGCCCAGGATGCTTTGAAGCCCGCCAGGAGCGAGCCGTGACGTCAAAACTTCATCCAGAATTAGGACAGCACCAACCTGTGATTTTTGAAATACACTGGTCAGCGATTAATATGCCTTTGTGCTTTGCTTCTGGTGATGCTTTACTTTTCTCGTCGACGCCTGCACAGCATGCAGAAATTCATCCCTCCCTAGAATGCATCCTGACGCACCCTGCATGGCTTCAACAAGTACTGCGCCAACATGCGGGTCTCCCTCAATTGCAGCGGTAGCTGCTTCGGGGTTATTGTATTCGACTACCACGAAATCAGTGTCATTGATTGTGTTCGCCGCTGGCTTATCGCGGAAGCTCAAAACTCCGCCGTGGTACCCGCCCGTGAAAGCAACGACTTTCCTTTTTCGAGTGAAGTAGCGTGCTGCCATTATCGCGTTGATGTTCGCTTCTGTCCCCGAGTTGCAAAATCGGACGCGATCAAACCCAAACCTGGAACAGATGAGAGAGGCATATTCAACCTCGTACTTTGTATGCGCACCGAGGTTCAGGCCAATATGGTTTAGGGCGGACCCGAGGGCGTCTCGAATGGTAGGTTCTGAATGACCGTAAAGACCTGCAGAGAACTCGCCAACCAGGTCTGTGTACCTAGCAAGCTCGAGTAAGCATAAGGCGGCAGACTCGCAGAAATGAGAGGGTTCTGTACTTGTGTCCATCTTCATCGGTGACTGTGAAACACGTTCCCGACACCATGCTTAGAGGAAACGGTGACGAATAAAGCGCTGTCCTCGTATTACCCCCGGGAAGGCAGGCAAGGGCCTGTTGATGGACTGCGTGGGATTTGTTATTGTTTTCAAAATACCGCTTTCGAGCCTCGACAAGAGTAGCTTCAGCATAGGCTTGGATGTGCGTACTGCTCGTGCTTGCATTTCGTCCCGTGTCAGTGCGGTCGATGGCTTTAAAAGATCGTACTGCGAGGTTTCGGTCCACAGGGCCCTCTTTTAGAATGCAGTCCATACTGGAGAATACTCAGACGGAGATATAAGTCCGGAAGGCAAGTAAATTTCCGAAGTGACCGCTCTGTTATATAGGGCAAAGCATACAGGGCGAAGCAAGCGACTTGTATAAACCTGGGCTAGTGAGGCGCCCCATGCTGCCAAGACACCGGGGAGTTTTTGCAGAGTTACGTTCCAAGAATGCACATTCGAACGAGTACTGGCGGCTCAAAGGCGTTTCGGATAATCCGTCTCGGCAGGCCAGAAGTTCTCATTGCGAAAGAATGGCACTAGAGCAAGCACAGAATCAAACTGGGATCATTCCGAACGTCGGGATGTTCGCAATGACCGGGATGACATATTCCGAAACCGTGTCCACCAGCTCAAAAAGAACCGTTATGGATGTGCAAACCACGTGAGATACAGGCGCGGGGAAGATGAGGATTGTTGGCATTTGTCTTGTTTCCTCAAAAGCGCATAGCGACTTGTTAGATTATAAATGGTTTTCATGGATTAAAAAGTATCGCATGCTTTTTAGTCTAGTGGAAAGTCCAACACGACTACCCAGCTGTCTGCGAGTTCGCACCGATGCAGTTAAGGAACCTTGACGGGCCAGTCAGCAATAGGGAAACGAAGCCGGTCCAAGTCATGACGACATTTTTCCAGGTCGTCTGCACAAGTTATCTTGTATGAACAATTCTACATAGTAATATAACCACTCGAGCGGGCCACCTCGCCGCCGAACATTGTTTTTGATGCCAAATTGATTCCCTTAAACACCACTCATATAGAATTATATTTATATAATAGATTTTTGGCATTGATTCATTTTATGATTTATAATATAATAATTACTGGTCAGGAGGGGCCTATTAGTGCGGGTATGGGCTGTGGGGGGATGAAGATGGGAGGGGGGACTCACTATCGGTAGAAGGTAAAGACTGAGAGAAATGAAAGGGTTGGTAATGCCAAACTCAGTATTTAAATTAGTTAGCCAATCAGAACGGCTTCGTGATCCATTCTCTACACCTGGAAAATAGATTTTCCCGCCGGGTGTAGCTTGACCCACCAGCTACTGTCGACCTGACCTGCATCCTGCGTGCAGACTACATCTCCCAAGCGCTGTCGACATACCACTTTCTCGTAATTCTTACTGATCTGTAGCATGTGCGCCTACCACGCAAGGCAACATGCGGTCTAGGCCTTCGTGTTATTGGTGTCGGTACGTCGCTTCCAACCTTGGAGGTGCTCTTTTGCTAATCAGGATCATGGAAACAGAAGATCTAAAGTCCGATGTTCACATCATGATGGTGAAAATCCATGTCGGCTTTGCCTCCGGGCGGGTCGTTCACGTGATCAATGCGTCCTGGAAGAGCTTATTCCAAAGTCAAGAAGCGCACGCAGACAAGCTGCCAGGGCAGCAGCGAGCCATGTTGCTTCACCCGAAGTCCCTGATGTTCCAGCCGTAACAGCTACGACAAACGCTGCCCCACAGGCCAGCTCTGCCCGTTCCCATTCATACTCCTACACCAACGAGCCTGTTTTTTGCGACGTACCGGATCACATTGTGACCGAAGCAGTCGAGATCTTTGCGCGCAAATTTCCTGAATTCAGCTTTATACACATTGCCGATTTCCTGGATCAGCTCCGAACCTCGCAGAGGCGATCACTTGTCATCAAGCTGGCCGCTATCTTCGCATTGTGTGCCAGATTCATACCCTCAATATCGAGCGAATACAACAATTGGAACGCGACCAGCCAGGATTTTGCCACCTTCGTCCAGCAGAATCTATGGCCGCAAATCGTGCAAGAGCCGGAGATTGAAATGGTCCACTGTCTCCTTTTGATTGCGCAATATGAATGGGGCGAAGGAAACAGCTTCTCTGCGTGGATGTATACTGGCAAGCACCCCTGAGCTTCGGGACAATTACATATAAAATGGCACACTAACCATTGGCGTACACTGTCTTAGGCATGGCGATTCGCATGTTTCAAGGCTTACAAGCCGCTTCAGACACGGCCTTGACGTCTCAAGGTCATGCATCCAAAACTACACAGTTGCGAAAGATGGTATGGAAGCGCGAAATCCAGCGACGAACGATTTGGGCCTGCTTTATCATGGATCGAACGATGAGTTGTGGTAAAGATCGCCCATCGAGCCTGGACATAACTGCAATGAAAATACACCTACCTGCGAGTGAAGATGACTTTGATCTTGGAATTACACCATCCGAGTCTATCACATACAATCAGCTTATAGATCTGAATTCGACCGATATTAATGGGAGACTTACCATTGCTGACTACTACACAATCACGATACGAAGTCTCGATATTTGGTCACACACGTGCAAGTGGATGGCCGACGGTGGCCGCCGGCAGGTCTCTGCCCTTGGAGCGTGTCCGTGGGAATCGGGCTCTACATGGTATCAGATCCAGACCGAGTTGGACCAGTGGCGGGATATGCTACATGTTCGACTAAAATACCCGGAGACGCCCCTCTGCATATATGTTCACAGGCGGCAGGGAGAGCGTTTTGCGTTTGTGAATCTGATCTACTATCTAACGTACGGTGAAATCTGGTTCTCAGCCTGTTCAACAGATGAATGCTGACTTCAGTACTTCATTAGTGTACTGATTCTTTATCGGGAGTATATACCATTCATCCCCTCAGATCGCCTCGGGCTGAGAGGGCCGGTCGAGCCTCCTCTACTGGTCAGAGAAGCACCTCCGGGATGGTGGAGCGAGTATTCAGCGATCTTATTCAACGCAGCCGCGCAGATATCGACACTCTTGGCAGAGATGAAGGCCGCTAACATACCTTTCATGACTCCGATTGTAGGCTACAGTGCTTTCTCTGCAGCAAGCATGAATGTCTACCTCGCAGCTTTTCCGTGGGTGCATCCAAATTCAAGTGAAAGAATCTGTGCTGCCGAACTCTCACGTCAAGATCTAGAGTATCTTGGTGATTTTGCTAAATTATGGCCGTTAGGAAATGCTTGGGTGAGTTCTGTCACTGTATTTTCTTTTGTCTCTGTCCGTTAAGCATCCAGTGCTAACCTAAAGCCATCGGGCTGGTCCTTGTTAGCTTCAAGTGGCCCAGCAAATCCAGAAAATGTACAGCCAAGTCAAATCTAGAAACGATTACTCACAACATCAAAGCCACATCATCTATTTGAGAAAGACTATTGAACAGTACGGATCCTTTCCTGTGTCTAACTCTGACGACGTCGACGATCAACGTGGCGACGTGGATACATCGGCACTTGAACCGCACTTTTACCCGACTAACACACATGACAACGCGGGCAACAACTTCGTGCAACCACACGGAGAAACAGCGATGGATAGCTATCATCAGCTGATGTACAGCGATGGTTTGGGTGGAGGGCCGCCAGAGAACTCTGGCAGTATCTTCATCAATGACTGGAGCACATGGGGTATTGAATATTTCACGGGTCAGCAAGTAGCGGACACTTTTCAGTCTGTCTGACCCATTCTGGTTTGAGTAAAGTTGATGTGAACCCATTACACTACAGTACGGTTTTGTGAAGAATAGGAGTATTGTCAGCGTAGCTGTGGAATCATAATACGCCTGTATTGCAGAGAACTCGCTTTTAGCATTTGTACGAAACAACTTGAAAGGCGACTTTAATGGAGTCAACACGATCTCTCCCTAGATGCTCATTGCATAGAGTAAGACATTCCAAAGAAAGGTAAAAAGAAATGGATATAGAGCTTTTATGGAAAGAAGGTCTGCAAATATCAAGTTTGACAACTTTGAAACCGACAATATGCCTCTGTGAAACGCGGGACTCCCGACATAGTCATCTCAATGCTTGATGATGCCTACCCCGGTTGGCACTGAAGCTAAACCTTTAAGAATTATCTAGATGGATTCTATTGACATTCTCTGGCCTTCTTGACGTAGTGATAAGGAATATACTAATTAGGAGTAATTATAGGTGAATATGTGAACCAATGCCTAAGTATAGAACAGGGCATGCTTTCTGCCTTGAACACTATCCAAACGAGAAACGAGGACGGTTTGACATGCGCGCGATACGTATGAATTGTGCGGAAACTCCTCATTCATTACTAGTCAAATTTAGTTGGGTATGCTAGGGCCTCCTCCAAGGAGGCCCTGGCCACGTATAGTATATGTAAGAGTGTTCATGTATGGAATCGCGGCGCAGGCCATTGCTTAAGTTGGATGTAGCTAGTTCAATTCACATTAATCGACGACACTGGTTACATGTAATTACAATCTATTTCGGCACAAACGCCATAGAGTGCAGACAGACTATAGGGCGCAAACAGACTCGAGAGTGCGCGGATTCTGGAAACGCGATAGTTTAATATAGGGAAATACCCCTTTCACCGTTGACGTAACTAGCTAAGGTTCTTTTCGGACCATCTGACCATAGTAGGACCTAGGAAGATCCGTGGTTCCCGTCGATCTTACGTCGCTATAGTCTCTAATTTAACCGTGGATACCAAGTTCCTATTAGGAACAGGTGGACTGTGAATTATATGGGACAGGGTCTTTCCAAGTAACATCCTCAACGCCAAGAATTTTATATAATGCACTAACTATATGTGTATATATATGTATGTGACGGTGGTGTATATTCTGGTGAATGCTGCAAATGATGTATATTGAAAACAAACTGGATGGTGCTTAAAGTCTGATAGGATGTATTGGAAACCCCCTGAATGCTACCCTGTATTCTTAGCTCGAACTATTGACTGGGAGATATGTGATTACTTGTTGGTGGTTAACCCCTAGTGGTCTCTAAAGCGTTGTCCGACCCGTTGGTCGCACCCTATCAAAAGATTAAGCTGATTTTGGATCCCTACAGCCACCCTTTAATAATGGAATTATGGTCTAAGGTTCGGGAGTTAAATGTGGGCATCAATGAATATAAGAACGTCTGACTACAGAATGCTTACTGGGACGTGGATACGAAGGCTACTGGGGCTTGGGTCGGCGTTCCATTACTTAAGGAATCTCTAATCTACTGGACCCAGCCTAATCCTAGTAACCCCCATGGGTAGGCGTTCCCTATAGGGGACTAGAACATCTTTAATAGCCTTCCGATAGGTGTCGCGCCATGCCTTATCCTAGTCCTTAGACAAGAAGAATTGAAACTTGTTCGTCGGCGTAAGCATTATGATACGTAGATGCGCCCTTGTATATGGTCCGTTTAAGAATAATACTCATCGAGTTTCAATCGACTAGCCTCGAGTGCTTCTAGCATTTGTTTTTTCTAGGGAATACTTTATCGACGAAGCTATTTTATTGACTACTTAAGATGCTTAAAGAGTTTGTTGTAGATCTTAAAGACATAGTGTGCTGTGACATCTTGGGTTTTGCTAAGCTAGGTCGTATAGATAAAGAATAGCTCTATAATGTAGAGAAAGTAGTTATTCTAGTGCTATTCTTCATCGTTGATTATGAGATCTTTACGTTCATACTCCTTGTAAAAAGGAGTAAAAATGACCTAACGCCGCTTTGCGCGACGGAGCATTAGGAATGTAGAATTCCACTAAGTCTTAACGTCCTAGATTAGCACGAGTTTTTTTTCTGTTGGCTAGATATTATAAAATGTGTGCCGGTGCTGTGGGCTTGTATTCACATAGATTGTAAGGTATCTTACCTTGTTTACGGTTGTAGAAATCTTTCACTTTTTAGATTGAGCATTTGCACGAGCTAGTAAGAATTGTTCATCTATCTACTATGTCTTAGTAGTTTCATTATGCGGAACTACCTTGATTTTTCTAAATAGCTAGTTAAGGCTTAATTGGATAACATGAGTAAGGCATATAATTCGGATGACATAGGTTTCGTCTAGAAATGCTTGCTAGAGAGCATTAGTCAAAGTCTTATTGTTAGATGTATTGTCGGTTGTTAATCTAAATGTCCAACCTTGTATTTCATGCTCCTAATAGGTATCTATGACAACAATACTTAGGTTTACACTAGAGTATGTCTGTGTCCCATAAAGTGGTTTAAAACTAAGTAACACCTCGTAATATACCTAGTCTACATCGATGAAATAGCTAGTGATCGCTATGAACGCCTGATTGAATAGAGGGGTCTACCAATTAAGAGCGATCGATAGCGTAGTATTATAAGGGAGTTTGCGAAAGATATCCTACTATCGTTCTTTGACCGTGGTTTGTAGTCGACGTCGGATAGTAGTTGCGGAAGGAACATAAGGAGGCGATGGGGCAGACTAAGTCATTCGAACTAAGCTTAAGAACTTAGGATACTCAATATGATGAAAATGAAGATGGATAATAGTAATGTACTATAGAATCTCCTCTTCCTAGATCTCCTAAGAGAACCCTGATTGAACGAGATGATCCTAAAATTCTCTAATGGAATTAGTGAAGAGGTAAATTCAAAATGAATATATAAACTAACCGTTTTCTGTAGAAACCCACTGATTTCTGCCTTTAGGCCTTTTGCGGCCCTTTGGTTGGCCGCACTCTTAATATACTTGACTATTGTTAAGGTGCCCTAACGCTGCCTTTTGCTTTCATCTTTAGAGATCAAATTAGATAGATACTCAGGAACCACTCTATAGCGCCTATATATAACCTTTAGCACCCTATTCATACTATGTGCGACTTGGTTAAAATGAGTCCAAGCGGCCGATTGATGGTTTGAGTCCCAACGAATATTACTCTTGCTTCTATAATCTGTCTGAAGCCACTATTCAACCCAATCGTTATGGGACATCTTGTCGTAGAGAACTTATACTTTTCGTCGATTAGGGACAACGTGTGTAAGGGAGGAAGGGACCGTAGGTAGTAAACTTAGTCGACGAAAGTCTAAATAACGGGAATCGAACGTCTACTAGCTACTAGAAGCTTCCAGAGTTAAGTGATGTAGATTCGAGTGCGGAAGATAGCCGAGGTTGTCTATTTCACTATCATAAAGAGACGAAGCAGAGTCAGATTGCTAGCTTTGAGACATAATGGCTAAAGGGGAGTAAATGGCTATAGAAAGGACTACAAAATAGAGAGTAGGAGAGGGGGACACGTATAGAATTAGGGGAATGATGTTCACTTAGTTATAAGTAGGGGCTCTGATAGACTAAATCAGTGTATCAAAAGAAGACATCCTTGCTAATTGGTAAGGAGATAGAATCGTAGTGGGTCTAATCTACTCAACCCATTAGAACCCATTGAAAACCCGCTAAACCACATCGAGAACTTGCGACGACCCATCGAAAACCAGCAAGAAACCCATCCCTAACCCATTCCCGCCATTCTTAAATCCCTTTTTTTTCCCCCAACCCTTATAGATCTATTCATGTGAACACGTAGGCTTAGTCTACTTAGTGACTTTGATTTTTAACTTGTCGTATACTCATCAAAGTAGTAAACAAATTTTAATTTCATAACAGCGATATTTCAAGGATTTGATTGATATCTATGACTTAGTCTAAATCAGTTAAAATAACTATTCAAGTGTAAATTACAATATGGGCATGAAGATGGATCGGCTTTGCTTTATATTTAAAATATATTTCCGCGTCTACGACATTAAAAATCTAAATACTAGTAAAGCATTAACGCAATAAGAATATAGGCTTCTACTTTAGCCTAAATAATCATTTTTTTTAATAATTAAACTAGGATACAAATAAATTTCTTAAGATTTCATTATATTAAGATAATTGACTACGATCTATCAAGGTCATGACGAGAACAGTATTAAATAATAGCGTTTTATTTGGATTAGAAAGCAGTTTTAGACCCTCGAGCTTGGGAAGACCAGTCGTCCCAACCGAGTCCCTCCAACCAAAGCCCAACCATGGGGCCTTCGTCCCTGCACCGAACCAGTCGCGCTCTGTCTACATCATCAGTAGACTTCCAGCTTAATGAGCCTACCTCAACCTCTCCGAGCGACTTCCTCTACCTGGGCCACAGCAGGTCCAAAATTGTTTTATGAACGCTAAGACCTCTATGTTATGCAAAAATAGGCTTTGATAGGTATTCCTTAGGTACCCATTGCGGGTTATAGGTCTGGTTCGGGTTAGCGAGTCTCAACCCGAACCCATCGCGGGTCGGGTAATAGGTCCAAGGTTTGGACCCATTTGTGGGTTCTACCGAAGCCTACAGTGCTAGAGATAGCTTTGCACATAGCGGTAGGCTTTAGATGGTGGTTTTTTAGTGTTCGGTAACAAATTGTTAAGGATCAGACTAAATTGTATCAATTGATAGTGTGTCCCAATTGATAGTGTGTCCCATGCACAAGAAGGATTCATTAAAGAAAGAAAGAAAGAAGAAAGAAAAGAAGAAAGAAAAGAAGAAAGGGGAAAAATGATGTAGGGAAAAACACGGCAGAACGCAAAGCCGGTCAGCAGTCACGAAGCTTCAACTGAGTACAACAATATTAGGACTTCGTACGAAGATCCCATAACACCCCATGGTCAATGGAGACGCGACACGACGCGTGCGTATGATCGATTTGAACTGGATATCAAATCCAAGGGATCGATCCGATCTATCAGATCGACCGGCAGCCCGTAGCGGCCACACACAGGTGAAGGTTAGCGTCGCACCGAGCGGCCAATGTGGTCGCGTACATCGCCATTGGACCCCTGGATGGGAATGACCCCGGGGAGTAGGGGCTAGCGATTAGTCTTAGAATCATATTGTGTCGCACTAGGAGACATACTATGAGCCTCTATTGCCCGAATCTATAGTACAACCAGCGCAGGGTATGGTGAAATTACCCTGACACTAGTCAGGGGCCTATAGTCCTTTTTCGTCTAGTGGTATAGCATTTCCCACACAATCTTCTTTTCACCAAAAGACGAATCTTACTCTTCGCCAGCCTTTTGTTTATCGCGGCTGTGTCCCTCCAAAACTTGCTTTGGTACGACAACACCATCTTCACCAACGAAGTATTCAGTTTCTCTGATATGAAACACCGCAAGGTAGGCGAATACAATTACACCAGTGGCATAGAAGGCGAGGAGAACGGCGGCCTCCTTGATGTAAGGGACACCGAGGGAGTCAACACCAAAGCAAATAGCTTCTCCCGCCCCTTGAGCGGCACGGAAAACACCCTAGGAGAGTTGTTAGAGGCGTAGAGTAAAGCAGGATTAAACGTCAACTCACGACATAGTTTGCCGATTTGCGAGGCGAGTTTGTCAGACAGCCGAGGAAATAAAGAATAATGTATGGCCATAGAACACTAGCCACCCAGTTCAGTATAAACAGGAAGAAGATAGGAATAAAGGCATCGTCGGTCCAATCAGTTGGGCTAATGGGTGGGTTAGAGCGGTCATAGTCGCGAGTCCGCAGGACCTCCCAAACCCACGCAGCTATCAATGGGATACCAACAACTGCGAGGCCGGTGATTGCTCTTATACGGCGCGACCAATTTTCATGGTCCAGAATCTTTTGCAGACCGATGCCTGCGGGAATTTGCACCACGACGGCAATGAATGACAGGAGAGATCTTGCTCTCAAACTGTTATGAAAAGCATTCACTGAACCACCGTACACAAGGAAGCATTCGGAGGGAATAAAAGCCGGAAGCATGATCAGGAGCTTCCAATCTCTGAAAATCTCTAAATTTGACTTCAGCTCCTCAATGAACCCACGAGATCGGGTAGTGGCTACCTGGGTGCCATCGTCACGGAGTATCTTCGAAGGAGGTTGCAGAGCAAAGCACAAAAAGACACCCAACCCTTGCATAATGATGAAGACGATGTACACTGCTGTGGGAACACCAGCTACTTCGTTGGAGTTGCGGTTAATTATCAGAGGAATTATACCACCGACAGCTGCACCAAAAGCTTGAAGATTGAATGACATGCTGATAAATGTTCCTCGTTCTTGTTCCATGGAATAAGACATAGAGATGTATCCCATGGTGCAAAAGAGACAACCAGCGGAGATCTTTTTGTTGTTAGTACAGTAGCGCGCTAAAGGAGCAGAGCTAGGCTTACTCCGATGGCAACAGCGGCAAAAATTGGGAATCCTTCATTGCCAGTTCTGTCAAAGTACCAAAGACTGCCAACATAGATTATGTATCCCAGAACGCCAAGGCAAGCCGTGACAGCGGGCCCAATTGTGTTCAATAAGCTGCCACTGAAAGTAGATGCGAGGACCCATACTCCACACAGCGTAGCATTCACTACTTGTACTGTTTGTGCTGAGTTGGGACGGCCGCCACCAGCTCCTAGTAAATTCAAGGCTTCATAAAGCCCAGCTGTCAGAGCGACGATAATGCCCATTATGACACTTGGGTAAGCATTGGTTTAGTAAAGTCACTTCAGGGCAATTCTTGGTACTTACTTTTGCCAATACGGGGAGTGTAGACGAACAGGTCGGAGACCTCGGATTTTGATAGCCATATTTATTTTTTCATAAATTCGAATACAATTCCCTAGAGAAAACTTGATCGAAGAGATGGAGATAGAGGTAGGTGAAACAACAATATATATAAACATTTCGAAGCTATGGCCATGAACCCGACGCGTGAATGCGGGGAAGGTCGACGCCGCTGGGGGCGGGAAAACTCTCCGTAATGACGAGTCTGATAATTCTCCCTAGGGGTGGACTCCCCAACACCACCCCCCCCCCCCCTTCTCCTTTCCCAATTCCCATTTTGATAATAACCATTCCCCTTCAAACCTCGTCAGACAGGGTGGAAGTGTCCATGCGGAGTAATACAAGGTCCTCACATACCTCATTTCATAGAGACAAGAGCCATCCCGATGAGCAGGTGGACGAGAGAAAGTTGACATTATTCTGTATATACATGTTACGTCATTATGTTAATCGTCGGAATTAATCACAATGGTTCCATGTAAGTTCGCGAGGTAATTATCGGCTTGTGCGCTCTGATCCGCAAAGTTACCAACTGGACATGCCCCACAGTTTTCGGGTAAGTGCGCAATGCATAAGTTATTGTGCGGTTAAAACCGCATGCCATGCGTCAAGGATATAAGGCTGCTCTGTACACGGCTAATTGTATGTTGATAGTAGGTCGGGCTTATGATCTGACCAGCTTGATGACTAGATCTGGCGATTGGCTTTGACTCTGGTCAAGTAATGTAGAAGCGGTCTCGGAGATACGTTAATACCTCACTAGTGATCTTTCAGTGTAAACCAGTCATGATTCGCCTCAGCAAAAATACTAATGAACAAACGATTATGGTTGCTAATTGCTTCTTTCTTCTTTTAGTTCATGTACTTTAGCTGAAATGTTGGTTTTTGTCCCTGCCCTACTTTTAGCTGAAATTGATCAGGTGGGTGCCCGAGGTATCAGCGCTCACCGCCGCCTATAGATAGACCTTTCCCTTCTGGGAAATCACTTAGGAATATCATCATCTTCTTCGCTTCTTCTTCTCTATCTAGTGATACCCTAGTCCAGTTCCTTGTCATGGCGCTCTCCGACTTCCCCTGAGTCTCGCCGCCATCAGAAATGTTAGCTTTTCATCCTGCGTTCCTACTTACCATTCTCAGGGACATGGACTTCACGGCCATCAACGTGCGGGACCTCACTGCTTCCTTGCTCTTCGCCTCCTCCCTCTGCGCGATTGCGATAACCTGGGTGTCGGTGCGGACCTACCAGCGCGGACTATGATCGCAATATTAGCGGCGATAGGCGGTGTGGGGGTACGTTGTGTGTGCTTTTGCAAGTTGGTGGGTTTACGGTATCGGTGTGTTTTTGACCGCGTTTGGAGTCTTCATGTTGATTGCCATGGATTCCGAGTGAGCCATCCTTTTTGTTTCTCTTTCGCCAGCAATGTTGTATTAATTCTAATCATTCTATTGGCTATTCTGACAGAGATCTACTGCTTGCCAGACAACCAGGGCTCTGATACCTGCCGTGGTGATTGTACTATGGTACTGAACCTCATCGGCCAGTGTGATCCCTTCCTAGGCACTAATTGCTGCCTAATGCCGAAGCCCCGGCGTATTTCAAGAGCGGTCTATCTGTGTAGCGTTTATGTTCTTTAACATGCTGCTTGCCTATATCTGCAGTTCCTGCTGGTGCGGGATTGGCCTCGAAATAGGATGGATACGGATCCGTGGTGCGAGACTACGCCGAGCGGACTAGGATCAGTCCGTTTAGACCCTACGTTACATAAATTTGCTGAAACTTTCCTTTTTTGGCTGGATAATATGATGATTCATCTAAATAAAACCGTTACATATACCTATTCTGGTCAATAAATTGACAACACTTACGATGCAATGACTTTTTGATTAAAATCCAATGCTTTGAACCTGATATATAAGTCATTTTCCCTTATGAATTTTTTCTTTTTTCTTTTTCTTTTTTTTTAAAAAAAAATTCCCCCAGTCTTAAGATCAGTAGGACTTGGCTGTTAGTACTTTATTAAGGTAAAATTGAGGTGTTGTAGAAAGATGAGCCTTGTTATACCGCTGGAGAAATCCTGCAAAACACCACCACGACAAGCCATACATTCGGTTATTCCACAGGAGGATAAGTTCCTACTATCTTTGTATCAGATACAGTTGTTTCTAGACTGCGGCATATTGTACGATAACGATGATTGGTCATATATGATTTGATATATCCTTTACTGGTTCTGCCATATCGACTCCTCACTCAGCCTTTTCGCCAGAACATCATGGGTTTCACCTAAATGATGACCATTTCTGGATAATCTATAAACGGGCTAATCTCCTGTGGTTTCCTGGGGAGCATCAAACGACTCCCTCCTCTGTGTACCATGTTTGCAGAAACCGTGCAAAGCTGCTGCTCATTTATTATTACGCTTCGGAACATAAACCTTTCTTTTGATTGTGACCAGCGGTCATTCTGTCTTAGGTCCTCAGTAAATCGCACACCTGCCGAAATCGGGCTTTTGGATTATCGTTCACGACATTCTTTTCTTGCCCTACGCTGTATATTGTCATAACCACATCTCAGGGTCCGTCTACAGGCTGTGCCCCTGTCAAGTTGATATTGAACGGTGGACAACTTCCTAGAGCGTCCACTTTGTTACTCTTAGGAGAACTTTCTAATCTTTGCTGCTCTTCCCTACAGAGTTCTTCACGAACAGCGCCGGGGAAACCCTGGCACTCTAGAATACCGCCACCTTCAACATAGGCAATCAGGTGTTTTTGATGTGTCCTTAGCTGGTAGTATTTCTTTTTCCTGTGGGCCTTGCTAGTCATGCGAGCCAACATGACAGGATGGTGAAGGACAACGCATCAAGTTGTGTATAGCCTACCAGATCGACTATTGCCAGTATTACTTTATTAGCATCTAGTGGCCACACCGCTCGTTGAGCATTGTTTTGTTGAGATATGACCTTTTTCGTATCTCGCCACTGCCTATTCAGCTTTCGCTTCTAGAGTGTTTGTCGTCCATGTATTTGAAGATAATCACCAACCTCAATTCCATACCGCATGTATAAATATTCACTCACGCGGGTAATTGCTTTACTACGACTGTCACATCAATATCGAGAGAAGTTAGGTTACAACATAACGCATGGAACGGGTCTGACGGTCTGACCCGTTATATCGCGCATCTAGATAGTTCTCCTCTCCACGCTTTTCGTAAATTGCATTCGCCTCTCCAGTTGGCATCACAACTCGACTCAGCCCTTCACAGTGGGCTCTCCATCGATCATATGCGGAAATTCAGGGCGTATAGGAGTGCTAGGATGCCCAGAAAGGTCCGGATTGCAATATGCCCATACCTAACGAGCACGAGCGCGATACTCGATTCTGTCCTTCTATGCTTGCCACTAGGATGTATCACGTAGTCTGTCAGTCGCCTTGATGGTCTAGATATCATTGCCGTCGTCTATGTTGGTAATGGGAAGACTACCGTATCTCGTCCGTTGGTCGTTCGATCAGCTCAGGGGTAGCGGTAGGGAAGTATATTGAGAAATTAAGGCTATTCGCAGCTTTCCGAGCTTATACCTGTCAAACCAAGTAGAGATCTGATCGGCCCATCATCACCTGATGTGGGATGTGAGAATGTGGTCAAAATCTGGAAGATAGAAGATGTCTGACATTCTGGGGATACTCTGGCTATCTCTTTTATAGTATAGAACGCATAGCAAGCGAGGTGAACACACAATAGCAAAAATGTCAAAAACATGAAAGCAGTCTAGTGCTGAAAAACTTTTCCATGTATCCACCATGATGGTGGCATCCCGACACATTGTTCTCTCAAACCAGCCCTGACTTGTCCCGGGAACTGCCTATGAATCGTCTCTCGGTAAGCCAGTCTTGCAGTATAGAATTAAACCGATCGGCTTCCACTATAAAGTGCCAATGGCCTGCAGGAACCAGTTCCACCCTATCGAACGAGCTGTCCATCCCAGCTTCCATCTCGATCTCAACGCTTGTGTTAAGAGCGCAGGTCACGAGCCTTGGGATGTCCCTCTTCTTCGTCTTATTCAAGTATTCGACCCCCGATTGTCCTAAGTACGATGCCATCTGATCGAAAGAAGCAGTTACAACGCGCGGGTTCGTGCCCCACGTCCTTCGCCTTTGCCAAGGCTTCAACCACACAGGCGTATTCGGCGGATATAGATTGGCCGTATTCCACAAGTCGGTCACTGTTTCTGGACATTTGTCGATGTTCTTCTTTAGGAGCTGATTGAAATGATCTAACGCTGCTGCTGGCATTTCGTATGCCGGATCGACTAGTACGATACCGCGGACGTATTCTGGGTGTCGAAACGCAATTTCATTCGCTACAACCCCACCTAGGCTGTGGCCCATGACAATCGCTTCGTTGCCGCGACCGATACCAAGATGTGAGAGTAATGCAATAGCGTCATTTGCCAAAGTCAGCGGGTCGAAAACGGAATCATAATTGAACGTGCTCCGTCCGTGGCCGCGGAGGTCTAAGCCGATCACAGAGAAGCCGAGAGATATGAGGTAAGGGATTTGGAAGGCCCAGTCATTCTGGTCGCATGTCCAACCATGGATGAGTAGCACAGGACTCCCGGAACCCTCGACCGTGTAAAATAGCTCGGTGCCTTTGAGCGACAAACGGTCACCGCTCATTGTAAGGTGCTGATTGTAAGGTGCTGATTGTAGGGTGCTGATTGTAGGGTGCTGATTGTAAGGTGCTGATCGTAAGGTGCTGATCGTAAGGTGCTGGTGTTGCTTTACAGTGCGACTGAGAGTTGCAAATTGCAGTGATGGTGAAAATATTCACCTACTTTCAGATTCTTGATAAATATATCTGTTATTTAGTCCGCATGTGCGAGACCGATGAATAATTCTATGCTGCGATTCCATTCTTCAGCGTACGGAGGAGAGCGAATCTGGCGGAATGACCCTAGGCTTACGACTTCGCCCCACTCCCATTTACCCCACTCCATTTGCGGGTCCCAAATTGATAATCAACAGAGCATGATTTGCACACTTTATTAACGTGGATTTCAGCGTTCATTCAAATTATGACCTAGGCTTAAAACGATGAAAAGAAACGCCACATATCTCCACCACGTTATGGCCAATGGGATTATAGAGTCACCTGACATGTCAGAGAAAGAAAGCATTGCTGAAATTCGACAACAGTTAGAAGATCTCAGAAATGACCTAGTTATTCCATAGCCAAACTCCTAACCACGAGGAGATCCTCTAGGAACCCCAATCTTTTCGCGGTGCGATCACTACTCTTGAACCCCACAGGCGACTATACGTCATGGCCCGAGCTGATGTATTCCGTCGAGTATGATAATTTTAACGTGATTATCCTTAATAAATTGTTCATGTTGATTTCTGCACCGATACATGACAAACTTGGAGAGTCGGCTGCGAGCACTGGACGCAGCCAACAGCGAACAGACCATTAGCGGGACGCCCGAGGAACAGGCAGAGTGCTGCCGTAAACTATGTAGAACTCGAATAGGCAGATTGCTTATTCGTGTCCAGCCCTTTAAAGTACGCGAGATCACCATATAGTACCATCGATTCCCTTCAAGAAAGAGTCTGCACTAGGGGAGTCGCGGGCCATATGTCGCTCACGATTGGTAAAGTATAATTCTGAGCGAAGCAACCCGCACTTACAAATCGGTGCTGGGCTCCGTGGCTTTGTAAAGACCGCAAAATATCTTAACCCTGAACTTCGGAATCTCCAGCTCGTCTAATTTGCTGCTGTTGTTTCTCATTGCTATTGACAAGGCGTGGCGGTAGGTTTGCGATTTGAAGGCTTTTAAGAACATGTTCGCCATCACTAACGGGCCTGAGGAAAACGCCGCAACGATCATAAATACTGCGAGTCCACTTAGAAGCACTGGAATTGATCCACATCCATGTGGCCATTGATGGAGGTAGAACTTTGCCGCTTTTTGGATCTAAATCTTTTCTAAAGGCAGAAACGCAGCAGACCAAATTACAACACCAAGATTGCCTTATTTTCTCCTTGTTAAATGAACTTTGCAGGGAAAATTGTAGAATTTATTTATCTATTTATTAACATACTCCCTATACGTGGTGGTGTGCCCTAGGAAGCCATAATGTTCTTTTCAACATTTCTCACACCAACCAAAATCACCCACATTGACCCTTTGTAACTCGCAGAAGGTTTCTAAAGTTATCTCAAAATGACCACTCCACAATTGGCAAATCATCACAGGGTCTGCCAATCAACACTTTACCGGTGCAGCTACTCAACTCCATCATAACCGTACTCAGCGTGGTCATCCGCTCCATACCCACAGCTCCAGGAGGCCTATCTCTACAGATAGAGACCGGAGTTCCCTCCTGGTCTGAGAGCCTGGTCCTGAGCGACTCAAAGCTCGTGGGCACTTTCAGATCCATATCTTTATCGGTAAGCTCCTGAATTCGCGCCAACCGCGAAATAGAATTTGGAGCAGGATGGTCGATAAGCCTCGGTGGTCTGTTCGGCCCATAGAGATGGTTCGTGTGGGCTACGTAACCGTTGCGAGGAAAGATGATTATGTTGCCATAAGGGGAGCATTCGATGTCCCCATGCTTCCCGCTCTTGTCTCCAAGCATGTAGTTCGTCGTACTAGCCAGGCCAAATTCCTCGATAATTGAAAGTGCACTGTCGAAGCTGGTCGCATATTGCAGGAGACGCCGCGACATGACATGCACAGGGAAGTTATTTTGATTGAAAGCCCCAGACCGAAGCGCGTTTGCACATAGTCCAAAGCCTGCATTATTCATTCCCGCCTTACCAACAAGCCCTGCCTCTGATAGGAACTTCATCTCGATGTCCGACCCCATGGGTGTGATGTGGAGGAAGACCATCCCTTTCTGTAGCTCTTCCAACCAGTCCCAATTCTGTGCTACAAATATCTTTCCTCCATCGGTCCTTTGACTGATGCTCGTACAGCCATCAGCATAATTCGTAAGGGCAATCTCACTCCGGACGTTGAGAGTGAGGATATCCTCCTTTGTTAAACCACCGCCAGCGCCGTCTGCGATGCCTCTCATTTCTTCCAAAATCTCCGGATATTTGGCCTCGAGGGTGGATGTGAATTGTGCGACTGCCCGCTCTCGTGCCTGCTTCCATGTAATTTGGGTTGTCTCGGCGAAAAAGAACGTGTACGTGTCAACATTAGCATGGACTTCTGCTGACGCGGAGCTGCCGTGCGTGAAGCCGATATCATATGGGTTTCCAGAGCAGTGGACCGTCTTGACGGACGGATGATCCATAGTAACCTTGGGATTGATAGTCATGATGGAATTGAAGTGTTTCCGTAAGGGGCCGTCTTGAAAATGCTAGCAAATTAGAGACGCTACTGTGAGAGTAAAACTGGAAGACAGAATGAAAGGGCATCCTGCGCTCATTTTAGAGTCTTTTCTCATCTCATCTCGGCTCTTCTGAGAGAAGCACTAATGTCCAAGGGGCCGGAACCAGAGCTCCGAATTTGTCATCAACGGGATAACCGAAAAGTCTAGTTAATTATCGCGCAAATCCGAGTTAACAACTATTCTTACTAATATTGGCTTCTGGGGCTAGGACTATTGTGTTTGATATTCCATTCAGGGATCTTTTTCTCCATAATAACAACGTATGCATAGTAAGTTCCATCACACTTTACGGTGCGTGGCGCGATGTGCTCATGGTCGTACAGCGATATGTACGTGCAAGTATCTTACTATCATTTCCGACTCAAATGTGTACGCGCTGAGAACTATGTCTCCGAGTTGACGCGATTTGTTTAATTTGGTTAAATTGTTATCCCCTTTCCTCCGATGCACTCGAGATATGACTGCTAAGTAGAACGGAAGTGAATAAATAAAAGTTGAAGACGTAGCACGCACTGTTCTTATTTTCATTCGAGATAATCCATGTTGTAAGCCTTAAATCTTATTCATATCATTCCTCCTGTTTTGGTTTGAACCTAGAGGAGGTATAAAGTAGGCGAACATTTTAATCAGTGTCCCATTTGTGGTCGTCGAGATAAATCCCCACCCCTTGACCTTCCTGCTTCCAAACCACACCATCCTTCATTACAAAGTCCACCTTCCTCAATGCGAACTTGTCTTCGCGGGGATCAGTTCGTAGGGCAATGATATCCGCTCTCAACCCCTTTTCAAACCAACCAAACCGCATGCCGCACAAGTCTTTCCCACAAGACTCCCACCCTCCGACCGTGCATGACTCTAGGACATCCTCTAACGGAAGACCTGCCTCAATCATAAGCTCCATCTCTCTAGCATTTTGTCCATGAGGATAGGTGCCGGTATCTCCACCGCATGCAAAACGGACACCAAGGTCATAGGCTAGCTTGGTCTGTGCTAGGATCTCCTTAAAGCGACCCTTATGCAAGCGTTCACATACAGCAAGTGTTGGAACAAGCATACAATTCTTTTCAATCATGAGTTCGAAAAGCTCCTGGTTGGCAAAGTACGCATGCTCAATAGAGTTGACACCAGCCTTGACTGCCATAATAGCCCCTTCTATAGTACCTGCGTGACAGGCAACGGGTGCCTGGCCAATTTTTGCCTCCTTGACAATCATATCCATCTCCTCTTGTGCAAAAACGAGAAGATCTGGGTTAGGATTAGCCGGAGGATGGGTGACGCTTTGCACATATGGATGTTGTTGTGCAGGCGGATAGCGCATGATCCGTCGTCGATAGTCGGCAAAAAATTTGATAATGTCGGCGCCAGCTGCAAGACGACGCCTCACTGCCGTTCGTGCTTCATCCGCACCATCAACGGTCTCACCTCCACGGGGAAGGCACACCCCGTTTGCATGGTTCTCAGTGCGAGGCTCGTATGACCCCGTGCTAGCGAGAGCCCGTGTAGCCACAAATAAACGGGGGCCGGGGATGAGGCCTCGATTGATGCAATCTCGCATTTGAGCGTCCCCCTCCTGCATTGATTCTGATCCTAGGTCGCTGAAAGTTGTTCAGTCATGTTAGACCATCTGATAAGGGCTCGAAGCGAATAGTAATACCCACCGGTAGGTCGTGTATCCCGAAAGCAATGCGGTTCGGCAGTGAATGACTGCTCGAACTATTCGCTCAACAACACTCTCATCGCGCTTCTGATTCAAGGACGGCCGTTCGCTATCCCAGGTCAAATCGAGAACGAGGATATAGGTAAGTACAATTACTCACTCGTAGGAATGGAGAAATATGTGACTATGGGCATCCACGAAGCCGGGCATCACAATTTTACCCCGGAGGTCGACATCGCCCGCTGGAACAGAGCTGCCCAGGAACTCCGGTGTCCGCTTAATCACCTCAATTATCAGTCCAGACACAGGGTCAACTGTGATGGAGGTATCAGACACAAATTCCTTCTTTTTTGGATCAAAAAGGGTTGATGTATGAATGGTATACGGTGCTGACATGGCTGCTCCGTCGATTCGAAATGCGGATTTTTTTTGACACCAATATGAACCGGAATGATGAAGGTTTTTGAAAAAGACTCCTTGTTTATGAAATCGCTATTCTGAAAACATTTTATTTTATTTTACCATCTCTTACGCTATATATAATATCTGCATTTTTTTTTTTTGCCCCCTTTTGGATCGATATATAGCAATAGGTATCCCAAAGAAGTATTCACCTAGTGTTATGACACTGGGTTCGCTCTCGTCCGTATTCCTAGCGCTGCTACGATAAATCCGCTCTACTCCGCATTTAGGGAGAAAAATCTATTCAATCAACTGGTACCATACATTCGGATTTGTAATAGCCTTACTCTTGCCACGTTGCGGAGTAATGTAGGAGAATTAGTTTGAGTTACATCTTACTTGGTTATGTAAGCACTTTTATCACGTCATTTTCGTATCCTGTATAGTTACCGTAATATGATGCTGACTATACCAGATGCGAGAGAATTGTCACTCATCTCTGAATGCGAGGGGATATTTTAGAACATTCGCTTGAAAAGCGTCTAATAAATTGTACCAGGTAAATGTCTTTTCGTAGCTTAAAGAGCAACACTGGATATATTAAACCCAACAACAGCCCATATTTAAGCATATATGTTGGCAATAATCAAATTAAATTACCCAACTGCGTATTATTCCCCTAAGTATATGATAATTTTCAGCATACCTTTACAAAATACTCACTACCGGAGACAGATATAGCTCCGGAGCAAAAATTTGCAGGGATGTAATATTTTAGAGTATAAATCCTGTATGCCCATGGAACCCTGAGCTGTCTGTGATTATATTTCTCTTATCCCAAAAACCTCCTTTCAAGTACTGATCCATATATCAATTATAATACTCTCAGCTCACTTGGAAAAAGGTCATACAGAACCATTGACTGCGTTCTTCAAAATGTCGTTCTCAATATTAGCCACTGGAGACCTCGTTATCCATGGCCCTGTCAATCGTCCGATTGGCGAAGGAACAGTGTACGACCACCTGCGTACCACAGACTCCTGCTTTGCAAACCTGGAGATGCCTTTTGCAAAGAGTGGTTGTGCAACCGAAAAACTCATCGCACTCAAAACCGATCCAGTCCATGCCCATATCATCCGTGATCTCGGAGTCGATATTGTGACCGTTGCAAACAATCACGCCATGGACTATGGTGTAGAAGGGCTGCGTGACACTCTCCAGGCTCTGGAGAGATCCGGAATCTCCCACGTCGGGGGCGGAGAGAATGTCTCAGAGAGCTTTGCACCTGTTTTGAAGGATATAAAGGGTATCAAAGTTGCATATATTGGTGTGACGACGACGTTGCCAAATGGCAGTGGTGCTGGCACCTTGCGTCCCGGACTGGCTGGCGTGCGTGTCTTCACCAAGTATGTTGTTGACAGTGTGACGCTCGACGAGACACCTGGTATGTCTCCATTTGTTGAGACGGTCACCTACAAGAAGGATGAGGAGATACTTTTGCAGGCCATCAGAGACGCAAAAGCTCAAGCTGATCTTGTGTTGGTGGCGATTCATTGGGGTGTACCTTATGGATGGGTTGCCTCCACCCAGGATGAGATTGCAACTTACCAGCAGCCCTTGGCACATGCTATGATTGACGAGGGAGCATCTGCAATCTTTGGGCACCACCCGCATGTTGTCCAAGGTGTCGAGTTCTACAAGGATGCGCCTATATTTTACAGTTTGGGCAACTTCATTTTCAGCAACAACATTGTTGAACCCGACACTGAAACACGGAAGTATCCTCCTTATAGCTGGACCAGTCTGCAAAGTTCTGTGTCAAATATCGGCGCTTTGGGAAAGGTGTCTTGGAATGGGGGCAATATATCGAGCTGTTCACTAATTCCCCTCAAGCTTGCCGAGGATGGTGAGCCTATTGAGGCTACGATGGATGATGCTGAGCTGCTCTTATCACGCCTAAATACGCTTTCTAGGGGTCGTGGAGTCGCGTTTGAACTGAAAAAGATGGTAAGTGGCTTTGAAGTCTTTATTACCGAGGGATAGTTCGGAGATTTCTGTACTTCAACATCCAACCTAGGTGTATTTCGTAAACGTTCTATACGAAAGTCCTTATCTTACTACGTACAAAGTCTGTGGGAGAATCGGGAAATATGACTATGCTTAATCAACAAATAATACAGCTCCCGAGTTATCTCCAAGTCACTTATGCCCCGGAATGCGCGCCCCGACCGAAGCATTACAGTACGGACGAAAGAGTAGAAAGTGCGAATAAACTGCATACTAGTCAATATCATCGATTCACACCAACAAGGATTGACGCTGACCGTTCGTTAATTCCAAGGACAATCTTAATTAACTTCGTTAACTTCTGGCTTGACTCGAAATTTCGTCCTCTTGCTGAAAGCGGAAATGAGCGAACTCCGCGTAGTCGTGGTAGGTTCCCGCGATCGTCCCCCGCCGCGAGATTACGGCAAGCGCGGAATTGCTTGTGGTCTCCCTCTCCCTCCTGCTTTAGAATTCTTGCTTGGATATGTAGATAACTATAGAGCTTTAGAAGAAGAGAAAAAGGGGAGGGGAGAATTTTTATAGTTGAACAGACAAAATGATGTTGCTGTGGTAATCCAAATACAAATCACATGATTATTCTAGTTATGTAAGCTCAGAGATTACATAAGTTGTTGTGTCTAGTAAAATTTGGGGCGTCCCTAGCAATTCCCTTCCAAGTTGTACTCGAACACACCCAAACACACTGTGTCGTCTGAACCACTTGGTCAATCCTACTTTGTTTCTGATGATCAACGGGCCGCTGTACTCGTCGCAGAATCAGGTGCTGACACAGCAATCCTAGCTGGTCTGTGGAACCTGCAATAACGACAAGAATAAACGACTCCATATTCGAACCTTTCAAAGATCGTGCGCGTTCTTTAGAGCCGCACAAGTATCTGCAACATATAACCTTGCTTTTTCTAGTTCTGCCATATGCTGAAAAGTATGAGGGACACCAGTGTATCTTCAGATGGTAAGTGAAAATCCTCTTTCACGATGGGGATCCTGAAAATACTTACCGACGGACAGTAACCTTGCACCCTGCCTTGACAAGTTTCATTCCATATGCCTCTCCCTCATCTCTCACTGGGTCAGCCCCAGCTGTCGCTATAAAGGTGTCGCATATTCCAGCGAAGTTATCTTGGTAGAGTGGCTCATTCCATAGCTTCGGAACACCTGAGCGATCACCAACGACCTTTTTCTGGTACATGAGACGTGCCCAATTTAGGCAAGGCGCTTTTTGGTTCTCGACATATGAAGGAAATCCTGCGTCTTCAGGTCTTTTGAAAGCGGTGCGGCTCTGTGCTGTAGGGACACAGAGGACAGCCAGCTTAAGCTTCAGTCCAGCGTCGCGGGCCATGTGCTGGAAAACGCAACTCATGAAGCTGCCGGCAGAAACGCCACCGATGGAAATGGAATCATGACGTGAATTCATCTCTTTATGCCGTGTGAGAACCTACAGCAAGGGACTTAGCAGATCTACTAATCATAAGGGTTAAAATGGTTACCCAGTTTAACGCTGCCCAACCATCTTCGATTCCCTTTCCGTATTTGTTTTCTGGACCAAGCAGTTCAGATTTAGCTCTAGAGATCAACGCGTCGTGACTTACCAGGACAGAGACGGTAATCGACGTCAACAACAATAATCCCGACTCGGTTGCACACGGTCATACACCATTCGGCATCTTCTGTAAGGTCTCCAAAGCAGAACCCCCCCCTAAGAACTTTTTAGTCGTCATTGGTGAAGACTGACCCAAGAAAATTCACCGTGATAGTTTATATGAACTGGGTATGGCCCAGGCCCAAATATTTCCGGATCTGGATAATAACTTCTTGCGTTGAATTGAACGCCATCTGCGGAAGCTATCTCAAACGTTTTCACGCGAGGCTGATCGCTGTAATCTCGACACCAGTTCCCTTTCCATTTTTCTGGGTGGGCACGAACTTCAGCCAAGTCCACTTGATCAGTAGCGGGCTGGATAGCAAGTCTTGTATTGTAGTATTCAATGAAATCAGTATCAAGATACCCGTGAAAGGCTGGATTGATTGGATTAACGATCTCAGAAGAAACGGCCATCTTGTCGTGTAAATCAAATATCAGTCCGACCAAGGCTTGAGTATAATATACAGTGCGTGTCCATGCTTATGGAGCAAAAATATATGAGAGAAAAATTGACCCGATCAACCTTTCGTATTAGGCAATCAAAATCTCTACGCTTACTAACTGTTCAATGGTTGACTTCGCCTGCTGCTAGCGCTGAAATGCCCGCGCTTTAGGCATATCCGTCGCTCTTGTCCGCACTTCGAGTCAACTACGTAATCTATTTTCAAACGCCGAACCCGACAGCCCGGATTATCCCAGCATGAATGGAATGGGTCCGCTTGGCGAGACCCCTTCCGAATGCGGAAGAGAGCGAACTTTGAATATTCACGCTAGGTCTCCGCCAGGGCGTCTCGCGTGGTAGAAATTGAGAAGACGGGGAGATCCATCCAATCATACAGGTGATGATCACTAGCCCAAAAGAGTGTAAAGAGTACTGTCAAAATCGACGGCACGATTACCCATTGTGGAAGTGCAATACACGAAGAAAAAAATCTCCGATTCTAATAAAATCCGGGACTTCCAACAATTTAGGGGCAGGAATAACTAATAAGAACTGGAACAAAACAGGAAATAAAGGGGGGGGAAATTGGGCGGCAGTAATGAGGCGTATGATGCATCCAATTCTTGACATCCCCCCCCCCCCCCCGGCTCCTCCCGGCGGGGCCCCAAAAAAGAGAGCTAGGTTGAGCGTTCTCTCTGTAATTAGCCCATCTTCCTAACCAATTTATTGACCAATGAGCTACCCGAACCCTGATTATTCAGCTGCAATTAGGTGACCAAGATCCCTTAATCCAAGCAAGTCCACAAAATACTGACACTTTGGCCGCGGGAGTGGTTTTGTTAGTCCATCCGCAATCATTTCAGCTATTGGGACCCATTCAATTTGTAAATCCCTGTTCTAAGTCCTCTCTCTCATCCAATGACGGTGTATATTAACATGGCGGAGCTTAGTGGTGATAGCTATATCGTCGATAGCCAAGAGTTTGACTATCTAGCGATTATCGAACCGTATTAGGATGGTATACGATGGATTGAACCCGATTCCATTCAGAACTCTTTATCACTATAACAACGTTTTCTTAGCTTCTAAACAATTCAGCCTTACTTGTTGATGTGGTCGCCGTATGCTGTTTGGAAGCCTTCCAATCAATTCGGCACGACCCCCTGCGCAAGGCAGTGCTGAAGGAATTCGGTGATGCTGAGCGCGTGAAAAAAAAAACCCCGCTTCGGGAGGCCTTTGAGGACGTCTATGAGAATATTACAGAGGCCGAAGAACACATGAAGGAGCTCAAGCGCATCTTGGAGACTTATTCTGATGAGTACGATCTGTGACCCTATAAAGATGGAGCAAAGGGCCTGGACTAAAGGATCTAAAGGTGGCATAATATGATAACTGAACTCGTCAAAAACATATGCCACTATATACACAGATGTGTGGGTCCGGCGCAACGAACAAGAAGTGACATTCTACAAGAATCTTCAAGCTGGAGAGAAAAAGAAGAAGAAGGAAGAAGAAGGAAGAAGATGGGGAAAACAGACAGTCTAAATACAAGAAAGAGGCAAACTGGGCAAACAGAATCACGTGATAACAACCTGTTCCTTCAGGTCTTTGACAGTAGGTAAACCGAGGTCGGGAAGGCATCCTCATATAGAAAGGTTTCGCTCGGGTTATTTAGGGCGAATAAACCAAATCCAGTCAACGTTGATGAAGCCAAAATAATGAAGCAATCAAGGCGCTATTTTCCCTTCGCGTTCAAAGACTCCATGAAACGGGCGGCCACTTCCTCATCGGTTAGATCGAAAGGCTGTTCTCCCTTGCAGATCTGCCTCATTTGCGCCATAGATGCGACCACCCCGAGTTTAATGTCGACGTCAAATGGAGAAGCAGGCCTAGGCATGCTGTCGGCTTTTCCAGAAAGGAGATCAGCAGGGGCAGAAGGCTCCTGCGTAGCCGGCCTTCCCATAGCGATCGCATCAACAACCTCTAGTGCTTTCACCATCCCACCAGCTGAGCGCAGACCACCAGTGAGTACGACTTTAGTCTTGCGCTTACCTGTTGAAGGGTCAACCATTGCAGGGACAATAGTCTCGGCAAAATCAAGGAAAAATGCTTCGCGTTTCCGTGTCGACTCCTTTGGCGATAGCGACGCGAGGCCCTCGACGTTGCCTCCGCTCAGCTCAACGAAATCAAACCGTATTTTGTTCTGTAATACGCAGCATAGCTCTTGCGCCTCCTCTGGGTTAACGCCGTCTTCCTGAAACTCGACGCTATTTAGCTTAGCGCCGATGATAAACCCGGGTGATGTACGCCGCCGTATCTCTTTGCCAATTTCGATCAGGAGACGCATGCGGTTCCGTAACGAGCCACCGTACTCATCTGTACGCTTGTTCGTCGCACCTGACAAAAACTGTGCAAGGAGATAGCCGTGGGCCGCATGTAGTTCGACGCCGTCGAAGCCGGCTTTATCAAGGTATTCCGCCGCATGAGCGAATCCTCTAATGAGTTGCACAATGTCGTCTTGCGTCGCTGCACGAACGGGTGGAAATTTCCTCTCGGGTCCTGATGAAGTGTCCATCGACATGGCTGAGGCCGAGATCGCTTCTTTGACCAGGTTAAAAGAAGTTTTCCTCCCAACATGTGATATCTGCCCTATTATCAGGCTTCCATTGGCTTTTGCAGCTTTGGCTAGTGCTTGGAAACCCTCAAATCGGCTCCCTTCTAGGGGTGAACTAGGATCAATCATCATGTCTCCAGGGCTTCCTGGCATGTGATACTGGATTTGTATATTGCCAGTTAGGATAGTACCCCAACCACCCTCGCCCCAGCTAATGAGGTAGATTATTAGTTTCAGACAATCCAAGAGGTCATTACGTCAAGAAAGTCGGAATCGAACCCACCGCTTATAAAGATTGATCAGGTCCTGCCCAGGAATGCCTGACGTGGTACGATCATTTTCATCCCAGTTTGCTAGATTCTCGGCCATTGCGGCTTTGAAGAATCTATTTTTTGCTTGTTTCCCGGCAAAAGCGAAATTTAGCGGCTGAGCCAAAGGCGCCACGTCGACCTTCGGATCTTCAAGGAGGGCGGGAGTCATGTCTGTGGAAGCAATATGAGATTGTAAAGGGATGAGACGAGTTTCACACGATGCTGGCACAAGTGAAAGGTAAGAGACAGTATGTGGTGGCTCCGACGATTCCTCTGGATGAAAACTGTCTATTTATTTCTAGCTTTTTCATAGATAACATATCCCGCATCCTGAATAATCAGAAATTAAGTTAACTAGGCTCCCACACCCGAGCGTGCCCTAGCGTGCCCTGGCGTGGCCCGAAACTAGCGTATATGACTAAGAAGATTTTCAGGCCATGCGCGCTAAATTTCGGGCCACGGTCAGCTGGAACCCGGACACGATTCTTTATTAGTGTAACCTAAGTTAACTTATCGGGCAAAGCGGCTTCCTAACAAAGCTATGATTGGTAGTAACTACTGAAGGAGGCTAGATAGCAATCTGCCTTGTTGAGGACACCGCCTGCTACGTACAGAAATCGCCATCGTGGGTGGGTCGTGGCAGGGGTGGATCCTTCCGCGATTACCCTAGTGCACACTCATTCTCGACGGACATATCCGCTAGTGGAACCCGACCCTCCGGTCCGTTGCAAGATACTAATCAGTCAACACTACCGAACGGTTAATTTCTCTAAAACCGCATTCCTACGTAGACCTTCCTTCTTCAGCAGCCCCACTTCTCGTAACCCTAGGGTTCTTAGGGGTGAAGTGAGCCTTTAGCTAATTCGAATACCTGGCAACCTAGCAATGCCTTACCACCACCTTCCCTTCGCCTTGACCGACGAAACCATTACCTAGCTCATCTTGTCTTTGGGCCTCCCGAGACCAACCTTCGTCGAATCCCTAAATGTTAAGCCGTCTTTTCACTCTATTTACCGTGAAGACCTGACAGCACAGCTGAGATCACATGAGCCTGTTTGCACTGTTTGCCTCTTCCCTGTATTTAGTCTGTCTGTTTTCCCTTCTTTCTTTTCCTTCTTCTCTCCAGTTTGAAGGTTTTCGGAGAATGTCACTTCTCCTTCTTTGAAAATGGACCCTCACATCTACCCAGTTTATTTCCCCGCCGCCTCCGAGTCTACCGTCGATTCCTGTCCGAATTCGGATAGCACTTGACGACGCTAGTGCCGCGCGTTTCTGTCCGTAGGGCAAAAATCTCTCAATGAGGTTACGATGGTACTATGAGTGTGCTAAAATATACAGTAGTTCTAACCATCGTTCGCTATCATGACTCTGAGAACAATGTCATGAAGCACGAGTGCACGGTCCTTGAAAAGGCACCACGGGTTAGCGTCGATCAAATCTACCATGAAGTCTCTGAGGAGCTCGCATTAAGATAGTGCATTCGCTTACCAAGTATCTCATTGAGCTATATGTACACCTACAGAAGGATAGATTTGTAGGTGATTTTACCATCTGTAACTCCGAAGCTGTGCGAGGTCCCCTAATTGATGAGAACTTTTGGCAAGCTCCCGAATTGGAGAAGTACCAGAGGAAATCAACTGAGAGGGTGACCCTTGAGTTGCTGAAGCCTATCCCCGCAAATGGATTTTCGAGTTACGTGTCATATACAGTTGGCTGCCTAGAGTGTTATATCATGCTATCTAGAGATACCCCTCCTTGCAGCCATACTAGAATATGATTGTACGGGTACAGACATTCACTGCCGCCCTCTAGCAGCCTAGCAATGCCAATGAGCTAAATCAGGTGGCTTAGTTGTATACACAAGGATATGCATTTGGGGAATATCATGTGCGATCTAGATCATAGGTTATCCCATCACCCCGGTTTTAGATTTGTTGCGTCGTGCCCGCACCCCGGTGGGATCCACCTGCTGCCTTTCTCTAGAATACTGAATGGACTCCGGAGGGTGTCGCTGGATAGACTCTTAATGGAGTAGCTCTCTGAGACCGGTTTCCGAGAGAAGCGTGCTAAGAAGATGTTGGTTGAGATGCAGCTGAATGCGCGGCAAGAGACTATGTAGACTACCGTGGACCATATTCGTGACATTGTCGAGGTCTGTCCTAGGGGCCAGTCGCAATATTGCGTGGCTAATTGGAGAGGAGTGGCGGAGGCGGTGATGCAAGCTTTTGGTTTTTACCTTTTGCGCAAAGTGTCTGTTATTCCATAGCCCATACCTAGAGAGCTATTTTGGTAAGCTCTAGAATTCGTTCTGCGCGCCTGGGATGTTGTACTACAGTAGCTAGTAACCGAGTACTACAAATGATGTGATACCAGATCGCAAATAATGTAGTATTTACTAGTATAGGATGAATCTAAGTCAGTTTCACCACGTTCTCTCCAATTGTTTTTTGAATTCTATTATGTATCAGGCTATACCATTCAGTGTGGTCAGTCTAACCCTGCTGATGAGGTGGGTGCCTGAGGTGTCAGCGCCCTCTACCGCCTGTAGATAGGCCTTCCCTTCTGGGAGATCACTTAGGAATATCATCATCATCTCCGCTTCTTCTTCTCTCCCTATCTAGTGATCTCCCCGCTCAGGCCCTTGCCATGGCGCTTCCCGATTTCCCCTGAGTCTCGCCGCCATCACCTGCTCTTATTATTCGCAGTATCCTGATATAGTAATGAATGACCAGATAAAGTAGCTACGACATTGTATCGTGGTAGTTTGGGTTATGCCTCATCTAGTGCCACGAAAATAAATCAAGCAAACTGGGTGGCAAGGGTTTTGGTTGTTTGGCATCTTTATACCTCATAGTTCCGCCTTTAATTCACTACCTTCACTTGACAAAACTGAACGCTATGGCCAAGTAAAGACATACATAGATACTATACTGGCTAGGTCAAAACTTCCTCGCAATATTAGCCCTAAAGCTGCTGAACTGCTAGGGCTTCACTGTCTGTTGAATTGGATGGCTGAAGTGCACTGAAATTTGGTTCTATAGGAATTTAGGACGATGATTAATCACTTCTACCCTAATGTCAAGCTCAGGAACCCAATTCCTCAGACTAGGACTCGCAATACGCCCCTACTCCAGAATACTTTGATAGTAAACCACCCACAGAATATGGATTTAGTCGTTCGCTGGATTGTTTCCCCTCATAAGGCCCGGAGCTATTGTCTTCTTCCCTACAGGAAACTCCCAGGCACCTGAAGCTCAGCTAGTGGGAAGAAGGCAGGTGAGAACAAGGTCTTCTGGGAAGCTTTATCCGGTATTTCATCAAGTATTAAGTCAAGGTGGGTAACCGGTTTAGTTCAGAGAATACAGAACAAGATATAGCTCTAAATTCTACTACGCACTAGCCCTCGATCCAAAGGGGAACCTGGAGAAGCTACCAGGGGATCAAGTCTCGAGACAAAGAGTCAGGTCGGAAGACATATCTATCGCTGTGTTAGTGAACGATCGAAGTTGCAAATTGCATAGAATCACTTTTCCAATTCACTCATTATGCCCCAGACACGCAAGAGAAGCCATCCTTCTGCGACTGCGGTCAAAGGTTCGACGACAGTAATTGATTCAGGCCCAAGCAAACCCTTCGGCGGGCTGATCATGCCTTAAGGAACATGTTGAGTCGTCATCTACGCCTATTCCATCCCGGAAGCAGCGATGGACCTAAAGTGCCATGAATAACTCGGTTTCTTTGGCCACGCCGAGCCGGGTACTTGAGCCTTATGGCGCCTCCATTCCTACTGGAATCAACGACACAAATGGAGTAGAATACTCGGCCACATAGAATGGATACGCTTGGGTCTCACCCCGTGGGCAATCTGCTAACACCATGTTCAGTTCTCCTATGCGTGCGAATCTCATAGGGGTCGCCGCAGACGCAACTGTAGGTCAAAGCTTCCTGTGAGTAGATATCGACGACTTGGAGTTCCTTTGGAATGACGTTCATCCTCTTACCGATGTTTTACCCGCAAACTTCTTATATACGTCTCTTTCGTTGGGAGACCTTTCCCAGCAATATTCTCAGGTCCAGCGTCCTGAGCAGCAAACGACCAGCCAGGAGCAGCTACAACAGGATCGTACTTTTCGGTCAAGCGCTAGAAACTCTGTACCAGCGTCACTGCGAATACCCACTGAGTCTAGTTAACTTTTCTTCGAATCATGACGAAACTGCGACCGCCGCCGACAACGAGACTGATTCTTCCCAGGATCAACACTTAGAATGGAACGTAAACCCAAATACCTCTCTGTGGAAAATCTCACCGTCAGATTTCAAACGATTTTCGCGGACTTACTAGACCTCTTCCAAATCCTGCCTTGACACATTTCCTGTACCATCACGTCATACCCTCTCACGCTTCTTGGAAGGATACTTTCGAGTATTTCATGATCATATGCCAATTTTTCACAGTCCTCCTCTTCAGCTGGGTCACTTGGACCCGAACCTATGCTATCCTTGTCAGCAGTGGGGACTCTATCGCCTTGAACATGCGAAGGGGTGTAGGGTTTATTGAGCTGCGTGGACTCTTATTAACTGGCGTTTTGGCCACCGCAATGACCTGGGCTTTTCCAGATTAACCAGTACTTCTCCTGGATATGCGGGTCTCCCAAACATGCAAGGCTAGCTCCAGAGTCCTGTTGTTTCGAATGGAAATTCGGAAGCTGCTCCTGATACTATCACAGGGACAGACAAACTCACCTTACGCCTGCTGCAAGGGCTTACAGTTTTAATGGCTTTAGCCTCATGGGGAGATCATGCTGTAGTACGGGATTCACTTGCGATGTCCGGCCAGGCTGCTATGCTGGCCCGCGAGATCGACATTTCCTCCCCAGACGTGACCCTTCAATCAGTATCTTGGGAGAGCTGGGTCCAGCAGGAAGAACGCTTTTTATGGCAGGCATATTTAGATCTGCAGTGTGTCGAATTCAATGTGCCACCTATAAATCTGAATCAGGAAATCACTCTCAACTTGCCTGCTTCTGGGAAGAATAGAGGGCTCCGAATGCGCGAGAATGGGCTCACATGCGTGCATCTCACGCCTCGGTCTCGAGGCATTCCAACAAGACCTCGTGGAACGTCTCCGGGGAAAATCTGTCCACAAGCCATATGGTATTTCTGCCTTCGGGAACTATGTTCTAGTTCACGGCTTGGCCAAGAGATTTTCTCTGCGCGGAATACAAGATCTCTGTGAAATCAATTGGGTCGTTACAAGCAGCCTTCTTCATCGCTATGGAATCGGTTCTGCGTGCATGGGAAGTGTCTTGGGAAGCGACTTACGAGTCGACGTTGGATCCCCTGTCACCTAAAGGGCCCAAAGATCCACGCAACTGCACTTTTACGCTTGGCATATATTCGACTCACTGCAAATACGGGACCGAACCATGGACTTGTTATCCGAAGCCCGTTAGATGTTGCCCACGGATTCACTGATGGCAAAGCTGCTGTTTACGATCGATCTCCTCGCCTTGATCGCGCCGTTTTACAGTGTATCCACGCTCGGTGCGTGCCAGTCCGCTTAGAAATCCCTTTTATGGCGCGCACGCAAACCTTGAATTGTAGCATTCAGCACTCTGGAACCTCGAGTGTGCGTTTCTCCTAAACCACTGGCTCCAGGTGATCGCCCAAAGTATCGGGTTATCTGGAGTCTATACCATACAGGACGATGAACGCAAACTCCTAAATATGATTCTGAGAACTGTCCGCGAGGCGGATCTTATGGAGCCCTCTGGTTGCGCAGACAGCGATGCAAACGCCGTCCGACGTTTAGCGACATCTACTGTTCGACTTTGGGCGAAAACATTCAAAGGATTCCACGTATTTGAAATATCCGACGTTGTCGGGTAGAGTCTTGCGATCGTCGCAAACATTTTGGATGCTCGGTTTGAGTCCTCCACGTGAGGATGTAGGTAGGGTAAGAGAAGTGAGAGTAAAGTGAAACATACCACTATAGATAGATGCAGTATACGACTGTGTGAAGAGTATTATTCTTATTGCATGTCCTAAACATTTCGGTAAGAAGGTCAGATCAGAGCATCGTCAACCAGATCCTGCTCCTGAAGATCTCCCGCCCTTAGGGCGAAAGAGGCCCCGAGCGAAATGATCGGCCAATCTCTGGGGAACTGTTGGCGTTGGCCCTTAGACTCGTTTGATCTTCTGCTCCATGCACGGACAGACTGCCGGATAGGATTTGGCTAATGACCGTGCAGGTCTGTGAGGAGTGCGCCCAGGCACGCGCTTCCCAACTAAGCCAAAAAGGCCATTATGACGAAGTTAGAGAACTTCGTCATGCCTGGGACCACTATACATAGTAGTATCGCGCACTGTCTGGCCACAGTCCGGACAAGGTCTCTGGTAAGGACGATGGCTGAGGATCGACGATAGCAACCCCAAGGACCAAAGCTTAAAGCCAAGGCCTGCGTATGTGGACCCGGTAACTCTCCCCAGTAAGTTATCAACTTAGTGTTTGGAATTTCCTGGTGGCTTCCCACTCAATTTTTTAAATATATATATATATTTAATTTTTCACCGATTATTGGGCCTTATGCGGGCCAAACTCCCCTCCGTTTCTTTTTTGGCTGCCTGTCGATCTCGTGGCCCCCAATTTCTTGCAACAGGCAGTGTGCAGTTACCCTGTGACCGCTTCCTTACCTGGTCTTCAATGTCAGAAATTCAATCAATCCATCCAATATTTGAGGCTTCACGCTGGGTGTACTGTATCGCCATCGGTCCTTCCAGTATTGTGTCCATGTAGGTCCAGTGGATACAACTTATTGTACAATATCAGCGTCTAAGTACCGTACACGATTATCTGATCCCTGTGCCCTAGGAACAGTAGGACCAGTATAAACACAGGATAATGTCTGGCACCCCGTGACTTGCCCTTTCCATTTTAGTGCTCACTGCTTGCTCCTTGAGTAGAACTGAGCACAACACTGAGCGCCCTGATCAGCTCACGGAGCATGATATAATCACAAAGGTCTGCTCACTGAGTGCTCAGCCTGAGCGTGGTTCGAAAAAAGGTGATCGTGGGTCGAAAAGCATCACGTGAATCCGAATCACCCGGAGCTTTTGTTTATCCGGATGCTCGAACCCCGCTCAGCTCGAACCTGGCAGTGAAGGTAGACTCGGCTCGGCCACTGGAGTATTATTAATCTTGATGCAGTTAGTCAAGCTAGAGTCCTTCCTCCGAAGACACAGAGTCAAGGACACCGCAAATATTTCCCGTTCGGTACTCAAGGTATCAACCACGTCGTTTCAACCATGAATCCCAGCGCATCAAATCCCCCGAGAAAGCGTCGGCATAGCAAGGCATGCGCACGTTGTCGCAGAAGAAAGATACGAGTAAATGACGTGCTCAATCTATTGTCGAGATTCACGACGCTAATCACTCCACTAGTGTGACTTTCAGTACCCAACTTGTGGTGCGTGCTCGACGGCGGGTGCTGCATGCTTAGGTTTCGACTCTATTCACAAGGTTGACAAGCCACGAAGTACTATTTCGCATCTCGAGCAGGAGGTGGCTCGTTTGGAAATTGAACTCGGACATGTCAAGAGTCAAACCATGAGCATGTCAGACATTGCACACACGGCGGTGGAAAGATTAACCGAGTGCCTGGCAACAACTATTCTCGAACCCGGAGGGCGCTCTCGCATGCAAGAGAACCTCCTTCCGCTCACCTCAACGTTCTTTCTCTCCGGTTCGCCTGTACCATATCTCAGCAGCCAGACTTGGGATGAGACGAAGGATACGAAAGCTACTAAATTTCCGCTATCTACGAGTACCCTTTCGTCAATATCACGTCCCATCGTTGATATTTTGTTGAAGCATTATTGTGAAATATATCTCCCACAATATCCAGCGGTTGAGGAATCAGACTTGTACAAAGCCTGCGACAGGGTTTACAACAATTTGCAACCGTCTGGTTTCGATATCTTCTGTGTTCATATCACATTAGCTATCAGTGTTAGTGGCCCGCTTGCCGCAACATGACATATTCCCAGCTAAAACCTGCCTAGATGACCACCCTCATGCATCGGGATGAAAAGCGAGCCATGATAGCTATACATGGGTTCTGGACAATGGCCGTGGCTCATCTTGATCAAGTTGGCTTAGCCAATCTATGGGAGCGGCTACAAGCTTTGCAGCTTCTGGCTCATTATGCTTTCTTGAACCCTAAAAATGTCGACTGTAGTAATTGTGCTGCCGCGGCTACCCGGTTATCCTTGCAACTCGGACTACATCATGAATCATCCGCACCGGCACAGATGAAGCTGGACACCACGACCCTCAACACTCGAAGAAGACTGTTCTGGAATTCATACGCTATTGACTGGTAAGACATGAAAGCTATCGAAGAATATGCTAGGGTTCTGACAGTTTGGCTAGCGCCGCTCATACAACTCGCTGTCGGCCGTTCATATGGCCAAGTTCTACAATTACAGCAAGGGTAAAGTTTGAAAACCTGATGAGCGGGCAGTAAGTTGATCAATATAGTTCCCAGATTTTGACTCTCAGTCATCCCTGACCCTTCATGTTTGGCTCCTGCGACAAATTGAATCGGAAATCACCCTGGCTATGTACCATCCCTCCTTGGCTCCTGAAGAACTAATTAGTAGTTCTTCCTTTAGTCGGTGGTTCGCACGCACACATGAACGCCTGAACGAGTGGTATCAGACGATTCGCCAAAGTATCAACCACACTGAGAAAATCAAGTTCCATGAATTGCAATTCCAGAGTCAAATGTTGAGGCTAAATCGACCTTCTCCACGCTGCCCAAATCCGACAATGAATATGCGCAAGAAGGCTCTCCAATCGTCTATAGCTCTGATCAAAGAATTCAGCATCATAGATCAGATGGGAAATCTTTTCTATCTCTGGCATGCAGCTCATTACATTATCGAGTCAGGTGTCTGCCTGCTTGCCTCGGTTTTGACTGGGATGGATTCCGCAGATCAAAACCACTCGCAACTGGGAGGGGAAGACATCACGAACTTGATAAAATATATGAAAATATTTCCATACCTCCTTGAGAAGGTATCACTTCGTTGGCCAAATGTTGCAAGACATGCCTCCGCTCTAGATGTCATCTCTCATTCCGTTCTGGGAAAACTGGAACAATGGTCAAGAGGTGAAATGATTGAGAGCCATGATTTCTCTGAATTCAGGCAGAAGCTCAACGAGTTCTCACTATTCTCACCATTCCCTTTGGAATCCCAAGCTACGGCGGATAATTTGGCCGCGAAAGGTGAATATGGGTTCCATCCTACGTTGGATAGCAACGCTTTCCCATCATTCATAACAGATTTTGGTGTAAGTTTCGATTATTCCAACCTTTCAGCGCCGGCAACGGTGACCACTTCTATCAATCCGGGCTGGGTAGGACTCCAATCGACTCAGGAACACAACTCTGCGACGTTTCCAGATCCTTACAGTGTCGATAGTGGAGCGGCCTTAGTGTGGGATATTGCTGGGATGGATTCCGATGAAATCTTGGCTGCCTTGGTAGGAAGTTGATGAAAGGGGATCTCGAATGCCAACGCACCAGAGTCTCGTATCCTGAATTCCTAAACCGAACGTGCATTCAGACAGGGGAGCATACAAGAAACCGCGTTACAATTAATCCTCCACCTAGTCAATATATCTCCTGCGGACTTGTACTGTCATCTGTGTTGAGGAATCATCTACGTGCAGTATCGCCGAGGCCTCCCTCCTCCATCATGTGACCATAGGGGACCCCTGTGCGGGTGGAGGGTCCACTACTCTTACCCGCGAGTGGGTGGAGGTTCCAACCTGCTCACCACTTTTGATGGTCCGCCGTGGCCTAATCTCAACCCTTCCTGTACAGAGAGTGGAGCCCTTACGGAGTCCTTAACAAAAACCGATAGGTTTGGTAATAGCAGACGCCGGAGGGATCTGGCATCGTTCATAACGGGACTTGAGTTGAATCCTCTGAGCACCATGTACGTAGTTCACTTCCGCGAAGTACAAATGCTTCCACCACACTTGATCTTTCCAAGGTTCAACTCTGGCTGGCATCACGCGCATTCCGTCCTCCAGAGAATCTAGGAAGTCTTTGGAATTGGCGAGTCAATAGGGCGTTTGTAGCGGGTAGACAGGCGCATATAAGACCAATTCCGATCTCAGCCGCACTTTTCAACATGATCAGATAGATGTAGGAGACGTATCGGAAAAGAAAGAAAAAATGAACATACCCAGTGTACAAAATCTTGACCCAAAAGCCTGTCAGATCAACTGATTTATCTTCATAGATAACCAAACACAGGCGGTACACATTAGAGATCATAGCTAAGCCTCCAGCTCCAAGGATAGCTACTACCTTGATCTTCTTTGATAGTGGAAGGTGAAGAGGCCATGCCAATATCATAGGTAGGACAAGGATGGCTCCATCAGTAATCAGGCTAACAGAAGAATCTAGGATGAACACAACATCGTAATTAATGCATGTACCGTTGCCTGCATGCCAATATGTCGAGATAGGCGTGCAAACAAAAATTCTCACGAATAGAATCGCGAAGTAGTAAGTAAGTATGAATCCGGTGAATACACGAATAAAGACTGACATCTTTTCTCGTGGAGTAAAAATCCGGATTAGGATTGTAAGAAGGAGGATCTTAATAAAAAATACCGCGAGAACGTAGATGATAAGTGTAGCGAAGATGATCTAGAAAAGTCAGATATGTCAGAATAATCGTCAAAATAACAATTCAACTGACCTGTAGAAGGAATCGGAGCTGGGCAGCATCAAGTTCTGAGATATGATGCCCACCGCCGAAAGAGGTATCTTTAGAGAAAATAGATAGATTGCGTTAGTTAGTCGTATTCTGATCTATATCTCTCTTGACGACAACAAATTGTCACGTACAAACAATTGAAGCGATACTGTAACCAAGTACGAGTAACTAAATGTCGATTATATTTAGACATCAAACTTACTGAAGATAAGGGGATGAAATACCCATGCAATGATACATATAACTTAACAAATATTAGTAATACGCTCGATCTTTGTAGGTGGTGCCACTCACAATCTTCTCCATTGAACGATCCCCAAATCTTATGCTTGCCGTAAAATCGCAAGGTCACAAATGTGTTGGCCAGGATGAGGCACAGCGCATGAGTTACATAGCTGATAATTGTCAAGGAATTACTGCCAGTAGTACCCGATCTTGGATCTACCACAGAAGGATATGGAGGCGGCCACATGGTCTGCAGTTTAACATTTTATTCCGGCTCACAATAGCTCATGATGCCAATCACTTGCCGATGGCATGAAGATGCTTGGGTGTGTGAGGGAGTTTTCTGCTCAGTTAACGCATTTGGCGTTCTCTCTTCTGGATGACCTCATTATGGGTGGCGGGCGCGACGGCCGGAAACTTTATGTAATAAATGTAAGGCCCAGTTAGCTTGTTAGGTAGTTAATGGGATCTCGACCTGGCCCGATTACTAATCCTAACAGACGCCGTTTTCTTGGGGCGCCACGATCGACCCCGCTTCACGAGAGTGTTAAAGCCTCCGTTCGATGAAATGCTACCCTTTGAAGATAACCAAAAAAATATGCCAAGCATGATGGCTCTGCAGATTTGTGTTCGCTGTCGCAAGAGAAAGATAAGAGTGAGGAGCGCCCTGATCCTAAGCACGGACTGAAACATGCTGACCTCTAACCTATAGTGTGATCTCCAATTGCCCTCTTGTAAGAATTGCCGGGTCGCAGATGTTGAATGTCTCTTTTGGGACGACTCTCTCGGCCGGGAGATACCGTGTAGGCAAGTATTATGCTTCTATAGTCATTACTATTGCTGACTTGGCTTATGACTAGTTATCTCCACTCCCTTCGCCAGAAACTTCTAGGACTCCAGCTTGAAATCAAAAATGCTACAGACAAAGGCCACACAACTTCAGCGAGTCTCGCTGACGCTACTGAGTCTACACAAAACCTGGAACAAGGCTATAATCTAAGCATCTTTGATCACGATCATCTTCCATCTCCATCACAAACGGCTTACCTCGGACCGGGAAACTCGGCTCGGCTTTTAGAGCGGCTTTTAAAGGACGGCGTCCATTGGCATCTTGCGAACAATTTAGAGATTCCAGGCCACCTACTACAAGATGACCCATCTCAATTGATGATATCTCCATTGATGGGGCCTCAGGATTTCAAAACATCGCGATCATTTCCTATCACATTTGATCAGCGCAAGCTAGAGCTTCATTCACTTGTGCCGCCTTCTACTCAACGATCAATAATCGAGCACTACTTGGAGACTGTGTCACCAGAGTTTACATTGCTTCCTACTGAGCGAGAATCGACATTGCTCGGGTATGAGAACCCTCTCAAGTGGAGCATCTCGAATAAAAATGACCAAGATTCATTGGCAATAAGCATCGTCTTTGCCATTTCGACGGCACTGGTCGCTCGAGATCTAGATTCAAAATTATCCGGCATATCAATGCGCTGCAGAGAGGGTGTGCATAAAATCTCTCAAAGGGGAACATCTCCCACACATCCCATCGAGACGACAATGTGGACCTGCATCGCTCTATGTGCTCTAGCTCTGTGTGAGTCAATTAGTCCAATCTCAGGGCAGATTTGGGACCTACTCGGGCTAGCAGTATCAACTATGGAATGTCTTCGTGAAGGCTATCAACTGAGAAACATGAGTCCGGATGAAGCTTTCCGACGATTAGAGTGCTCACTCTTGAAATTAGAAAGGTAATTCTTTAAGTCTATCTCAAGCTCAACGCTCATACTATTCGGTAGCTCTACTGCGTTACATTTCCGACGTCCTTCTCAATTCTACGAGATGCGGATGAGAACCTTTCATAGAGAATTCCCTATGCCTAATGCACTATGCGATGAGCTTAAAACCATAAGCCATTTGCATAACATAGCGAATAAATTTACGACTTGGCCTCGTCCATCAGAGAAATTCTTCGAGAGTCTCATTCCTCTGCCCATGCAGGTAGACTCGATGAATTCGGACATAACTATGTCTTCAGCAAGACTATACACCGCTTTGCATCCACTTTTCACCTCTTCAGACGTTTTCTCCAACGGGATTCCTCCCGACTCTTCACTAAGGCTATTCCATATTGTGGCAGCTTCTGCAGCAAAAATCATTGAGAACTTTTCTTGGCTTAATAAGAGAAATAAGATCGTAAGTATTTGGATGGCAGCTGAGCGAGTTCTTGAAGTTGGGGCAGTTTGGGCGACCTACCTGTTGTGCCAAAGCCGCACCGCAACAACAGGAGAACATCCTTTTTCAAGTATGAGAATATCTACCGCAATGAGCCCTATTTTGAAGGTCTCTACTTTATTGACATCATTCGCGGCCCGCTGGAAGGCCGGTTCGGCCTATGTGGATACTTGGGAAAGTTTCATAGAATTGCTCTGGAATAAGCTAGGATAGTCTACAACTGGCAGTCAAAATTCAACATCACCACGGCAGGTCAGAGCAGTGTAGTTTCATTCCATTATTCTAGCCTTTCTTTGTTCTTGATAGCCCTCTTCTGTAATGTTTGGACTCGCGAAGCTCTTCAAGTAATCCTTTGAGGCTCTCTCTTTCCTCTAGTTTGCTTCTATAGCTCTCAAAGAAGTGCTAGCATCTGTTCTATTCTTGTTGAGGTTGCGAAGCTAGGACGGTGTTGGGATACCATGTGTGACCACCTTTGCCTAGTTCTAGGTGTGACCGGGCAGCCAGATCAGAAGAGAAAACGATGAAGGTATTCAATTTGAGTGCTATAATGGCTACGATCGTTGCCACTGGTGCAAATACACACAAACTGCCTCCTGAAAGGGGGTCAGGGAGGAGAACACCAAAATCAATAGAGCCCCTTGCCAACATAGACGAGATTGCCTTGGCCGCGTAGGTAGTGCTCTAGCATATTAGAATAACGTGCGAAATCTAGGTTGATAACCATGTTACTAGCTTCATTAACTAGGTTCGCTAGTACGCACTTAGCGCCTAGTAGGGCGACGCGCTCACAATGGCAAAGGTCACTTAAACGCCAAAGAAGCTATCTAATGACACTTTTTATTGTTTCACCCGCCAGAGCGATCTGCAACTACTATATCATTAAGCACGAATACGACGGATAGTTCGACCTAAGTGACGGCGAACTCGACTAGCTTCTGGAATACTAAGGATTAGTAGTAAGTTGACTTCCGCAAAGCCCAACTAAGCCCTAAGACCTCGACCCAAAACCCAACTCGGACCCAGTACAACCCAACCTTTGTATAAAAACGTGGTCTTTTCGCTCATAAAGCTAGTCAGTCATCAAAAAAACATACCGTTATTTTCCTCTGTTCTGGTTTGTAACCATTTGTTCACTAAATCGCTGTGCTTCTACAAACAAGAAATATCTCTATAATTATAAAGAGGACGTCTAGTTTATATTTAATTACCAACCAGAAATTTAAATTGAAAGGGATTTGGTATTGTTAAAAGTAGTTATAGAAATATATTTTGACACATGCGAAAGTAGGTGCATCTTCTACAACTCGACTGAATTACTATAAGATCTAATTATTTTTAGGCGATGTACATGATAAGCGAGTGAAACAAGCCAAAACACCATAGTAAATCCATTATTTTTACAACTTAATATCTACTCTTCATCAGGGCCTACGAATAGGCCGAGGACTTCGGCCCATGGCCCATTCCACGATGGACTTGGTGTGAGGGCAGTCGTTTCGTGACCTTATACTGCGACTGTATACCTGATCCTTAAGGCTGTCACTAACTCACAACTGCGCACTGATCGCATACATGAACGCATAGATGAGCGGGGGAAAAACCTGTACATAAATCCCTCGCTGGCACCTGAGTTTCAGCGGCCAGCGATCAGTCTTGGAATCATACTAAGTGGCACGCAAAGTTATCCCGCAAGCCTCTATAGCCTGAATCCGTTATACAACCAGCGCAGGGTGTCGTGAGACAATCCCGACATTTGGGCCCTAACCAAAAGCCCATTTTTGCATAAATCAATGTCTTAGCGTTTATAAAGCTACTAAATCATCAAAATAAAATACTATTGTTTTTCGCTATTCTAGTCCTAACTCTTATTAATGACCCTTCCACATCTAGATTAATTGAAATTCAGATAAATATTTATATAATTCAACTTTAAGTAGTTTGTTATAAGTTAATTACTAATTATATTCAATAGTATCACTTATTATGTGGTGTTTAGATAGTCATAAGAATTATTCTATCCGAAGTTATACAAATATATTTTAAACATAGGGTAAAGTAAATGCATCTTCTTTACTAAACACAATATACTAGAGACCCTTCTTATTCTAGATTCTATAAATACATATTCTATATTATATATATCGTTATTTTCTAAATTAAAAGATTTTCCTCTTTAATTAGAGATATTAAAAGAAAGTGATAAAATCAGTTGAAAGTTGCTAGCTTGTTTTACTCAAAGGGTTAGAATAAATTTTTTTTATTATTATTTACGGGCTCGGAATGGGCTATTCATTAGTTTTTATGGGATATATATGGGCTTTGATGGGCTTTGATGGGCTTAGCCCACAAAAAACCTATGATATCTAATTAACCAGCGACTATTTTAATATATTACTTTTTGATATATTCACTTGTTTGCTCAACTTAGTGTTTACTGCTAATATCCTAGTCTTAGTACTATATGTATCCAATTTCGTCTTTCTCCTTCCTCTTAGTACCGCTCTATTTCAATTCTCGTCTTTATACAGTCATGCCACAAAGCTAGCAGTCTAACTTCGCGACGTCTCTTTATGACGGAGATATAGATAATCTTACTTATCTTACGAATTTAGATCAACTAGCTGCTCTAGGTATATCTAGTAGTTAGTAAATATTTGATGCCTTTAACACTGAATTTCTCCGTCTTTTATCCCTCTTATAGTCCTATCTTCTCTTATACGCGTTAGCCCTAACTAAAGAAAGGCATTTGTTCTTTACAACGAAATGACTTATAGAGATTAGGTAGACTAGTGGTTATAGTCTGATTATACAAGAAAGAGTAAGATATATTGGGATTTAAGTCATTAATCAGATATGTAGAGCTACTTTCACTAGGTGTAATAGCGCGACAAAGGTTATATGTAAACGCCATGGCTAGATTCTTAAGCATCCGTTTTCTCTCTGAAGTGAAGGAACCGACTGGAAGGACTAGCGTCATTGCTTATTAACGATGAAAAGACATCTCACGACCGCTAGGTATTAAAAAATTAATAAAGGACAGAAGGCAGAAATCACTAAATTTCTTGGGAATAGTATAAGTTATACTATTTATTATTATTATTACTTTGCTAGTTCACTTTGCTACTCTGGGATGATACTCCGACTAAAGCTATGTTCTTGTAACAAGGCTAGGAAGAAGCGATCTTATCATTTCTGATAGATCTTTCGCTAGCTTATCTAGACAGAGGGTGTCTCTTTCATTTGTATTATTTGAAATCAATCTGTAATTGTTATAGATCTCAGCCTTGAGGCTTAGGTCACACCACAACACGCGAGAGTGCACGTTGATTCCAACAAGATCAATTCCCACCATCATATAGGAACCAGGCAGCTTTCAAAGACTGTATCTAAAGTACAAGTTTTCCTTATCAGTGAAATCCTGGAATTCCTGCCCCGCCCGCTGTGGCGGCAGATCGAGTTCGTCACGTCTTCTGTTCTCACGTTTGTTAATATAGTACAAAGTCAGGCAGATGAGCAACGCAGAAGTCCACATGGCGACAATAGTCCATTTGGCATCAATATAAGCCGGAGGATCGCGGTACGTCTGCGGCCCGATTAGGAAGCCGACGCTGTATCCAATCAACGCGATAGCGTTGACAGTCGTCTTCTTCGTATATCCGGCCGTATTCGACGATATGACGGATAGGATGAGTACAAGTGCTGTAGCGGTGTTTCCGAATACGAGGTAGTACCCAATCAACTGGCCAACGGGGTATGCAGTGGTTCCATTACGCGAAAGCCCCATCATGATCGCCACTCCAAGCAGGCCTAAAAGCAAGCCGGCGGCGGCGCAGAACATGCGGTTGTTGGTCTTTGTTGCGATATACGACAGTGATAGCAGCGAAATTATTAAAGCAAAGCCTCCGGGCATAGACAGGAGAAAGGTTGTCTGAGCGTCGAATCCAAAGCCTTCGATGAGCTCTGTGAAGAATAGGTTGATTCCACCATTGGGGATATTCACTGTCACAGTAAACAGGAAAATGAGATATGTCTGTATATGCATGTTAGAGGTTATAGCCGGTCAAATTGTAAAGGAAAGACATACGCGAATATCTGTGAAAACCTCACGAATCTGATACCACTTAAAAACTCTACTGCCAAAACCCTGCTGGTTGCCCCGCATCCTCTCCACGGCGATATGCTTTTCTTCTTCAGACAACCAGCGAGCTGTAATAGGCGAGTCGGCCATGAAACAAAACATTAACATGCCATATACAGCCGTCAGCAGGCCTGTGATCAGAAACATTCCTTTCCACGAGGGAACGGCGTAATGGCCTTCTTGGAATCCGCGCGAGACACCGTAAGCGAGAGCGCCTCCGACAATTTGCGACACTCCATTAAATGAGAACCAAATCGCGCTTCGGAGAGCTTGGTCTTTTAATGGAAACCACTGAGATGTCATCAAGACAAACCCTAGTATAGCAACAACTATTGAGCCAACTGTAATGCTCACAAGCAATATATAGCGAAAAGCTTACCAGCGGTAACAGCGCCTTCGAGACCACCAAGGAAGAATCGCGTAGCTAGAACGCCTGCAGCATTATGCACTCCAGCTGTGGCTGAGAGGATCATGCCCCAGATCATTACAGAGATTGAGATGTATTTACCAAGAGGGAATCTCTGCATCAGCCGGTTATGTGGGTACTCGAACACCAGGTATCCGACAAAGAATATAGAGCCGGCCGTGGAGAATTCACTGGCGCTCATCTTCGTGTCGGCGATGATTCCCATGGACGAAGCAAAAGCAATGGCTGTTTTGTCGAGGTACTGAAGCAGGTACAGCCCGCACATCCTGATCTTAATGTTAATATTCCTTGCACTACTAAATGCTTGAAAGTCTTCGTTTTTCGTACCAGGTAAGAACATGAAGATCGATCTTGCGACGAACTCTTCTCTCGGCTGCTTCACTAATCACAATCGATTGAGAAGTCAAAAACTTCAGGGCTTCATCTTCACCACCCTTGTTCTTTACCTGGCCTTCGATATCAGAGCCATCAGAGGGATTTTTCGAAGGGACTGCAGTAATATCTTCCACTTTCTCTTCAGGGTGACTGGGTACAATCTGATCGGAAGTAATCATTTTGACAGATTTAGAGGTGTAGGTAGTATTTTTCGACAAATGCTCCCGGCCACTATCTGTTGGAGCAGGAAGGTAAACGGACAGGGGATCAGAACAGGCAACGTTTCTTGATTTAACGAAAGTATCCGATAGTTTTGGCACTTTCTAGGCACTAGCAGCGTAAGGAATACAAGAGACAAGCTATTACTGGATGCCGAGTTTTATAGTATCTCAAAAAGTTAATTCAAGCTAGCCCAAGCAAGCGAGGCTGCGGCAAATCAAGATGGACTTGTGGTTTTCCGTAGGGTTAAGCGTTCGCATAAAGCCGTAATTACAGAGATGCCGAACGGCCTTCTCCGTGTCTTCCTATTCTCCGGCTTAGTCATTCAGGCTAATGGATAACTAACTTAACTAGTTAGATCATTATGAGCGAGACAATATTATCTTATCCCCACCTTTCTCCACTCTGGCTTTTCTCCAACACGGGCTATATTCCTGATATGTGCAGCAGGCCATTCAAACACTGAGAATTGGGTCAAGCCGAAATAAGCGAGACGCGTAATGGCTTTCCTCAAATTTCCGTCCCTATCGTCCGGGGTAACAGGAACTGATGCTATGGGATAGGTAGTAGGGTTAGGTATTAACTTTAACATTTCCCCTCGTTTCTCTACTCGGGCTTTCTTTCACATGGTCCTTTATCGCCTCTGTTGCTAACTTTTCGTTCAATAGTGCTTTCGGTCAAGGCAGCTGTCCAGAGGACAGCGCTGAAGAAGGCCCAGGACCAGACGGGGTCCCGAATCATGACTTACAACTCATGGCCCCAATTCCTCTACCAGAATCGGCACGTTTGTTCTACGCATACCTGGGCTTGGTTCCCTGTCCCTGAGACTTTAAACGTTCTACAGCAGTGGTGCTGCGGAAGGTTGGACAAAGAACCCCACAGAAGTCAAGCCGTATCGCAAGACCGTATCGACTGGCTACGCTCAAGATTAGATCAAGCCGCGGAGAAGAGCGACGGACATCCCTAAAATGCGAGGGTTTCCGCACTAGCAAACCCAATCCGTAAACATTTGATAAGCACGGAGTTGCAATTGCCCAATGCACAAAGGCTCAGAGGTCTCAGCCGGGAGAATATTTCTCTCGTATGTTTTCTATATAATAATGGACGCGCACAGTCTATAAATGTTCATGACTTGATCAGATTGATAATAGATTCAGGCGACAATATGGCAACTGCCAAGATCGTTAACCCAATCAATCCAGACTTTCCCCGTATCTTGATCCTAATTTCGTTACAACAACACAGAACTTGTATCCGACCCGCCACTCATCAGAGCATCGCCATACCTGCCAATTCGTGGATTTGGCTCAGTCTACGGGTTTTCTATCAAAGATAACGAGTTCATTGTTAACATCGAGCATGGACGCCTCACGCCTGGATGTGAGCATGATTCTTGTGTAGTCAAACGCTTGTAATTGTATTTGGTCCCCTTTGCCCTGTACCTTAGTAGCGAATACACCCTACCACTCGGTCGAATCAGGGCTTGGGTCTTAACTATGGAGGCAAAGTGGGCCCACGGTCGTATCACGATGACCAGGTTAGGATTATGAATAGCCCTATCTGATTAGCCTACAATTCCCCTTCTTTTGTGCCCTAGTTTCTATTTGTTTTTGACTCTAGACTGCATTTTGTTTTCTACCCTGTTTTTTGACCCCTACCCCGGCGCGGTGCGCGCTAAGGGGGCTGTGATGATGTGGGTGGGTGCCTAAGGTATTAGCGCCTACCGCCAACTGTAGATAGACCTTCCCTTCTGGGAGATCACAGTTAGGAATATCATCATCATCATCATCACTGTTCTTCTTCTCTCCCTATTTTTGTGATCCCCTAGGCCCTTGCCATGGCCCCTCCTAACTTCCCCTGAGTCACGTCGCCATCAGTTAGCAGTGCGACAGCAAATGCTAGCAAGATGAGCTATCCTTGAAAGCCCAAAAAACCTCCATCAAATCATCGAACGACACCTCATTCCCACACTTAAACAGAACATCCCTCTGGGTGCTCTCTACTCCATAAGGCTGCTGCACCAACCCAGCAGCCAGCCCTTGCTCACTCGGGCCATACACACGCGCTGAGAAACCCGTTTCAATCTCGCCAAATTTCACCGCAGGCCACGCTGGCCGCGCATAACAGAACTTCAAGACATCTTCCGCAAACGCAGCGGCGACTTCCTGCTGAGCTGGGCTGAGGAACTCGCGAAAGTTCTGGAACAGATATGCCACGTCGAGGTTATAAGTTGCGTGCCCTTTTATTGGTCCGTCCCAGGGATTTCCTTCATTGAAGTAGTAGACGAAGGCGCCATTGGTCCACCCTCGGGCAAGGCACAAGGTTGGGGCGAGGAATGCTATGTCGTTAATGTAGGCGAGGATTGAGGTAAAGGCTGGTTCGTCCGGGGTGTCAGGGGTAATGTTGTAGGATTTCAAGATGTAGTCTGCTTCATTTGGGTGCTCGGATAAGACGGTGCGAAGAGTATCCGTGAATCTTTTCGCGGCATTGGTTTTTAAACTGGGGTTCAAGAGTCTGAAGATAGTTGACTGTAAAGGTGGCACGTCGGTTAGAGAATTTGAAGTCTAAGCGTGGGAGAGGACACTCTTACGTCCATTTGAGCATTGCCAACCATCAGATGTGGACACCAAAGCTTGCCTTGTGGCACAAAGGATCCCGGGTTGTCGACGTCCGCAAAGCTCGGCTTTGGGTGAACTAACTCTTCATCGACGCGTGGTGCGGTCAGAATCGAAGACGGCAATTGAGATACAATATCTTGGGCTGGCCTTTCCAATAAAACTTTAATTCTCTCTTCTGGTGTGGCATCCATCAAGTCCAGTGCCTTCATAGCTTTGAGATAATTGAGGTCATGCTCTTCATCTGACTGTGGCGGGGTTAGAAAGAAAGAGCCACTCATCAATACTGCGGCTTGGAAAAGCCGCTCGACGTCGTCGAGGAGGTATGTCACAGACGCTTGGATTTGTCAGTTCCTTTCTTGTGAAAGAGTGAATAGATACTACCTCTTCCTGCGAGCGTCACATAGGATGGATCTCCGGAAAAATCCTGGATATGCCTTTTTATCCATTTCAGAGCCACTCGCTGATCGCGTAGCCCGTTGTTTCCATGGTATCCGGCTTTCCGTAGCTCCAGCGATGTCAGAAAACCAAAAGCGCCTAAGCGATAGCTACTCTTCGTCAGTCGAGTCATCGTTAGGATAGAGTTATTGTGACCTACTTGATTGAAACAGCGACGACTGGAAGCTTCTTCTCAACGGATAAAGCCACGAAATGCTTTAGGTCATACTGCGGCAATGAATTCGCTCCCATAGTGAAGCCGCCATCGGGAATGAAGACAAAGACTGGAAGTTTGGAGGAAGGGCTAGTTCCTGCGGGCATGGCAATGTTCAGGTTCAAGCAGTCGATGTCAGACTGAGAAAGCACTTTCTTAGGCAATGAGTGTTGAATAGTGCTGAGCTCGAGATCCCAGCTCGAAGGGCGAGATACGGCGGTTGGACTTTATCAAAGGTCAGCGCTAAAGCTCTGTTGTTGAAGTTTGTCACGAACCCATCTTTTGTTGCGTCAAGGCCATCTCCGACGCGGTTCTCGATCAGCTCAGCATCCGCCAGGCGATGCTTGAGATTGGCATATTTGACACCGAGATATTGGGTCACGCCGTCCTCAGTTCTGCCGAGGGTTTGGCCCAAGAACCTTGTGTTTAGAATTGAAGTCATTGCTGGCCGTGTCTGAAGGTGGGAGTTGAAATCACCCGCGAGCAGAGGTGAAGGTTTGAGAGGACGAGTGGGGGCTGCTTTTTGGAGGGGATCAGCCGGGGGTTGCCGCTTTGGATCGAACTGCTGCATGGGATGGGATTGTAGTTACCAAACAAAATTGTATGCTACTCTCAGCTTTAATCAATTTTTAAGCGCTTGAGATTTCAGGTATATAAATCCTCGGGTTGATTTCGAATAGTTCATAATATTCTACGAATACCGCCAAGATATATGCAACGCTTCATTCACGCATTTTTTATGGTCCGTATCATTCCCACTTGAATATTTGAGTCCTATCAATATGACCTCGAGAGCTCAGTCGTCGCTGCAGTTGACTGAATGTATTGTTGATATAGCCATCATCTCATGCTTATGATCGCCAAAACACGAGCCCCATACATTTTACCCCAGAAGGCGTCAATCCAATTTGCAGCCCGCATACTGCCTCATTATCCTCTCGATTCCGTGCTGAAGAGCGTTGCTTGAAGAAACTACGTTCCGTGCGCCCTAGGACTAGAGATCGGTTGAAGCTGGTAAGAAACTGCCCGCAATATACGTCAGCTCGACTTTCAAAGAGATAGCTCTTGCTGCTTACCTGGACTCCACATAGCTTTGTGGGGGAATGGAGCATGTTGGCCATGACGCTGAAGTGAAGTCTGAGGTCCACGATCGTCTCATTCTGGTCCATTCCAACGGCGCCAACCTCCATGTCAGCTGGTGTTTGACCCACCGTCTCCGTATTTCCATTTTTGAAGGTGAAACGGAAGCCCTCGAATTCACAATCCTTGGACGTTGGTGCGTCTGGTCTTCCATAGGCAGTGATAGTTTCCAATCGCGTTCTGCGTAAGTTGAGGAAGTACACAGGGGCATCGAATACTGGAGGGTCAAGCCCAACGGTATCATAATTCATGCATGACGGATCACCGTCTCGTGGCGAGAGTGAATATCGTTGAACCGGCCAGTCAAGAGGCGGATAATGACTACCAATCCATCGCGTATCGGTCTGAAGGTCTATTAGAGATCGCTGTACGCGGTTGAAACGTGTACAGGTCTTGTTTGCAGTGATGATCCCCAGAGTCCCGAATGCTTGAGCCTAGATTGATTAAAGGTTAGTACGAGGAGCCATTAATAGGAAAGCCGGTGTGCACAAACATTGAATTCTCCCGTGAGACCTATCACTTCCATGCCAGTGTCAGCGAAAAGTATCTGTACCACGTCCCCATCATTCCATGAGCCGACAGTATAGGTGGGCTCCGAGGGGCGATCTTCCACCACAAGACTTAGGGCGACCATTGCAGATTGGTCTTGATTCTGCTGGATTGAACCAAAAGAGATCATCACTGCGACGACAGAGGCACTTGAGACAATGGTTACCTTATCCGTCAACTCACCGCGATTTCCTAACAGGCGATTGGAGTGAGGCTGGCTGGAGTGTTCATGTGATAGGTGAAGTTCGATCCCAATAATGTGACCTTGATGCGTCATGTGAGCAGTTATCCCTTTAAGTTGGCTTGTTCTGTCTTGATACGAAGCAAAGTATACATCTGAGGTAATCTCCGGCCTGTGCGTAGATGGATGGGAGACAGATGCTACTTTGCGAGATATCAGACCTCGCGAGCCTGTCCAAATAGGACCAGCTTGCTCTCGAGCGATTGCTTGTCGAGCCTCGATATCCTCCAGGATCCGCTCACAGTTAAGCCACACGTGCCGCCTGTTTCTCAAGGCCAGGGAGTCCTTAGTAATAGTCCGCTTGCCACCCCTTCCTATTGGCCCGTACGCACCAAATCGTGATGTGTCTATAACATCACGTAGGAGCCGGTGGAAACGTACATAGCCACCTTTATTTTTTTGACTGTTCACCTGCTTGAGCACCATGTCTGCGCACCAAGGTACATCAAAGTACAACCGAGATTTCCAAAATGTTTGAGATAGGTTCTCCCTAAGCTGCCTGAACGCCGAGCTTGCTAGAAAGAGGTTCAGAATCGAGGCAGTCGGAAGCATTTCTAGGATGCGAAGTCTGAGTTCTGACGGAAGAGATGAGAGCAAATCCTGTCTCGTTGATTCTTGGAGATCCGGAGGGAACTTGAACGAGAGCGACCGCTCTGGCTTCGAATCCGACTCTGCGAAGGCGTGTTGAATCGCGAAGCCAAAATCCACGGGCCTTTTCGGGTCCATCACTGTCCACTTCGCTTCAATTAGATCCTGAAATTCCTGCTCAAATTATATCACATACCTCGGAGCCTTCCACGGGATTCCAGTTCTCAAAATCTTCATAGCGAAGCTCCGCGCCGAAAGATTTGCCATGACCCCAATCAAAGAACTCATCGTCACGTTCGTCGAAGTGCATCTTAAAAAATAGCAAAAGGTCCTGCAGACTGAACGGCCTCGTAGAAGAGATTGTCTCAGCATGAACTTTTTTTAACATGTCCAGGCAAGTATCATGGAGAAGAAATCCTTTTGATTTGTTCAGGGCGAACGTCGACATTGGGTCATGCCCGCGTGGATACTGAAAAGAGCAATCCAGAGTATTGATACTATCGCCCTATACATTAGCCCATGTCAGCGAGAGCATAGCATAGCTCCCAGGGAAACATATACAAGAGGAGTCAAGACATCCAAATCCTCTGAGTCGTCGGAACTGAACAGATGGGCGCCAGGCACGCGTGGTGCGAGCATGCGTAGATCCTCTAGCCACTTGATGGAACAAATCACGATTAGTCAATCCTCAATTGACTTGTAGGCAAATCGCAGCCGCGGTATTCACCTTGATGTCCCACCGAGAAACCAGACGCGAGTCATAGCCTTTCAAGAAGTCACAGGTGTCAACATGCATGCCACGGCTCTGGTTCCCTATGTCAGCGTTGTCTTCCCTCATTCCCCGGTATTGTGGATATATCTGGCTGGAACTCACGGCATGACCTTGCGCTGCGCAATTACAATAGTCATGGAACAGCTCATGCTCTTCGTCAAAGTCCTCCTCGTCTTGGTCGCCAGAGAGAGAAAAGGTTGAATGCTTCAGAAGCGCTCGGGTCGTCGCTGGGCCGCCACATATGTTGCAGTAGAAAGGATCTGGCTCTTCAAAACTCATGGTTGTGCATGTGTTTTGGGTATGGGGGAGATAGGAGATGAACACGCGTGGACGGCATGAGGAGGCAGGTTGTGGAGGAAGAGTGCGGAGTAGCGAATGCAGGCATTCAGAACCGAAACAACAGGTGATGTAAGCATCTCAGATTACCCCTCCACACAGTGCGCGGTTCTAGTCCCTTGAGATGTACGCACTAGTCAGGCTACCATTAACGGTGATTCAAAACAATTTCGTATTGTAGTTGCCTCTAGTCAGAAGTGCCTACAACGCTCCTAGGGGCCCTACCGTTTCAAGAAGGCAAACATGTGAAACACAAGACAAAGAAAAACACCACAAGTTTCTACTTCGTTCCGGGCATCGAAGTAATAACCGAGTAATTGCACGTGGGGCAATAGGTCATAGTATCCGGCGTGACAGGATAAGTATCCTCCCCATATGTGGTGTTCAGCGACACGGAGCCCACAACATCCCCTGATTCCAAGCGAATCCATGTGTCGACTGCCAAATCACGAAGGATCGATTCAGTCACTAGCACCTGTCGCCCACCGCGGATCCAATTGCCGTAACCGCCATAGCCAGAGTGCTGTCCAAAGCATAGGTTGAGTCCATTCCCTCTGACCGTCATTCCAGGGAGCAAGCTGTCCCACTTATAGCACCACGTGTCGCCGTGGTCGTGGCCTGAGAAAACCGCGATCACACCTGGGGTGTCAACCAAGGCCTCCATGAACGGTACATCCTGGCCGCCATAGTCGCACGAATTGTCATTGCTACCGTCCGCGCACCAGCCCTGGGCCTGCTGGGCTAGGATATAATCATCATTAACACCTGGTTCGTGGTGGGCGTCAATTCCAACTTCGCTTTGCGCAGCTTGGGATGCATTTGTGGGAATATGCACAAAAGCGAGAGACGGAATCACTTTTTTGTGCTTCTTCATGAGGAACGCATTGGTCTCCTTAAACCATTTCACAACACTCACGTCCACCCAGTCAGGCTGCCCTACTTCATTGCCGTTATCATCAAGTTCCTGGAAGAACTCACCGCCCCGACTGTCAAAGAACCAGAGCAGCATCTCCGGAGCACTGGTGAAGTCGTGATCATTGGATCCATATACTGGAAGGTAATAATTGGATACGCCGGCGTCCTTGCCAAAAACCATCCGTTGAGTACGGGCATTGGGCCAATGATGCTCTCGGGCAAAGATAGCCTCTCGCGATAGATTAAATGCACTGTCATGATTGCCGTAGGTGGATGCCCAGGTCAGCCCGCGGTCAATGAGCGGGCTGACGATCTTGTCGATGTACACGGTACTGTTTTCTAGGTAGGCATTCTCGCCCGTGATCAAATCACCGTTGAGCACGACTAGATCTGGGCATTCGACATCGAGAATTTTATTAAGTACGATGACCGAGTTGATGTCCTGCTGAGGACCCCAAGTATCCCATGCATCTTGAAGGATGTTAGAATGATTCTTTTAAATTGGGATAGAGGGCAGGGAGAGGTTGGAAGTGACGCACTTTCTCCGAAATGAAGGTCCTCGAAGATGGAAATTTGAAAAGTGCCATTTTTCGTAAACTTGAGCGGTGTGAATCTCTGTATCGTCGGAGCTTGCAGAGAAGGCAACGCAAATAACGCGAGACTAGTAGCCACTGCGAGCGCCATACTGCATCAAGTAGGCCAATTGAAGTTGACAGAAAAACAATAAGGGGATATACATCTACCAGAGATAATTGCGTCTTTTATATAATTATGTATATACTGTGATTTTCGTGAAGGACATATTAATTTGATGCCGATGGTCAACTACCGGCATGGCATGGGCAAATACAACGTGCTCCTCCAGAGCCTTTTCATTGGATCTATTTTTCCAACTTCTCTTTTTTTTAAAAAAGAGAGGAAAAAAAATACAATGCGGATTGTTTAGAGGTTCTCTAGTGCTGCGGAAAGGTAGCACCCATCCAAAGGCACGTACTGTTTATCAGATAGTAGCATTGCCCATCGAGACCAATCAATACTGGCGATTGAGCAGCGTGCGTTTCCCCGAAGGACAACATTACGGTTAAGCGAAGTAGAGTGCAGAGTATAATATATTAATATGGGACTAGAGCATGGCATGTTCTGCAAGAGGAAAAGAGGAAATTATCTACATGGTATTGCATAAGCCATAAATTTGCTTTTTAGTTGGACAGTACGGATGTTTGTGTTTTGGTTTTGAAGTGTTGTAGTTCTGTGTGCCGGTAAATCCTTAGTTATGGGACTAGTCATTTTGGGCTCCTTGCGTCTATCGTCACCTGTAGTGCGCAGAAGGATTGATGCCGCCCTCCTAAAACCAAAAAAAAAAAAAAAGCCTGTCAGAGTCAGTTTCAGTTCTCCACTGGTAATTTACTAGGTCCATCTGCCGCATTCCGCTCACCTGACCCCCCATTATGGAAGCTGTGGGTGCAACTCCCACAATGCAGAGTTCTCTCGCTTCTCCGCACCTATAAATACTAGACTAGATAGAGAACTGGATATCATTGCCATCAGTCTACTTGGTAAAATTTACATGTGGATCCGCCTATTGTTAACTCCAAGACAAACAACTAGTTCTCGCGGAATGCAATTTTTGGTGTAACTCAACAACCAGGTGATCCAGGCCTTGTAGCCACTTTCCGAAAACAGCAAGTTTTAATTTGAAAGTAGTTGGGTAAAATGGTGGATTTTACATAATCAGGGAATATCGCCAGACTTACTGGCATCCAGCGTTATGAACTCGATGGTCCTTACGGCGCCTAAAGTAGAATTTCTATATTGACAAATAAACTTTGAGAGGCTTCTGGTTCATATTAAACTGGCGTATACTCAGTAGCCGATGCACGTTTCATTATCTCCCTTCCGATCTCCGTATTATCTACAATTCGGTTCCCTTCTGCGTCGATGAAAGCCTGGGGCCGCTCGCGTTGTGTCAGTTCTCTTTTTCCACACACAATCAAGGACGGGTTTTGGATGAAAATTTCATCCATATCCTCCAGTGTACGTCGCGAGGTCTCGGGGTAGAAAAGAAAGACTATTGGAAAAAAGCACCACGCGATGATTGCAAAAACTAGAACCTGCAAGTTAGCAATTTCTGAGATAGGCAGAAAGTATCAATGCAGCTTACTTAAATAGAACCGCCAGTGAAGATTGTTAACGCCAACGCTGGTGAACTGAGTGACGATAAAGCCACCCATCCAGTTGGTTGCAGTTGCTGCGGCAGCACCTCGAGTCCGCCAGCCAAGCGAATTCACTTCCGAGTTGTATACCCATGGAACCTTGGCAAAGCTTGTTCCATAGAAGAAGTAATATAGGAAAAACATAGCCGTTGTGACTTGTCCCATCTGAGTTCATTAGTTGCTTGAATGTATTGCGGATAATGATGACTTACAAGTCGTTTACGCGAAGGATCGCTCTCGCTAGTCTTCAGGCAGATAGCTGCAACCAAATAGCACGCTCCCATAGTCAAGGACCCATAGAGCATGAGCCTCAAAATACAGTTAGCATAAATGAACAGTGCTGTAGTGGAAGTCCGAAACCATCGAACAACTTACTTGCGGCGACCAAAGCGATCAATGATCATCAGACAGCAGAATGCAGCGAAGAGGTAAGTAGTTCCGTTGACAGCAGTGAGAAGACGACTCTCTTCTTCTCCTAGCCCGACACTCTCTTGAAGCAGGGTGGGAAGGTAGTATCCCAGTGCATTCACTCCACTGAACTGTTGCATGAACTGAGTACCACAGGATAGTAGCAGCCGCCGAAGATTCTGCGTCGTGTCGCGACAGATCAATACGTCCATAGTGGGCACGCGGTCTTTACGCTCAACCTCCAGCGCTGACTGAATAGATAGGAACTGGGCTGTAACACTGAGATCGTGAGGACTGCTGTTTTTGCCTTCCAATCTGGCAATAACCTGGAGCGCCTCGTCATGGCGATCCTTGAGTAACAGCCATCTCGGCGATTCAGGGATGAAAAGAAGTGCCAAAGCAACTATCACGGGAAATATGAGCTGAAAGCCAAGCGGAAATCTCCACTGAAGCGCTTGACCCTGGAAATACAGACCAAAATTCATCCAATTGGCGAGGCAAAATGCAGCCGTATTAGAAACGGAGCCCACTGCAACAAGCTTACCACGTATCCGAGGCTTTGAGCACTCAGCCTGATAAACGGGACACGTGGAAGAAGTCATGCCCATGCCGAATCCGTTGACAACGCGACCGACAATCATTTGAGGGAGATCCCATGAGACTACCTGCAGAATTGCACCAACGGTGTTGCAAACCAGTCCAAGAGCAATTGTCTTCTTGCGGCCAAGCTTATCACCCAGCGTGAAGGCAAAAACAGCACCAAAAAAGGCACCAAGCTGAATTCCAATATGAGATATCCGACTGCACTCTAGAGAGAACTGGAAACTTACAGAAAAGCAGCTCGAAGTAATTCCGGAGATGTTGGAATTCTCAGTTTGGGGGAAATGCTTTTTAAAATCGGCTGAGATGAGGACGCCGGAAAATACTCCCTGATCGTATCCAAACCATGCCATTGAGCTGCTCGACAAATTAGCCATCCGATCGACCTTTCTCGGAAATTCTTAGCGTCAACTCACCAAGCATTTGCAATGGTAATGACAGTGATAAGCCCTGTCCCACTGAGCTGGTCTGAAAGATTGGCTTTCGTCATTTTGGTTGATCTTGTCTCTACCCGATTCAGGGATCAACGTTTGGGTCCGTGGGAGCGAACTCTTTTGAGGACAGGTCGGTCGCTGAATGCCAGAAATTCCGATCCTATCGAGACAACGGGCACCTGAAGATTTTCAAAAGCGCCGGTCATCTCAAGAATTGCGGAGATCAAACCACGAGGCCCTTCAGAGATTAAATATTCGTGTTACTGCCGAGGTCTTCGCGTAATCATGGCCTATGGCTTGGGGCATTTATCGGGAAGGATTAGTTCAAATTCAAAATTACATGGCCCGGACGTACAAATCCAGTGACATAGACGCAGTAGTCGAGGTGGAAATCCGGGGGCTCATTATCTCGCGTGGGGGTGGGACGAGGCTCGGGCGGGGGGAAGCGGCAGCTCCACCTCCAGAAGGCGGGGGAGAAAGGGGATGGTCTATGACATGATTCGAAAGATTCTCAACACCGACCAGATGGGGTTTCTTTTCCTTGCAACGTTCCCCCAGGGCCTCCTGACCGGTTTTGATTCGTTTCAATCCACAACAAAATGCCGGAATTCGTTCTGGTCACGGGCGCAACTGGCTTCATCGGCGCCCACATAGTGGACGCGCTCCTCGCTCGAGGCCTGCGCGTGCGGGGTGCAACGCGTTCATTAGGAAAAGGCGATGCTATGGTGAAGATGCGCTTGAAATATAAAGGGAAGCTCGAATTTGTTCAAATTGACGATTTTGAAAACCCTGGGGGTCTGGTGGAAGCCGTCAGGGGCGTTGACGGGGTGATTCACGCTGCTAGTGTAAGAGTGCCTCTGAAACTCAACGACTTACAAAATACCTGACCTCTGTTCGTGTGCAGCCATTTACCTACAACACAACAAACAACGAGCGAGAGCTCGTTGTCCCTGCCATCAACGGTGTACGTGCAGTTCTCAATGCTGCTAGCACCAACCCACAGATAACTCGCATCGTCCTTACTTCTTCTTTTGCGTCCATTCTCGACATAAATCGAACGGATCTGCCCTACTTCACCTACACCGGGGCGGACTGGAATCCCCTCACATACGAAGAATCAGTCGATCCAGCAACAAGCGCCGTCATCGCCTATCGCGGCTCGAAGAAGTTCGCAGAGCTCGAGGCCTGGAAATATATCAAAGAACACAACCCAAATTTTGACATCGTCGCCCTGTGCCCGCCAATGACCTTCGGACCGGTAGTCCACCCTGTCTCCAACGTGAAGAATCTCAACGAATCCAACGCTATGCTGTGGAAGATTGCCGAGGGAGCGAAACCTCTTCCTGTTTCGCGAGTCCCGTTCTGGATTGACGTCCGCGACCTTGCTACTGCACATGTGGAATCACTCCTTCGAAGTGAGGTAGGCGGCAAACGATATGTCCCATCCTCTCCAGAGCGATTTTCCTATGGACTGGCTGCAAAGATCATGACGGAGGAGTTTCCGCATTTGAACGATAAGGTGTCACAAGAGGAACAAATAATTGACGAGTCATACGGCTTGGATGGACAAACTGTTGCTAAGGAATTGGGATATGAGTATCACTCTTTCCGGGATACGGTGAAGGACCTTGTAGCGCAAGCCATTGCACTAAGCAAAGTATCCTCTTAGTGACGACTCCATATATGTGACCTACACTTGATAGATAGCCCAAGACAGAAAACCATGGCCTAGGTTCCATCTTCTATATTCTTGATCGTATAAGCGTGGGCAAATGCGCATTTAGTGTTTCGCGGCTTTCCCCGCCACCATGTATCAGGCGGCTTTTCCAGCAGCAGACAAGACATCATTTCACCGAAACCAACCTTTTAGTCGCTGACACATTGCATCTCCCCCGAAGACGTATCCTTCAATAGTCTGTTGTCCAAGAGACATGAATTGTCCCACCATCTATCGATAGTGATCAGATGATAATCCAGCGGGGGGAGGCGGCAGCTCCACCAACCTGTCCCTGTGGGTCGCAGAGCTCCCGTTCCTGTATCTTCCATGCGATCGGCGTTTCTCCGAAATTAGATTTACTTTCCAAATGTAATAGAGAAGACATTTCATATGCACGGAGAGCCTAACCCTCAATATTTGCGACTATTTCCTATTTTTTTTCTCTCTCCTACCCCTATTTATATCCGATCGGTTTGTGATTAGGTTCCTTGACAGGGTTTCTTCCATCCAATTTCTCTCACGATCCATAACTATGGGATCCCATCTTCCAGTCACTGAGCATGATGTCACGGTCACCTCTTTCGAGATTATCGACCTGCGATTTCCTACAAGCTTGGACGGCGTCGGCTCAGATGCCATGCATGTTGGCACCAATGGCTCGCATCCTTACATTCGGTTGAAGACAAATCAGGAAGATCTAGTTGGTGAGGGTATTGTAAGCTCGACGATTTGTTACCAATATTGCAACGGACATTAACGCGAACATATATTAGGCATTTAGTAATGGGCGAGGCAGCGAGCTGATTTGTATGGCGCTTGAAATATTCGCAAAAAGGGTCGTTGGAAAGACGATGCATCGGCTTACTCGCGATATGGGGAAAACATGGAGATACATGGTCTCCGACTCGCAATACCGCTGGGTCGGTCCGGAGAAGAGCGTCACACATTTAGCGGTTGCTGGGGTATTGAACGCAGTCTGGGACCTTTGGGGCAAAATCCTCGGCAAGCCTGTGTGGAAGATTGTGTGTGACATGAGTCCCGAGGAGGTCATTAGATGTATTGACTTTCGGTACATCACTGATGTTATCACACCAGAGGAGGGTATTTCGATGCTCCAAAAAACACAAAAGGGAAAAGAAGCTCGCTTTCAGGAGGCTCTTGAAAACCGAGCGGTCCCTGCGTATACTACCTCTCCTGGCTGGTTGGCTTTCTCCGGAGACCGGATGAGAGAGGTACTTCGAGACACCGTCGCTGCTGGATACGACACATTCAAGTTCAAAGTGGGAACAAGCATTGAAGTCGACCGGGAAAGGCTGTCTGCGGTCCGAGAGATCCTCGGATATGATCAGGGATATAAGATCATGCTCGATGCAAATCAAGTCTGGAGTGTGCCCGAGGCGATCGAATACATGAAGCAGCTGGTTGAATTTGAGCCAGTTTTCATTGAAGAACCCACGAATCCTGATGATGTTTTGGGACATGCAGCTATCCGCAAAGCATTGAAGCCATACGGCGTCGGGGTTGCGACTGGCGAGGCGGCGCAGAATCGGGTCACCTTCAAACAGCTACTGCAAGCAGAAGCTACTGACGTTTGTCAGATTGATGCAGTCCGACTCGGCAGTGTCAACGAGTGTCTCGTAAGTCCCCATTGTATTAATATCTGACCTTGATCTCACTGTTTTTGTAGGCTGTTATGCTCATGGCGCTCAAATTCGATGTTCCCTGTGTGCCCCATAATGGTGCCATGGGTCTAACAGAATTGACCTCACACCTGAGCACAATCGACTACGTCGCCATTAGTGGGCGAAGGTCGATGCTCGAAAACGCCGACAGTCATCGGGAAAATCTACGCCATCCTTCCAAGGTTGAGAACGCGCACTACGTCACCCCGCTTGCCCCGGGCTACTCAACAGGCTATACGAACTTGGCGATGGAGAAGTACACTTATCCGACGGGGAGCTTCTGGGAAAGCGATATTGGACTAGAGATCATTGCTCAGCCCACTGGTGGAGAGTTATAGGCTTACTGCGTGATAGATAGGTTATTGTGAGCATGATATTTCGATGGTCACAAATGTCACGTCTCTTTAATGCCTCGCCGTTTACAAGGCTAGCCTCAATAGCCTAAGCACGTGACAATAGTCTCTGCTTCTTTTGCATGTCCTCCAAGATAATGACTACAGCCGCTAGACTCGAAAATGCCCATGGCCGAATACTGTTCAGGACGAGAGTTTGAAGATTGTCGATATCGGGAACCAGGTCCTGTAAGACTGGATTTAATGAGGCAAGTGTAAGAACAACAACGGCGCCAAGAGATCTGTATCAGTATGGTCAGAATACCACAATCAATATTGTTTTAGAATGTCACACTGCATACGACAGGGAGAATGTCCACGTGTACTGACTTGGCTTTGCCAAGAGTTGCGCCGCGCTGTAGATGTATGACCGACAGCTCTCGATGCAGATGCCGGCTTTTGCGACGATGGAGCGGGGAATGTGGCTCGTACGGTGGGTGACAATATAGAGAAGGAAAGGTCTGTATATAATATGGCGTGCTGCAAAATACCGAGTCCGTAGGATTTCCCGGCGATCGTCGAGTTCTGGTATGTTGGTTCCGATACTTAAATTCGGGCGGAAGGTCTCCGGTATTGACGAATGCCACAATTCGAGCTGGGAGTGCAGTTCATCACATACAGCGCTCATGGATGAGATATCATCAATAGAGAAGTCGTCTGGCGCCATCAGCGATGCAGATGATAATGTCAATACGTGCTTCTTGCAGGGATACAGCGAGCTATGAATGCGATTTAATAACCTTCGAATCGAAATCTCGGCAAGATAGCAGGTTGCTTGCATCATGCCAAGATTTGTGCACTCTGGAAGACTCATTTCGTCAGTCAGCTGCTGCAATCCGCTCCTTGGAAGTTCGAGCTCAGCGAGTCGGTCGCATTCAATCAAAAAGCACGACCAAAATAGGCGAGTCAGGCTCTCTCGCCACTTGGGCCCCTCATAATGGCTGTCAATTCTAGCATGGCGTCAGAATTTCTTTTGCTCTGTAGCTTTTGGTCTTCCATACCCCGAGAGTTTAAATTGGAGAATGGTCGTGGCGGAGTAGATAAGTCGCCAGCTCTGGAGAGGGCGCACTATATAGGCGAAGTATACGCTTGCTAAAACAAGCGCTTGTGGTAACATCAAGTTAAACGAGAAGGACCATGATGCCTGGTAGAGGAGCGTTTGCATGGCGTGCTGCATATAAACCATGCCCGCAGGCGCAGTGTCAAAAATATGTGAGTCTGCTGGTGAGGCAGCGACAGCTCCGAGGGCCAGAACAACCATACATAACGCGGACTCAATACTAGTATCAGGGCCTGTGTCTGAAAATCTGGTATAGATGTTCTGGAACTCGTCTGGGTCCAGGACGGGGTGATTCTGATGGACCGAGGAGAAAAAATTGGAGACTAGCTCCGAGGCGAGATCTCTTGAGATCTCAATGGATGACTGTGGGCCTTGCAACTTCTCTTGCAACTTCTCGAAAGATAGCCCATGGGGTAGCTGATTCTTTGATTCTAAGCGGAAAAATAGGTCTGGTGGGTATTCCCCGATCAAGGACTTGACCGGCAGCAGACTTAGCAGGTAACTAGATGAGGTTTTGTGTTTAACTGGAATTGTCATGGGTGGAAGATCTGGAGAATTTGGTCGAACCGCGAGCACTGGGAATGACGATGAGGAGGTAACTGGGACCTTGAGATGGGGCTCCTGCAGGGAGGCCAGTGAATGTGTTGGTGGAGAGGTCTCAATAGGCACGTGGGAAGAGCTAGCATTGGATGCGGTTGTGGTTGAAATCTGGTCAAACATAGCGTTGAGCAAGACCTCAATCTCATGCAGACGGCCCAAAATTTCTTTTGTGCCACCAGTGGTATCGATCCTGCCCCCGTCAGACAGCTTCTTGTTCTGGGTAATGGCTAAAAACACACCTTTGCGACGGCGCATCATCATAGTGACACTCCACTTCCAATTCATTACAATAGGAGCACGAAGGCTTCTGGGCATCACATCGTCGTTTTCTGCTTTGGCTCAGCACAAACACAACAAAAATTAAGCTCGGCTAGCACTGCCTACCTGTTGCGACAAAAGGTGCAAGCTAGGGCGACTCGTTTCCTGCTGAAGCTCATTGCGACCGCTAAAGACGCTCTTGCCGACCATTGCGGTCTAGCACCCGGGTTAGAAGGCAAATAGCACTAGAGACTTAGCTCAATCGTAGATGAAAGAACAGACCACGTTGGCTGACCAGTATTCCCATCCTGTCCGTTATGGGGAGTCAATGGGATTGCGGGGTAGATCACATCACATGAAATGGGTTTCCCATCTTGCCTTTACCCACCCACCCTGTCTCTCGTCTCCATGGGGCTGACCACCCTAAACAACCACTTACTTAACCCACGAACGTAGGTATTTCATCACCTTCAAATGATCACCCTCGCTTTAAGGTAATCGTCTTTAGCACAATAGGACCTTTTGATCGGCTCGCTTGTGAAATACGTTAGCCGTCATATCACTTTGTATAGTAGTCACTTGGTATCTATCGTCTCTACCTCTATGATTTTCTAGACATTGTCCCTATAGTTGATAGGGAGGCGGTTTAAGGAGTGATCGGGCTCATTTTTGGCGACGTGGCGATCCGAACGACCTCGCTCCCATATTTCATTTGCTATACCCCTAGCCTCTTCGGCGGTTGGCTCAGCATTTGCACCATGAAGGAGCTCTACCTAGCCAATCAACACTTGCTCTTGGGGTTTGTCAGGGCAATTACTGACCCGATAGTGGCCTGAAAGAGATAGACGACCATTAACGCGTCGTAAAAAGTCGCTGGCAATCAACTCCGATTTCCCGCGCCCGCACTGAGATTTTAAGCTTTCCACAAAAATGGTAGTCTTGTAGGACCCCCTACATACGATCATTGGCTTCATCTGGTTTTTGGGTATCGGTGTGGTGGGTAATAGTTGCTAAAAACCGGGCAGTAGAAGAAAAAAATATTCATTACGATGGAAATTCATTATCACGGGAAGGAGCCCAACCGCTGACTTTGGGGGAGTACATAATTTAATAATTACAGTAATACCTCTTTTAATGAAACTTAACATGATTAACCAATAAGGACGCGTCAAGAATATACTAATCGTGCGCGCCGAATTAACAACTACTACGCTAACTGTGACTAACGGACAGATGAGCGGATACACCCCTTTGCGCCAAGATTGAGACTCGAGCTAAGGCGTATATCCCTTTGGATAGTGCCAATACCACATATCCCCATGGGGTAGGATAGGTGCCGTCCTCAAGACCCCCTTGCTGGTCACGACAGCTTTCCCCTAGTTTTATTCCTTCCGCAGGGGTATATGAGCCCTCGCACTGCTCACTCACATTCCAAATTCCGAACCATGCACGGCGGCCCTGTGTTGCTGCTGAGAAATGGACCAACAAAATCTCAATCTAGTCGTGGACATGGTGGGTTTCTTTCCTTTGCTTGAAAGTGGTGCGTACCTCTCAGCCGTCAAAGGTGATAAGATAGAAAACCACGCCGGCATGTCAGATGCGTGACACCACATCAGGGGGTGTATAGTAACTAAGAGAGTCCGTCTGACCTCTCGTACAGCGCTATCCAGAACCTACCTAGAATGTATAGTAACATTCTCGCAAGCCCGGGAGTAATCTGTTAGCAAGTTGATTAGAGCGTCAAAGATCCACATGGAGTCCTTGCAGGCCCCGTCTCCTGGCACTCGCATTTGCCCTTTGCTTCAATGCACGCAATAGCTATTGTAGCATTCGACCACGTCAGAGACGGCCCAACTATGTATACTGATATGTGCCTTATATTCATAGGACGGATATGCACAGGGAATGACGGGATGATTGGCATGCCCCGGATCCCAAGACCGCTTATAGGGCGAAATATGGACTCAAAGGCAACATTCCGCGCGCTCTTAAAGGGCGAAGAAGTAAAAAGGCAACATAAATAACGCCTTGTCCCTTCCTCCCGTAGATGATCTTCCTTTCGAATTATTATCGCGGCCTATTCGACTCTCCTCTTCAGCCCGACATCGCATCGCCCGCCCTCCCGCCTCGGCCTGCCTTCGCCATCATGTTTACCCTTCTTGTCTTGTGTATAGCTACGCTTATCAGCGCTTATCCGGCATGTATGGCTCCACTTGCTAGCGCTTATCCGGACCCCGGCCCTTGTCTAGGAGACTGCTGGACACATGATCCGTCCATGATCCAACGCGAATCTGATGGCATGTACTTTCGCTTCTCGACTGGGACGGGGGTCAACACCATGATCTCGCGCTCGCTTCAGGGTCCATGGAAGGATGTGGGTGCCGCCCTACCGAATGGCTCAAAAATCCAGCTGGATGGTGTCGACGACATGAACATTTGGGTATGCGAGTCGAATCCCAAATTTATCAATTACGCAGAATACTAATTAACACGAAACACAAAGGCTCCGGATCTGCACTACGCGGATGGCACCTACTACATGTACTACGTGGTCTCCAAGCTCGGTACGCAGACCTCGGAAATTGGCGTGGCCACCTCTATGACCATGGAGCCGGGTTCATGGACCGACCACGGCGTGATTGGCCTGCCCGCCAGCAGCGCCTACAACCGCATCGACCCCAATTGGATCACCATTCGCGGCAGGCAGTATCTACAATTCGGCTCCTACTGGAATGACATCTACCAGGTCGAGCTGGCTAGCCCGCTGCACGTCAGCTTTGCGGCCCCGCACCAGCTGGCCTACAACGCCAGCTTGAACCACCGCGAGGAGGCCTCGTTCATGTTCCAGCATGGCAATTACTACTATCTCCTGTTTAGTGGCGGCATTGCAGACTCGTACACGGCGACTTACCCACCTGCAGGTGAGGAGTACCGGATCTCTATGTGTCGCTCGACGAGCGGAACCGGTGGATTTGTAAGTGCTCTTCACCATGATATATCAAAATGAGGCGCCTCTGACCAGTTTTCCGTGCAGGTTGATAAGGCTGGTACTTCGTGCTTGAACTCCGGCGGCACTATCTTACTAGCGAGCCATGACCAGGTCTACGGCCCCGGTGGACAGTATGTAACCCCATATCCCTCTCATGAAACACCTATGCAATATATGGACCACCTGTTAACAAGACCTCCCAGGGGTGTCCTCAATGATAAAAGCCTCGGCCTCGTCCTGTACTATCAGTACTATCCGCTTGCCACGAAGGAGGCTGGCGGTGATGGCGTCGCCGGCTACATGTACGGCTGGAACGAGCTAGGCTGGCAGGATGGCTGGCCTTACGTAAAGACCACCTGAGAGCGATCCCGCTGGGCACTACGTCGCACGTGTTTCTTTTCTGTGCGACAACATATGTATAGCCAGACTGATCGTTGCCGTTTTTTGCCTGAGTTCCCTTCTGACGATCATTAGGATGTCATAATTCTTTGAACTTATCTCCTGAGTACTAGAGTGCTTTCGTTTCTTCGATACCTACGTATGCCGTTTGGCCCTTTGCTTGCGCGAGCTTTCACTCACTATTACGCACTCCATCATATCGGTATCGTGTCATAGAAAGACCATAATAGACCACTCGTTTCGCCATGCATTGTATTTCGGTGGGTATAGTTTGGGTGGCGTGAGCGTTGTGTATACGAAATACTTGGAAAGAAAGTCTACTCAGGTATTGTCCCATGTACTTGAGCTTAGTGTTCGCAGCGGCAGATAGAATAGTTATGGAGACGAGGCCCAGCTCCTTCGCGATGTGGCCGCCGTCATCGCTGGTCAGCTTGACCAGGGTGCCGAAGTAGTATATTTCCACCATGCCCAGGATCCAGCCTGCCGCGCCGCACAGGAACGCAGTCAGCCCAGCACAACCCCCTGGTAGCTTCGACAGTCCCAGCGTCGAGATCATACTTCACAACGCATGGGTTTAGCTGTCTCAATCAATTCCCTACCCATATCTGAAATTACACAACGTTTGATTAAAAGCCGTATATTGCCAAGTTCTCTTTATGCATCCATTATTCTTAATGACCGAATCCAGAATCATTGCTAAAGAGGCCAAAGAACCGGCGAGACATCTGGATTTAGTTTTGCAAGTGTCGTTACGTCTATGTTAGTTATCGTAACAATAAGCTTGCCTCTGGACTCGCAGTTTCATATCAGAGTTTATGTCCACTAACGCGTTCCGGCTGGGTCCAATCTCCCGCATGTCTCTCTGAGCCATGAGCAGCTCGCCTGTGAAGATAATATGGCAAAAGTTGTATCGAGGCTGACATGATGCTAAAAGCCAGTGGACATAGAATGTATTATAATATCTTACCTATACTGACCTTATCGCTATGCTTCTTCTAGGGTGAAGAAGAATAAACCCTTCGGTCACATATTAACACTAGCCCATATTTTTCGGAGAAAGCCTGCTCATCGAACATGTGCAGGAAATTTGTTTTCCTGCCCAAATTTTGAAAATAGAATTGCGATAATCCGTATTCGACAGCCATGACGGCGTTGGACAAATATGTCTCTGCAACTTTCGCATTTCTCTTACACTGCTGGTCCATCCTTTGTAAACAATGCTTTTGCCACCTCCCGTGATCCAATCCTCGGTTAACACCCGGGACGTTGGGAAGAGGAACATTAGAATAGAATACTTATAGGCAATGCACTATAATTTATAAATGATAATTCACTTATCCGTTCATTCAACGCAAGACCCAGCGTGCAGTCATCCTACTTTGGATATCCAAGCATCAGGTTGGCAACATATTGTTTCGGCCTCCCACAGCAACTAAACATTTCGAAGACTAGACACACCGATCTAAGACAAAGACTCAATGACTCTCTCACAGTACGAGGCCGATCAGCTCAGGCTAGATCGAGCCATATCTGACTAGTAATCGATTTTAATGGCAACTTGTTAGGGCCAACTAAATAATTTCCACCTTGGCTAAAGGGTGTGATCCTATGTTAGCCCTGTTATAGGTGGTCTGAGCAAGTGATTAGGAGTCTAGCCCAGCTCGTAAGCAACAGATATGCCTAGCCTATTCACACACAACATCTAATGTGAGGTACTCCTAACATATACGGAGGCAGCCAAAGATGCCAACTGGATTTGATTTTGACATACTATAGCTACTTTAGAGCTTAATAACACAAGCCAGAATTAATTAAAGACTATAGCCCTATACACCTTTGATTTCCTACATGAATGATTACATAATACCCAAAAATACCAGTAAATTTTCACAATCTATGCAATCACGAGAAAATCACAAGCCTAAGATGTTTGTGCTATTTACAAATCCGCTTTATGAATGCGAATGGCAAGTGGTGTACTACATCCGCAAATTTGTGGATCTTGTCGCAGCCTAGCCATCATGGCTTGACACATACCCCCCAAATCTCTGCGCAGTTGTTGGGTTCCGACTTGGACTTGGGGGCGACTACGTATCCAATAGCATAGCCAGGTCCGGCCAACAGTGAGCGGCGAATATGGTAGCCTTGTAGTTAGGGTTGTAGGGTTGCAAATTTCTCGAGGGGACCGATCGACGGTGCAGTGAGGATGCTGTGGGCAGTTGGAACGTGGTGACTGGGAGGCTGACGGTCGAATCTCTCTTTCTGTTTTTCCTTTGTCATTATTTTTATTCTCCATGTCACGTGCTCCGATTTAAACTGGGCATATCGACTACTGAGAAGGCTGTAGAGGTCATTCGCCTAGCTGTCAAGCAGTCCTGAAAGCACTCGCGCATAGCGGCGGTATCTAAAGCAAGTTGCATCGAGCAAATGAATAATGATTGATTCGGAGAGTAGACTATAATAGAATAATTGGGGCAAGTCTGCGCGTGTTCAAAACAGACCTTAGTAAGGTGGCTGCGGAGCGGCCGTGGATTGATTGGTCACTGGAAACCTGATCATCAAGCGTACCTACCTGTGGATCATACTGTAAGGCCGATGGTGACCAAACCTTACTCGATTTCCTTTGCGACCTGCTCTTCGGCAAATTTCTCCGGCTTGGGCACCATCCGGGAAGTCTTGCCTTGCGAGTCAGGATGGAGTCTCTACCGCCTCTGCCAAGCAGCCCTCTCAACGACAAAGGGACTAGTTCGTTTGTCTCGCCCACTTAGAGAACGATGTGACGGAACGCTGGAGCTTCTACCGTGTAAGTAATTTCCACACGTCAAGAACTTTCCCCTGGTTTTTCTCTCCCCCAACTGCCACCACCCCTCGGGTGACAGGTTTGCGCGACAGGGCACATATACTTCTTATTGTTCTTGACAATCATTCGAGTGTAACGGAAGGCCGGGATTAGGAGGTAAATACTCGCCCTTCTTTCCGAGGGGACCAATTTTGTAGAAGCGCGAATTACCAATCAGGGGGCTGTGAAGCACCGGACCCTGGCAACGATGTTGGTAAATTAAATACAGACTGCTCAACAGATTTCCGGGTTGGTTGGTCATGAGTTCATTGGTCTATTTTCGGTCGGCGGGCAATTAGCCTTGCCAATCACAAAGTCAGATTGGCCGCCTCGGGAAGTTGGGTTCTTGGGTCCAGGAAAGGGGGTCAGGTCAAACTGCCTTCACCCCATCTGACTCGTCATTGCCACCAAGGAGCACCGGCTCTGTTACATTATAGCGATAATTGCAGTCGGATCAGAGATCAGACGACTGCACGTTCAAGCCGCCCCACAAAACAACAACTGCGATTCAGGTGTACTTGTATTACCCCAAGCCACTAGCCTCGTACTCGTAAGGAAGTTTCCGCTGCCAAGGCCAGCTGATCCGAGACATTCTAAGTTGCATTCAGGGGATCGCGATAATGCATGCCTGTCATCTGCACCGGCTCTGAACAAGTCCCGGACAGGAATCCATTTATCACGATCTGGGTCTCGGTTTGGCCATCCATGGTAGATCGTACAGATAGTCAAGTTGACGATAGGATTCTATCGTTCATGTTTGGCGCAGATGGCACTTATTCTGCGCTTTGTATCTGAAGGAGGGAAAGAGGTAAATCTTCTCCTCCACACGATTAAGACGTGGATTGTGCATGCTTCGATACCAGGTACTTTCGTACAGCTAAAGATATCGAAAATCCCCGCCATAGGACAATAATGTAGTGTTCTCCTGGTATTAATTTCCACTAGCGGATGGTCTCGTATTCAAGATGGAGCACTGACCCTTGATATGAGGCTCGGTCGTTCGTAGTTTTCCTCTCAGTGAGAATGGATCCCACGCCTCATTCCCTTTACGAGACCCCTTCTACAAGGCTCGGTCTGATTATTATACACTAAGCCTTGTTTTGTAGGTAATGGTAATCCCACCACAGCGGAGATGCCTCGCTAATTTTGGGTGTCCTTAGAAGATGAGTTTCCGAGGGGCATTGAGGGGCATTTGGGGAAAAAACAGCCGCCATACATAGGTCGCGCTGTCCTGCTCTTCAACGATCGTCTTCGTGCATCGCCTCGCCATATCATCTACCAGTCCCTTTCCCACTCTCGTCATTCTTTTGCCTTTCTTATTGTCTTATATCTAAACGACTCATCTTATGATTTTTTTTTTTTTTGCCCTAATTGTTCTTACCTCAAAGTCGTGCTTCTCTTCCATCATGACGCACACCCTATTATATCTATTGGGGCTCTTGCTAGCAATTCTTGGGGCAAAGGCTGAGCCCAAAGGCGAGAATTGGCCTCACACACAATTTATGACTGGACCATGGCGCCCACCTCACCTTATGATGGCCACTTATGGCGAGGTCGACCCAGGGAAATTCTTCATCAGTGTTCGAAATCAGATGGCCGGCACGGCCGCGACCATCTATGATACAGATGGTGAAATGATTTGGCAAGGCCCTGAGAAGAAGACCATGGACTTTAAAATGCAGAGACTATTTGACCAGGATGTGATGACCTACTGGTCTGGTCAAACAGGGGTGCTTGGCTACGGATATGGGTCTGTGCATATTCTTGACACCTCGTATAACGAGATTTATACCGTTACACTGAAAGACAACCTCGTCACACCTGACGGCAAGGCACAAGACTCCTATATCGACGTCCATGAACATCTAATCACCCCGGATAATACTATCATTGTCTCCGCAATCAATATTACTCAGACCGATACGAGTGATAGGAAAGATGGCCACCCGGGTACGTGGATTATCGACTGCCTCTTCTACGAAATAGATATCAAAACAAACGAAATTCTATTCACGTGGAGCGCCTTAGATCATCGTGACTACCTCCCACTCACGGACTCTAAGAATCCCAAAGGTGGAATGGGAGTGTCTCGAGAAACAGCATGGGACGCCTATCATATGAACTCGGTCGAATGGGCTCACGGTGGGTACGTGGTTTCCATCCGATTTTGGTGGTCTGCATTCTATATCAATAGGAATGGCACGATGCGCTGGCAGCTTTCAGTGAGTGCCTAGTCTCGTTCATTAGGTTTAGACCGCGATTTACTGATTATGGCCCTCTAGGGCGGCGGTCCTGGAGAAGGCACGATTGAGAATGATGCACACTTTGCCTGGCAGCATGATATCCGGATACACAACGAAACGGATCATAGCGTAGTGGTGACGCTATTTGACAATCATGCTAGAGCCGCAGGAAGAGGAACCAAGGCCGAGTCCAACGGGATCGCTATCGATGTGGACCTCGTTAGGATGAAGGGCACTACGTTCCGTCGCGTTAATACCGCCGCGTCCGACCCTAGCCAGGCTCGGACTCAAGGGAGTTTCCAACTGCTCAATTATAATACGACTGGCCACATTTTCATGGGGTACGGGTCGACTTGCAAGTTCAAGGAGTACGACGGGGACGGGAAGGTGGTCCAGGCCGGCCAGTTTGGCTACATCGGCCATGCGCAGTCCTTCCGTCTCCTCAAGTACCACTGGAAGGCGATCCCGCATTGGAATCCCGCGGTCGTAGTCCAGCCTGTCTCGAAATACACTACCGACATGTCTGTGTACATGAGTTGGAATGGCGCGACCGAGCACGACAACTGGCAGGTCTACAGCATCCCCCACATCAACTCTACGATCGAGGATGCGAAACTGCTTGCTAGTACTCCCCGTTACGGATTTGAGACCCATGTCGACGTGCGCGGTGTCGAAGATGATTACATCCTGGTGGAAGCTCGGAAGGGACAGAGGGTCCTCGGCACGTCTTCTGGTGTATTGGTTCCGCAGAGGAGGCAAGAGGAGCTTCGGTCATGAGCAGCCCTGTCTGACCCCAAAATTGTTGAAGTGTATTTAATAGATAATCAAATCGGATCACTGACGCCGTTAATCGGGCGAAATGGCATTTTGTGATGTTCTCTTTGATTGGTCAAGCTTTATAACTATATCATTGCGTCTGGTGTGCATGGTTGGTGAGATGCGGTTGATTTAATCACCCTAAACAATCCTGGTGGTGGATGAAGGCCATATTGTGATGTAGTAATCTGGCTTAAGTGTGGGTGAGCGGAGGGGAAGCCCTGTTCTCTACACCCGCTAGTCGTTTGTACTTGGTTTTCATTTAACGAATTAATAATATGCTTTTTTTCGCTTTCACTCGCGACCTTAGGTAAATCAGTATGTAATAGGTAGGGTGGGAATCAGATGATGTTTGCGTCAAATGTGTTAAGAGCCTAGACAACAATAGCCCTAAAGGCACACATGCTTACAAGTATTCAGGCAGACTTTAAACACTATTAATGGCCTTACCCTGGTTTGATGGTTTAGCCTACTTTGGTTTGACATATTTTGTGTCCATAGTAAATGTGCCTCTTCGTAGTTTGATAGTATGTGGGTCCCTTGATTCCCCACATCTTTCGCTCTGTACAATAGTTTTGAACGTCTATATCCTGATAGGAGTGAGCCATAGTCCAAGTTGGGACATTAATTTAGAATCGATAAAAGGCAATATTCAGGGGTGGTTCTGGGGTTGAATGCATGCATCCGTCCGATGTTTTTTCGTTCAGATATATTGTCATGACGTATAAGACTCTGTCTGTCTGCTAAGGAATTAAAGGCTTTGGATCATCATGATGCACATTTACATATGATTATCTCATAGCACATGAACACTACAAAGCTTACCTAACTGACACTATGACCTATATAGAGAAGCAGAGCCTGGATAGGATCAAGTACTGATCCCCAAAGTTTACACTTGCTCCTATTCGAACCAAGCACATCTTGAACTGGATAATAGTGGATGTTCTACCGATTTAATGTGATCAAATCAATTCATCGTGATTACTTTCGCAAGATGTCAACAGTCACAAAATACGACGCCATAATAGTCGGGTCAGGACAATCTGGCACCCCACTAGCCACTGCATTCGCGACAGCTGGCCAAAAAACAGCACTCATAGAACGCGATCATATCGGTGGATGCTGTATAAACGAGGGTTGTACGCCAACGAAAACACTGATTGCATCAGGTCGCGTCGCGAATCTCACCCGTAGGGGGCCGGACTATGGCATACACGCTTCCAATACTAAAACCGGAGTGAATGAGGTCGTGGCCGACATGCTCAAGATACGCCAACGAAAACGCGACATCGTCTCTTCATTTCGCAGCGGGAGCGAGAACAGACTTAAAGATGCTGGTGTGAATGTCCTGATTGGTGAAGCAAGCTTCGTTGACAAGAAAACCCTTAAATGTAAATATAGCGATGGTACAGTCACGACTGTTCAGGGTGAGAAGATATTTGTTAACGTTGGAGAACGACCGTCATCTGTACGCTTTGAGGGGATCGAGTCGCTTGATCGAAAAAGGGTGTTGGATTCTACCTCAATTCAAGAGCTCGACGAGATTCCTGGCCACCTCGTGGTTATCGGCGGAGGATATGTTGGGTTGGAATTTGCACAGCTGTTCCACAGACTGGGTTCGCAGGTCACTATCATCCAGCGTGGGCCTCAATTAGTCCCGCGCGAGGACGGGGAAATTGCCCACATGTTACAAGAAATTCTTGAGGCGGACGGTCTCACAGTACATACGAACTCCCGCCCTGTGAGGATTGCGCAGTCAACTAGTGGCTTTGCTCTCAGTATCCACACCGACAATGGTGATCAAACAATCCAGGGAACACATATCCTATCCGCTGTCGGTCGCATTCCGAATACAGACAAGTTGAAGCCAGAAGCTGCAGCTATCGACACCGATAGTAAAGGATACATTCTGACAAACGAGTACCTTGAAACTTCGTCTCCTTCAGTTTTCGCAATTGGCGACGTGAAGGGGCCCCCCGCGTTCACGCATATCTCATACGACGATTCTCGTATCATTCGGTCTAATATTCTGACACCATCTTCTATGAAGCTCTCTATCAAACAGCGCATTGTCCCATATGTCGTGTACACAGATCCACAGCTGGCCCACGTCGGCCTCCATGAGAAGGAGGCTCGTGCACAGTTTCCTAACAAGAAGATCCAGACAGCGAAGATGCCAATGGCATACGTCGCGCGCGCATTGGAGACAGACGAGTCAAGAGGAGGGATGAAGGCTATTGTGGATGGCGATACAGGGCTAATACTTGGGTTCACCTGTCTAGGTCTCGAAGGTGGCGAAATAATGAGCATTGTTGAGATGGCGATGATCGGAAAAACTCCCTATCAAAAATTGCAAGATGCAGTCTGGGCGCACCCGACTCTTGCGGAGAGTCTGAACAACATATGGGGATACTTGGACTGAATTGAGATAAAGTTGTTCGTCTTATATGATATACAAGTTGTTATTCTCTCATCTGTACCATGATGACCGGTAAGGCTCAAGGGACGATGAGCATGAGAAGCAGTTGTTCATTTGTTGTCCCTTCCCAAACTACGGCTTAAAAAAGTTTGGAGCAGGATCCGACATAATCTCTTAAGAGATCATGAGCAAGACTATATGCCATAGGAAATAAAATAAGTTCTATTTTTGCACAACATCATACTACAGCATCCCAGCAGGCCTATATCACTATTATAGCTCATCTGAATAACAGAGAGCCTTCCAAAGTCACTCACTCCAAAGATAATGTTGGCATTTTTTCCAAGAGTCGCGAAACGGGTCAGTAGTAGGGAAACCTTCCCGAGTCGCAAGGATGTTGGGGGTTTAAAGTAAGAACTGTGAACTACCTTTCGGGGAGAGAGAGAGAGAGATTATCATGCTAATTTGGTCCTAGAGAAGGCAAATTATCCTAGCGCGGGTGGGTGCTGGCCACGCAACCCCTCCTCATCCCGAAAAACACATAACCATATGATCATCACTAACTAATATGTCTCTAGCGATTAAGTTGGTATCGGGTTTGGCGGTCATGCATATTAAATAATCATGCTACTTCAGGAAATGTGTGGACCGTTTTCTTTTCCCAAAAATGGAAATCCTGTAATATCTTAAATGGTCATGCCCAAATCAAACCCCACTAATAGGTGATGTTTTGGTGGCAAATCTAATGGCTTGAATTAACATAGGAGCGCTCGATACGATTTTGCGGTACATGTGCGGAGATCGTGCCAAACATGCTCTAGACCCACGGAAGAATTCGAGAATCCCCGGCTCCACTACATCATACTACTTCACTGTTGCTTTCTTATTGGTTCTTCCTCTTATGAAAATCGATGAAACTTACGGCTCAAATAAGGTGGCTTGTCATTTTGACCACTGTAATTTAACTGAATGACGGTTTCATTTCCAAAAAAAAAAAGAAGGTTCAAGAAGGAGGCATGCTTAAACCAAAATGACGATGCCTAAGCGGCGAGGGAAAAAGACTTAAATGTCTCTAGCATTCAAATTTTTTGAGCTCATGAGTAAGATTCGAGTCCTTCGCGGATTTTGATGCTATTGCCAAATCCCGCTAGTGGCCTGTCATGAGTAACAATACAAATACCGCAGACAATAATAGTGCAACAAGCGGCCCAGTCCCCGTGGGGGCTGTTGTCCCTTTGGCTCTTTCGCCATTCGTTCTCTTTTTCATAATGTAAGTAGGAGAGAATTTCACATGTTCATCCTTGGGCTACAAACTAAATGCGACTTTGGCCTTTTCCATCAGAATATTACTGATAATATAAGCAGAGCTTACGGTTACACCTTACATAAACGACGTGCAAGGCGCACTGAGACCACGAAACCAGCAAAAAGAGATGACTTTAATTCAGAAGCCGCTTTAGGTAGACTGGAGAGTGTGTCTCCACGCCAAGCCTTCGGCTCATGGTGGGAAGCATTGAAAGTAGAGTTGCAGTTATCGCAGCAAGAAAACACACAAATTATTTGGTAATGTGTCTGACAATCCTATCATTGTCTATAAGTCTACTAAGACTGTCTTGAAGCTGCATTTGTCTTGTGGAAATTCGTGAGACAGATAACATTCACGGATTGAGTTGTCACCACGCTTTTCATGATACATGTCTCCAACAGTGGGTTTTAAATCGGCATAACACCTGTCCGATGTGTCAAAAACCATTCTTTTCAGGGACTGGAGCAGCTGAGAATGTTTGACAGCACGATGTGTACAGTTGACCGACCTCATGATGTCAGTTGGTACAGCGTATCTGCCATCCAGTTACCATGTAGTCCTTTCTGATTACTCCATCTACGTATCCCTGATCCAAAAAGGTGAATACTAGTATGATATTTCTTGTGTTGAAATATGGGGTACTGCCGTGGGCTCCCTATACTAAATTGTCATTCTAAAATTATTATTTTTTATGATACTGGGGCTCGGCTAGACGAGCTCTGATATCGGATTTTCGACCTGACGATAAGACTATCTGATTTGTGGCAGGATAAAAATCTTTGCCTGCTACAGTGGACGGTGATTTCCAGGGTTGTGTATTACTTGAACTATATCCAGACAGGCCGTATAACGTCAGGCCAGACCGCACTTGGTCATCATGCTACCTATTCTGAGAAGCTCCAATTGGTACCACCATTGCTATGAGAATTCCCTGGTGTGTTATGCTAAAAAAGGATTTGCTGATGAGGCATTCTTTTTTTTTTTTTTTTTTTTTTTTTTTTTTTGGTACGGTTCACCTTTCGATGCTAATCCACCGCCACTATAAGACAGTTAGGAGAAAACTAATGTTATAGCTAGCTTCTTCGCCTTTCTTGGTATCTATTTCGTGTTTTGGTTCCTTTGGTCCTCCCGCACAGATAACGACGTAGCTCATCTCTAGAACAATGAGCGGGTTCATTCCACAGGGGCTGCTTCTCCAGAAGGTGTTCCCTCGCGTTGATCCAGCAGAAACTGCATAAGAAAATGTACTTTTAGTCTCTGTACAAAAACTTCCTCTACTTTGTTTTAAGTTCTATATAAACTCAGAAATCAAACAGAGAGCTCGTGTATCGCAATAGTGATATTCAGGTGCATTAATACATCAATCTAATAACTAATTTCAGGGGCTTGTACAATTCCTATATGCATTCCCATCTCGTCGGATATTCAACATCCTGCTACCCATGAGGAGTAAAGAAGTTTTATATTGCTGAATCTCAAGATGAATTGCTTATCCTCAAATAAAACATTATTTTCTCTTCGCTAGATAGATCATTCTCATACATAGCTATTGTTAATGGATGTAGTACTTATGTGATTCAGACTTGTGCTTCCTTACACCTTCTCGGTGAATTTGGTTGTACGGCGCTAATGTACTGTTGCAATCTTCATTAAAGAATAATAGCACACGGTCAAATGTGAGTCTCTTACCTTGTAAATACAAGCTCGCCATTTATATTGCCGATATGTTTAGCCAAATTTATATTATTGACCAGATAGTCACCATGGTCATTTTCAAGTTCGGCATGAAGAATAGGACATCGATCCGGCCCTTCAACAGAAAGGGTTATATTCCGGGCACTCTGGGTGAATTCGTGTCCACCCCAGTTGAAGTGGCCTAGTAGGTTATGGTATGGTTATTATTGGACCATTATAGATAGAACAAAATGTATCTTACCATCCTTATTACCGAGACAATCATCGAGGCGTATTTCGCTTGTAAGACCACTACCGCACTCGTTGTTGCAAATAGCAACAAGGCAGGTTGCCCCAGGTTCGGCGTTAAGGTGAATATCACAAGCGCTGTTGTGGAAAGACATTGTCAATGATTTTTGGGCCTCCGAGTGGATCTTTAGCACAATTCCACTAGATAATGCCGTTGGCGTGAAATTCTTGCAAGGTCGTTGGCTCTAAGTAGATGGATATATCTCAAGTCATCTTAAGTCCCATAGCTTCTCTAACAGAACAACTATGATGCAAACGTGTCTGGTGATCCAGCCTAATCAAGCCTCACGTTGAGCGGATTAGTGACGTCATACAGGGTTTGGTTCCAAGGCTCTTCAGTATGACTATCTTACCAAACCCAATCATACCAAACTCATGTGAAGGGAGAGCCGGAGAACCTTTTATCACAATTGATTGGTGAGAATTGTCCGGGCAAGGCTTGAAGAGGCTGAGAAGGGTAAGTATGCAACATAAGGTGAGAATCGCCCCAAGTCGCTCCGCCCAAGTTGACATAGTATCAAAATGTTTGATCGTCCGGCTCACTTGAATATTGGTCTCTGCACACAACCACCGATTGATATATGTTAAGCCACGGCATCCGCGAGCCCCTATTGATAGTATTTCGTCGATGTGATTGGTCTTGGGATCTCCCATCATTCTGAATGTCACTCACACATTTACATGGAAGAGTCTACTAGAGAATTAACAGTACCGACCTCCTGTACCAATACCCGTTTCCTTATCTAAGTCCAGAATCCAATAGCTTTGGTTATCTAGACCTTAGACAGACAATATTTCAGATACAGGATATTATCTTGTCAAAAGGTTAAGAAGTATAGCGGCGGACCTTTGTGTCTCCCGGGTCCACTAGTACAGGTTGCGGGGGTCAGGAGATACATAACTCCGTGATTTGGCGATCCGTGGACAAGAATTGATACAATTAGGTTCACCCAGAAACAGGAGGGCCTCGATCGCTTCAGCCGACCCTGATGTCATTCTGGCGAGTCTCGGCTTCTGAGTAATCAAATAATTTGTGATCACCTTGCAAGACGTAGCTCTTTCTAAGGCTTCAAGGCCGATCCAAATATGTATTCAAATCGTCAAGTCCCTAATATAGATCATAAAAATCAAAGTCTGGGCCGTTGTGATAGGTTAAATTAACATCTCTTGCTCTCAGCGAATATCCATCCAAATTCAGATAACACCATGGAGAAAAGGGAGGACCATGGCGGCCGAGATTCTGATAACGAATTAAACCACGCTGAAGTCTTAGGTATTATCTACACTTTTTGAATCAGGCACAACTACTGACAGTACAGGGGATGGTCGTGTCAATCTCGGCATGCGACACGTGTGGCGTGTATCACAGGAGCTACCCTTGTTGAAAGACCAGGGTATGAAAGAGACCGGCACTGTCAACGTAACGCCGCCGCATATGAACATCGTCATCCAGGTTGTTGGCTCACGAGGCGACATCCAGCCATTTATCGCTATAGGGGTAGCCCTAAAAAGAGCAGGCCATCGTGTCCGAATTGCAACACATGAGACATTCAGTTCTTTTGTCCAGGATGTGGGCCTGGAGTTCTTTAACATCGGTGGAGATCCGAGAAAATTGATGGCATACATGGTCAAAAATCCCGGCCTTCTTCCTAGCATGAAGACCCTCCGGCAAGGGAGTATTCGAGAGAAGAGAGATGACATGCGCGAAATCCTCGAGGGATGCTGGAAGTCATGTTTCTTGCCGGGCGATGGACCTGGCAACCAGGAAGCAACACCGTTCCTTGCTAACGCCATAATTGCGAACCCGCCTTCATTTGCACATGTACATTGTGCAGAGAAACTGGGGATCCCACTCCATCTCATGTTTACGTATATCTACCTCTCTTTCTTCTTGAATTATAGCTGATATGACTAGAATGCCGTGGTCACCAACACAAGCATTCCCTCATCCATTGGCCAACATTCGGTCCTCTTCACTAGAGACGAAGATCACAAATTACCTTTCTTACATGCTGCTTGAAGAGTTAATATGGGAAGGCCTGGGGGATACGATCAATTCATTTAGGCGCAAGACCCTCGGTTTGCCACAGATTGGCAGATCGTCAGGGCCGAATTTGATATCCCGTTTGGGGATCCCATATACATACTGCTGGTATGCATCCCTCCACCCTCGAATATTATCACTGACAATCTAAGGTCGCCCGCATTGATTCCAAAACCTGAAGATTGGGGTGCACGAATATCAGTTTCAGGGTTTTATTTCTTGCCACTGGCTTCCGAATACACCCCTTCTGAAAGCCTGCAAGCATTTCTTGATGCGGGGAGTCCGCCAATTTATATCGGTTTTGGATCGATTGTCATCGATGATCCAAAATCACTCACCTTGCTACTGCTAGAGGCCGTAAGGCTCGCTGGAGTGAGAGCGGTCATTTCAACTGGCTGGAGCGGCTTAGGTGATTTTAAGATGCCACCTGAAGTACATACTTTAGCAGACTGTCCCCATGATTGGATTTTCCAGCGCGTTTCCTGCGTGGTGCATCACGGGGGGCCGGTACCACCGCGGCAGCGATAGCAGCCGGGAAGCCATCAGTCGTTGTACCTTTCTTCGGGGATCAACCTTTTTGGGGCAGTATGATTGCGCGAGCAGGAGCAGGGCCCGAACCAATACCCTTCAAGAAGCTCACAGCCGCCAGTCTTTCGGTCGCAATCAAAGACGCACTTAACTGCTCTGTGCGGAAAACGTCGCATTCACTGGGGGACCTTGTCAATGACGAAGACGGAGTTCAAGCTGGCATACGCTCTTTTTACCAACAATTGGATCTGTCAATGCTGCAGTGCTCACTTACTCCGATGAGTGCGGCGACGTGGCGAGTTCGCAAGACCGAGGTCAGACTCGGCTCAACCTCCTCCGCGCTGTTAATGGACATGGGTCTGCTTGATTTGGACAAGCTTGAGCTGTGAGTTAATCTATGTCCTCACGGTATACAATATTCTAAGATCATAAGATTACGACCATGTAGTTACAATATTCATGTTGGACCTAGGGATCCTGTATCTGGCATCGCTCTGGCGATGCTTGATTCAGCCGGGTCAGCGATTAAAGGCTTCGAGGAAATCCGCTCTTCCATGAGTAGGAAGTTTAAAAGGAAATCATCCGCCCCGGGATATTTCAATCAATTCAGGGATTCGAGAACTGGGGCTTGCCTGAAGGGCATGAGCCGCGCCTCATCAAGCCTGGTGCGTGCCCCAATCCACGTGGGGGTGGCGTTCACACAAGGTCTACACAACGCCCCGAAAATCTGGGGAGATCGTACGGTAAGACCTCTCGAGACATTTTCCGACTTTCCCAGTGGGGTGAAGGCTGGTGGCAAAGTAAGCGCTCTGGTGTCTCAGCTAGAATATGTCTGGGGGTATTAATCGCGCTAGGAAATGTGCTTTGGTAGCTACGATGGCGTGACAAGCCTCGGCACACATCTTGTGTCTGGACGCCATAATGTGCTGAAGGGGTTATCCGGGCTTGGATTCGATATACTGTCGTTTCTTTCTAAGGCAACATCTGGTGATTTTGCCTACCCCGATTTTGATATATTGTGACCACTGACGTTCAAAATCAGGGCTTTCGGCCATCATCACCTATCCTCTGGGTGGCTTGGACACCGAAGTCGCTCAGTATTTTTCCCGGAGATACGTGTCATCGATGGATGTCCAGTTGGTGGAACAAGGACGAAGCGAATATGCGAAATTAAGCGACGAGGACCGCGCTGGAATTGTTCACCAATTCCAGGAAGTAACTTCGGGTATGAAGAAAAGTCGTCTAAAAAACAAAATTGGGAGGAGTAAAAAGGTTGAGATAAAAACAGGAGGCTGAATATGCGAAGGGACCCTAAGATAATGAATGCTATATCAAAAGAGGGTCCCTATCTTGCACTCTTCTCAAGGCAAACCGTGCATAGTTGTTCAACCATCTACCTTGGTTGCCTCTAAATATTTTTAGATCAGTTAATAGACGACTTCGCAAGATTTACTGTGATGTCTTTTAATTTTCAAATTGCCTTCACCTCCGTACGCTATTCCTTGGAGTGTTAAAATCTTTGGCGATATTGTAGGAAGACCTGGCAATATCATCCCCGCCTCAAACTAACTACGTGACCGCTACCAAAGGGATACTAACCTAAATAGGAAGAAAAGTGTATCCGACTTTTACAGGCCGTAGACATTTCTTTCATTTCTTAGATATTGCACAGTCGATACTTGTAAGGAACAAGAATAACTACTCGTCAAAGCAGAAACCTGTCGGCCAGGTGAAAAGAAGACTTCTCGAAACGATACCAAAATGATAGGGATCAGAAAAAGAGATAAGGAGTAGTATTTCAGGTAGGAAAAGGAAAGTTGGATCTCAGCCCCGTTGGTGTGGCCGCTCTCCCATCATCCGGTATCACCGAGACGCCACGTCATCGCCATGCGAAACTCCGTCGAAGGTCCAATGCGCCAACTACGCCGGCTGCTTCCATCAGCACTTCCTAAGCCCCTTATTTCCCTCTCTGGCTTTCCCGTTCACCAAGGTCTTGGATCACCAAGTTCGCCGGTCGCATCGTGATTGGAGCTAATGGTCGGTCGTGGGCTCTGTGGCGAATCGCGGACCACCACATGCCCATCGCGTGGGATCATCAAATTGTGTGGTCTTACAGCAGACAGTTGCGCAGCGTTGCATTTTTGTTTTGGGGGCTATTCGAAATTCTACGTAGGATAAAAAGTGTACAGTCCCATCGTCTTGACATGATCGTGCTGTGTTCCTAAGAATTCTTCAAGAGCTCTCCACCATGTGCAATATTCTGCCCTATTGTCTGCTGGCGACAGCTGCGTTTGCGGTTGGCTCCCCCACTGTTTATCTGATCAGACATGGCGAAAAGCCTAGTAACGGGAGTACCGGTCTGAGTGCCCAAGGCCTTCAGCGCGCGCAATGTCTTCGGTCTGTGTTTGGCGCAAGCTCTGACTATGATATCGGCTACATCATGGCAGAGACACCAAAAAAGGGTAATATAATCAACTTCCATTTATTTCTTTATTCTACCAAGGGTATCGCTTGCAGAAGTCATAGTTAAGTTAGTTTGTATTTGCTGACTTAGACTCGCAAAGACGGCAAGAGAGATCGCCCATACGAAACTGTGGAGCCGCTGGCCCAGGATTTAGGTATCACGGTTGATACATCTTGCGATCGCGACGACTCCAAATGTGTGAAAGATGTAGTTAAGGACTACAACGGAGAAGGAAACTTGCTGATTTGTTGGGAACATGATGCTTTGACAGACATTGTCCAAGAGTTAGGCGATGACAATGCGCCGTCATACCCCGATGGCCGGTAAGCTATACTTTGTAATTTGTTGACAAAAATACTCATTATACTAATTGCTATTTAGTTATGACATTATCTGGACTGATCCCTCCCCTTACTCCAACATCGCGGCAAAGACCGGTGAGAATTGTCCTGGTCTGTCCTGATCTACACCCCTAGAGAACGCATGGTCCAAGTACATATCAGAATTCGCTCTCGTTTGTTACTCGTCGACATAAAAAATGTCATCAAACCCTCTAGGAATTTGGTGCGAGTCCTCGGTGGACCGAGGAAGCTGGTGGAAGCAGGTAGACTAGAGACCAATGGTACAAGGAGGATGCGTGGGCTGTTAGACCGTGTGGACTTGGAGAATGAAGACAGTCACCTGTCTCCTGTTGGTTTTCTTTTATTATCATTTCTGTGCTACAGTGGTCAGGTGCTTCTATTAAACCGAACATTTTGGGACTAAATGGGGCTTTGACTAAGATGTCTCCACTCAGTCGGGTCTCGCCGCTTGAAGAAAATTGGGTTACGGATATCTCCTCTAGCTTCGCGGAGGCCTCCGTGGCCCAATTCTATGTTGTAATGTCGACCAATCAATAACGATGATTCCTGCTGCTTCAAACAAATTCAGGTTTCGGTTCATATGGCGGCGTGCGGGTTTTGCCCCTCTCTACTAGGAAAGTACGGGAACTTTCGGACAGTATGAAGGTCATTTCGTTTGTCCTGCCAAATAGTCAGTATTTATTATATATCAAATGTAAGTAGCTTCTCATAATGTAAACTCGTTAAATGATCCAGGCAGCTATATAGTAGAAATGAGATCTGTCCAGCTAACCTGACTCTTGCTGATGTTATCGTGGCTAAGCAAAGCCACCTGCTGCTGAGAACAAATTTTTAATCGGGAAAGATAGGATGAAATACGCGTTGTCTCGCTACACATAAATTAGCAGATGCCCACCTCACTAGCCCTACTTCAAAAGCATCAGAAAGCATACAGAGGTCCTTCTCTTTCTTGTTTACTCTCCACGAGGAGTACAAGTAATCTTCACTTTCTTTTGGTCTCGGTTGCCGTGCTGTATTCGCTCGGGATACTGTTCCAGATCAATATTTTCTAAAGTAAGTTATCCATGGGCCATTACTCGTCTCTTATAAGATTGATACTAATATATATTACTTCCTGGCAGTTAAAAAGAAGGAATCAATCGCTCAGTCTCACCCTGGATTCAAATACAAGTAGGCCTTATCCTTCCATGATTCTACATACATTTCTGTTTTCCCTTTTGGGAATACTTAGCTGGACGGTGATACCTCCGTTTCATGCTACCTATCTTGAGTCATCAGCGTTTGGGCCTATTGTTTAACTCTTATCTGTCGTTCCTCATTTTATCAAATCAAGGTATACTGTTCTGATGTGTCAAATTTAGAGCTTGAAGGGCACATCATGTCTTTGGAAAAAACCGATGACATGGTTACATCAGAGAAACATATTGATGCTGCTGTGTCAGAGCAGAGCAAAGCAGGAGTCCTGACGAATGACCTCGAGGGTCTCACTTTGTCTCAAATTCTTGCAAGGCTCCAAGCCTCTAACGAAGCGCCCTACGCCGATAAAGATGGTTCTCCCATACCGCGCAGATTCGCAAATCCAGCTCCTTTGGGGCTGGGGGCCTTTGCCCTTACCTCATTTATCTCAAGTGTCATCAACGTGCGTGCACATAGCAATATAACGCCCGACGTTGTGGTGGCATTGGCATTTTGTTATGGTGGATTGGTGCAACTACTTGCTGGCATGTGGTATGCTTCGCTCTCAACATGAGCCTGAAAACTTATAAGCTCATAAGCGGTTAGGGAAATGGCTCTTGGAAACACCTTCAGTGCAACATCTTTTTCTTCGTATGGCGCTTTCTGGATCTCATTCTCATTCATTTCACTCCTCGAAAGATTCCAGACTCTGGGGAACTTGAAAAGCGATATTACTCAATCACAAACTTCAATGGGTCTATTCTTAATGGTATGTTGCCTCACTATCAATATATGATCTGAGTCTCGGTGTGTTCGTCACTAACAGTGCTTACAGGCATGGTTCATCTTTACGACCATTTTGCTCTTATGCACACTCAAGTCGAACCTTGCTTTATTCTTTTTGTTCTTTTTCCTGGACCTAAACTACCTCCTTCTCGCGATTGCCCATCTTGAACCCGACCCAAATGGCAATATTCGAACCCCCCTGCAGAGGGCAGGTGGAGTATTTGGGCTTTTAGCAGCCGCAGCCGCTTGGTATAATGCCTTGGCTGGTTTGATGAACGCCAGTAATAGCTTCTTCACCGTCCCAGTTGCCCACTTCCCGTGGTCACGCGCTGGGCATTGTCACAGGGCCAAGAGTGATGCAAAAATGGTCTGAGCACATCAGCTGGGAAAAACACATTGACACTATGTCCTCGTTATATGACGCATATTTGTCGGAGAAGCCTATCTGGTGGGTCCACGCATTATACGGTGCTAATAAGGTTGGCTTCATGACTTACAAATCTGGGTCTAATTTTTGACACAAACTAAAAAGAAAGAGCCTGTCTATTCTAATACTAACTGTCACTTTTCAACAAACACATCTAACATATATAAGTTCGTCAATGTGCCAAAAATAAAGGTACTTGCTTGTGGGCCTGAACCTAAGGTACACGCCTAATTTAGGGATGAAGTTCCAATGACTCGACTATACTATGAGAAGCGGCACTTAATAAAGAGATATTTAGTTAGAAACGAAACGCACAAGTTGAAGCGAGCGTTAGTTCTGTGACCTATACAAACCGATGTAACTCAAATATTGTTTCCTCTCTCGGCCAAAAAGTGGAAATATCTGGGCGCACATCGTCTTCTCCAACTCTTCCCCCAGATATACATGGCGACGCCCCCTGAAAGCGACAGCACCACACATGTACCGTAAAAAAGAAACAAGAACCCAATTCCCACTGCATTTAGAAATGGTTGAGTTGATTCAGAAATGGCGAAGTTGATAAATGAGCTACAGATAGCCAAAATAACAACAATTTCCCCTCCAACACCAGGGAAACACTCCATGGCATACGCAGTGGCCTTTCAAGTTAGCAAAGCGACAATTACCTAGAGAAACTTGGAGCATACTGTTGTGGTTGCAGCGACCTGCTGAGCAATCATGCATCCAATGCCGACAGCAATTGTGATCCAATGAGACCCTGTTTCCGCACCCCATCCATATATCTCATAACCAATTCCGGCATAAAGCACACATGGTACCAAAGCCCACAAGCGCATCTCCGGCTCTTTCACCCCGTTGTTGCGCCGTGCAAGATGTAGAACAATCTGGTCACCAAGGGCGCTTGTGATCCAACCGATGATACTGCCAACTAGAGCAGAGATATATGTAAGGCCAGTTTGTCCATCTGTAAAATTATAAGGAGGTGCAGAAAGAGTCTCTGATATCGTATTGTTGGTGACAATTCCAGATGTGCAGCCGAAGGCAAAAATGACGCCAGCCTAGAAAATCGAAAGTCAGAAGTCAATCAGGTGATTGGGGGCTTTGTGTAGTCAGAATGCAGTGTAATATATATGGCACTTACTAGAAGAACATTTGGAAATGTCAGAAGGAAAAATGGTCGTTTGAAGTATGTCCAGTATGACGTCAGATCCTGAGGGTAGTAAACCCAAGGTTTAAGTGTCTGCACGAATGTCCGCTTGGAAAAATCCAATTGTATTGAACCACCTGCGCCAGAGCTACCATTTGAGCCATTGGTATCATTCAAAACGACTGATATTCTCCTCTGTCGAGAATTCACCTTTTCCTGGTTGGTATCTTCAGCTTCAGGTGGAGGGACTCCCTGGATGTGTGGTTTGGACTCATTCAGAGGAAGGGTCTGTGAGAAGAGAAAGCGCGGGAACAAGGTCTCCTCGAATGTAAAGAAAAATATCAATAGAAGGCCAGCTTCGACAATGGCGACAATCCACTGAGCCCATCGCCAGCCAGGGCCATCTGCGATATATCCTCCAGACACTAGCCCAATGATGGATCCTAGTTGTTGAGCAAAAATGTAGACGCCCAGCATGCGGCCACGCTGATGGTCGAAGAACAAGTCAAAGACAACCAATTGGATGACTGCTTCGTATGCTGAGGTACCTAGTCCGTTAACGATGTTGCTGCCAAACCATTCCCCGGCGGTATGAAAGGAGCCCATCCAACTTGAAGACCCAATGCAGAGAATTAACGTGACTAAAAAGCAAAATCTGCGGCCAATCTTCATCGCCGCAGGAATCCAAAAAATATTCACGAAGCCGAGGAGCAGATAGTTGAGAGCGCCACCCCCATTCATGATTGTCATGGTTGATCCAGTCATATCAACGATGGTCGTCCATGCATCTCCAGTGTTGTTCTCTGCAAAAGAGAAGACGCATGCATAGGTAGATATTAGAAACAGATGCCAAAATTTCTTCCATTTCCCCCAGTTCAGTGGGTCACCCGGGCAAGTTGTTGGAGGCGGGAGCAGAATGATGTCTGAGTCTCCATGAGCTACATCCAGATTGTGCTGGACATCGATCAGCAACTCAGTTCCAGGGACCTCAAGGTCACGGTCAAAGGGTGTGAAGACAAGAGTAGGCATACGGGCTAGAAGGAATAAGCTGTCACGGTCCCTTCGTCTTCGCCATACTGCAGCCCTTTATAGCCAGAGTTCATGAAGTGCGGCACCATCGATATCTTTGGCATCTAAATGTACCCCGTATCGGAAGGTGGAGTCGAGTAGCTAGCATCCCGGAATAGGTAACTCATGAAGTTATCATTGGCCGTTCTGGACGATGTTGCGGCCAAGAAAGGAATTCAAAGTTGCGACACAATGGCATGGCAGGTCCAAGCGATGATTGTCCTAAGTACGTATCACTTTCAGATGTACATATGGTAGTATTCGCCAAGTCTCGTCTTTGAGACCGTAAGGATGGTCAAATGCGGGGGACCAACAAGCTCGGGCCAAGAAGTCATCGCGTCGACCTTCCTTCACCTCAGGAGAATTTTCTTCAAGAATAGAACAAAATGGCAGGCCAACTACTTCGTGCCTTTTTGCTTATGTACGATCATTCCCGATTCAGGCGTGATCAAATGGTCATTCATGATACATGGCTTCACTTCCCGGTTTTGATCAACAATCCCAGATCCTGGTCGTCGGCGCAGGGACATGGGGTGCCTCCACTGCCCTCCATCTGGCTCGACGGGGATACCATCGTATCACAGTCCTAGACTCCTATCCACAGCCATCAGCTATCTCGGCAGGAAATGATGTGAACAAGATTGTCTCGTTCAGTGAGCCGCCTGTAGACAACCGAAATTGGTCCAGATAGCTAACTCTGTCAACTCACAGCAAGGCCCCCCGATGACAATGATGCAGATTTTGCGAATAAGACCTTGATGGCAGCTCTGACTCAAGGGTACCAGAATGACCCAGTCTTCCAACCACATTTCCGTGACGTTGGATATATCTTTTCGGCTATTTCACCGGACGGACTCAAGCACATCGAGCGACGCGACCGCGGCGGCGCAGAGCTGGTCGATCTAAACCACCCGGAGGATTTTCGTCAAACGATGCCACCGGGTATTCTCACAGGCACCTTAACTGGGTGGAAAGGATACTGGAGGAGGAAGGGAGCCGGCTGGGTGCATGCGCGCAATGCATTGATTTCTGCCATCACCGAGGCTAAGCGACTCGGTGTGACGTTCATCGGCGGTGATCCTGACGGTAAGGTTGTGCGACTTCTCTACGGTATCAAGAACGGTGGCTGCTCAGATGTCATTGGAGTCGAAACCGCAGACGGGCAAACTCACCTGGCCTCGCGAGTGATCCTGGCGGCGGGTGCCAATGCCGATCAGTTCCTGGATTTCAAAAACCAGTTGCGGCCCACCGCATGGACTCTAGCGCATGTTCGTTTGTCACCCGAGGAGGCCAAAGCATATCAAAACCTCCCTGTTCTGTTCAATGCAGACCAAGGTTTCTTCATGGAACCCGATCAAGACAAACACGAACTCAAGGTTTGTGACGAACACCCAGGATACTGCAATTGGATCATCGGCCCAGACGGCGAGAGGCGAAGTATCCCCTTTGCACGCCACCAGATTCCCTTGGAAGCCGCAGACCGAATGCGAGGTCTTTTACGAGCCACGATGCCTCAGCTTGCGGATCGGCCATTTTCCTTCGCCCGCATTTGCTGGTGCGCAGACACAGTCGACCGAAATTTCCTCATAGACTACCATCCTGACCATCCTTCTCTGCTTCTCGCAGTAGGTGCCTCCGGGCGCGGGTTCGCCCATATTCCGTCCATTGGTGGATTTATCGTGGATCGCCTGGAAGGGAAGCTGGATGCCAGAGTCGCGTCTGCACTGCGCTGGAGGCCTGAGCAGGCGGTCAATCGGAATTGGACGGACACGCAGAACCGGTTTGGAAGTCCATATAGAGTAATGGATTTCCAGGAAGTAGCTGAGTGGACAGATATTCATAGCCCACATCTGTCTTCTCCTATCAGCAGCCGAACTTAACATAAAAATGAACTTCCTTGTGTATGCACTCGGCCAATGGATAGAGATGATAATAGATGTTGACCGAGCCATAATTCGGTATCGCTTTAGCCTGTTCAAGATATTTTCAGGCTTCAAAAGATCATTGCATCAATTCCACAAATTTATAATACACAAGGCTCATATCTTGAATTGAGGGAGTTCAGAATACAAGAAGCATTGAGAGGATATTCCCCCAGAAAAAAAGCCAACTCTGACTTACTTTGTAGCTATAGTTTCTGTGGCCTTCTCATCGACTTCCATTCAACGAAACCCGCCCCCAGGAAGGAGAGCGCCGCCGCGCACACGGACACATAAAAAGTCTGCGTAACTGCAATGTTGTAGGCGTAAAGCACTGAAGGGAGAACATCTTCGGGCAGTCTTCTCGATAAATTTGCCGCCCCTGCCTTGATAATCGCATCGGAGCTGACGCTTGGGGCGTACAAAGAAATACTTGCCACAAGCCTGTTCTGGAAGACGTTCTGCGCAATGGAGATAAAAATGGCCCCACTCAGACTCTGTGCAAATGTGATGATAGCAATACCAATTGGGATATCGTGGACTTGCAGAACCGTCTGGAGTGCATTGATGCACTGTTGAAACCCGAGGCCGGCCCCGATGCCTATCATGACTTGGTATCCAATCCATTTGCCATATTCCGTGTCGACTCGAAGAGTCGTGCAAAGCCCGGATCCGATGGTAAGGAAAGCGCTGCCGGCGAACATAAGTGGAGTGTAGTAGCCAATTAGGTTTACGAGCAGGCCCCCGAGGGCAGAGCAAAGGATCATCGCCACAACCAATGGAAGGTTATTGACTCCAGACTCGGAGGCTGAAACTTCTTTGATTGCTTGGAACCAAACTGGGAGCTTTTTGTGCTTGTCAGCATCCAAAACCTTGAGTACAGCGATTCAAAGCTTACATAGTAGCCAAACACAAAGAATGAGCCACCCAAGAACGTTGCATGTATAACTGCGCCATAGACATTGCGATCCTTGACCAAACGAGGGGGCACAGTAGCATTGTCTTGTTTCCAATATTGGACAAAACACCACATGACCGCACAAACTCCGAAGAGGACACAAAGAACAACGACTCGTGCATTCCTCCAATCGTATTGAACTCCGCCCCATTGGAGCGTCAACAGAATTGAGACAACGGCAGGAATAAAAATGAGAAAACCAATTGGATCCATCTTCCTTAGTTGTGTGAGGCTTAAGGGCTGAGTGTTACTCCTTGGTTTGTCCTTGAAGAAAAGAATGATAAAGACCCCTGTAATGGCTCCAAGAGGGAGGTTGATGTAAAAACACCACCTCCAGCTGACTTTGTCCGTGAATATTCCTCCTAGTCTATCCCATTAGTTAATAGATGAGGCACGCAGTACATGGCATCAATACTTACAGTGGCCCAGTAATGGTCGCAATGCCACTTGTGCTGCCTATAATCCCCATGTACAATGCCCGGCGGTGAAGTGGCAGACTGGTCGCAAGGACAAGTAAGGCACCCGGGGATAGTCCGCCAGACCCAATACCAGCAATGGCTCTTCCAAATATTAGTCCTTTTGATGTTGGTGTCACGGCGCAGATCAAGGAGCCTATTTCGAACAACGCAAGAGCTGTCATATACGTCCATTTGGTGGAAAAATGAGTGTAAATCTTGCCAAAAGGGAGAGTAACAGCGCATGTCGTCAGCAGATAGGCACTTGCGTACCACGAGAGGTCTTCGAGCGAGTTGAACTCCTCCGTGATTTTTGGCACTGCGGTTCCAAGTATGGTATTGTCCTTTTGGTTGTCACCGTTAGCGAGAAACCGACGCAATGCCATCAGGCTCAGAACTCACTAGAGCAATGCAAATGGACTGGAAGCACAACCCTATCAAAATAGGTACAAGTTTCAAGATTGACGGATAATCGTCTTTCTCTTCCTCAATACTCCGTTCACTTCCAGACTCTTTCAACGGGATGTTGTCGCGACTCTCGAAGCCTTCATGTCGACAATCCTGTGTGCTTGAGCTGTCTGCCATGAAGCTCAAAGCTATCCCTCCGATTCCTATTCAACCCGTTGAACCCTTTTTGGAGGAATACTGTTGCAGTCATGCGGGTTTAAAGTCGAGCTTGTTGAAGGTAGGTTGACTTGCGACCGAGATGAGCTGGGTACTAGGCGAAGAATTTGCCTCAGGGTTCTTGGTCAAACTGCGGTCTTACAGATAGGCGTTACTTGCACCTAATGCAAGGGATACATCGGATTTTCGCTCCTGGGCTCTCGCTCTCCTGCAGCATTCTTCTCATTTTCTCCGGTATGCACCAATCCAGACTTCAAACAAGGCGCCTGCTACCCAAATCCAGTACGGCTATTCCAAGGACTGCAAATATACTTGCTTTATTATGCCAAGAGGTTTTGGACGCGAAGAAACGATTCACTCGATTAACTGCCGTTTGCACTGTACTGGCGTTTGATCTCTAAATCCGAGATTCTCCGACTCTCTGAGCCCCTACATTCCAAACTATCTGTAACTTCGCAAAACTGTACTTCTTTGCATGGAGATTATTAAGAGGTGGCTAGTTCATATGGTCACTGTGCATAATGCTGTTTACTGAAGCGGCCAAGTCATGCGACCTGAAATAAATGAACCACCGAAAGATCAGGCGATCATGCGAATATCCGTTCAGAGAGAGTGATGTCACTAAGGAGCCCCAGCTGCTCGAGATTACTTCAAGACATGACAAATTGAGGCTAACGGCTAGTACCTATGTACACTAACAGTTATATCGCCTGGATTGTGTAACTCAGAGTTGGAATCCTGATGCATATGATACTAGAGTTAGCTTCAGTATTGTAGCATGGTCATCATGAACCTACTTTGGTTTTCTGAACTTGTGACATTTCAGCCAAGGTACCCCTCATAATCTCATGTTACGACATAGCCGCCATGAGACTCTACAAGGACGAGAGGCTTCTCGCTGAATCTGGATGTAATTTTACCGTAAATGCAGCAACTATTGGATGTTTTCAAAAGAGGCAGAGAGATTGAGCCAAGATCGGAGAGAGTTGAAAGTATACGCAGCTGACCTAGATAAGCTGAACCTTTAGGGTCTGGTGATGGTTTGTATCACTGCACTTATGATCGCCCTATTTCTTTTTGTATAGGTTCGTAGGAGCGACCAGTAAGCATAAAGCATTGCAGTAAATCCCGGCTCGGTTATCAACGGGAGTCCTAGTCCTAGGAATAGCACGTTGCTGTGGAGGTTTCTAGGCCATCTGCTCATTATAGTCTACTTTTCGCGTTAGCTCCCAAAGGTGTATTTTTGGTTTTGAATTCAGCTATGGTGTCAAAATCAAAGACTTAGAATGATTCTGGCTAAGTATAAGAATGCTATCTCAGGGGCCTTGCTTCGTTTAATGTATAGTGATGCTTGGACTCTATTCATATGCGAGATGAGACCACCTGGAACCTTCTGCGACAGCGTAACGAAGTTCAGAGTATCAAAGTCCTCCGGCTCCATTATTTAGGCAAAAATACAAAGCCCTTTTTCTGTCAGCTTGCAGATCATTTTGAGTCAATTGGTTCCACGAAGAGCGAGTACAGCTGGATGGGAAATCTTCTAGATCCAAATCCAAAAACAATCAAATCAAATATACGGATTTATGAGATAATGAAATCGCTTCCTAGATGAATTTAAAATGTCTTTACACGATCACAGAATTGCAAGGTTTGAAATATTCTCATGAGACATATATATGTAAGTATCCGTTGGTGAGCTCGATTACACAAGTCAGGAGTCATAAAAAGCGACTTAGACTAGAGCAAGCTATATTTGTTGGTACAAGTCAAGCAATAGCTAATGCTTCTAAAGTACAGTCCCGGCTCGCACATCTTGATTCATGTCAGCGGCTGGAATATCCCCACCACCCAGCTTTGCAGGCAGTATAGTACCAAAAGTCAGGCTCAAGTGACGGAAGTCAAATGGCGGGCCCCCCTGACGATGTTTCATCGATCAGGATCAATACCTTCATCTGGAGCCTGTTGCAATGTAGGTAGGTTCGCAGCAGGAACATATTATTAGCTCCCAAGAAACCAAAAGACTCACGGCGGCTCTTGTTGGACAGCCAAGGTTGTCGTGTGCTCCATTCCTTCCAATCCTTCTAGAAGCACTTAATACTTGGTTGCTTGGGACCGCAGAAGGCAAATCCCCTGACTAGACTTTTGCGGGAAGGATCCATGTGCAATAATAGGGCTCCTGCAATAATAATAAATCCTTCTGAGAATCAGATCGCGAAATTCATTAGTCCTATCTTGGAAGTCCCGACTATGCGGACCGGTTCCTTGGAGGAATCCTCGTTCGCGTCTAACGCCCGATTGGGGACGGCCGATGGCCATTTATTATCAGATATCCGAATCTGCGAAGGGCTTTAGCAGCCAACATGCGCGGTTTCTTTTTTTTTTATTATTAATAATTTTTTTTTTTTTTTTTTTTTTTGGATACTCATGGGGAAGTAGCCAGAGCGCTGGAGATGAAGGTATAGGCAGAAATGATCGCCCTCGGTGGTCTAACGTGGGGTTACATACCGTTTTTGCGTGGAGGGGGCCATATTATCATTTTGACACTATGTGAAACAAGAAATTGTAGATATCCACAGAGCCAATTCAATCAGATCGACCAACAGCCAGGTACAGTGGTGTTCCAAAAGTCTGAAACCAGTTACCCGCGTATGTGGTAGATAGAGTGTTTCAGACTTTTGGAACACCACTGTATTAACTGTCTTAAAGTGACGCAACTGAGCATCTTGCGCATCTTGCCCCATTATTCCCACCAATTCACCAGACCAGCAAACCACTACAGTGAGAGGTAAGAGTAATGCGTCTTCAAAACAACGCTCGAAACCCCGATACCCAATCGGGACAACTCGGAAACTATGAAGCTGGCTAGCCGTCCCTCTCAAATAGGCAGGCCTTTTTGGCGCGGGCTTGGGAGATTGATGGGTCAGTGCGCGTCGAGCCAAACTTTCGAACCGCAGGCGCATACTGTATCTGCTGGGTGACTTCAGTGGCGGCCGGGAGGCGCCACAGGGCTTGAGCGGCAGGGCGTCATGAGCACGCATGATTATGTTCTAGAAAATCGCTGTCTGGGCTTGAGGATGTGTGCCACACAACAAACGAGTCAAATGAAACACGCCGTAAAGACAGGATCGGGGTACGACAGCGGGTTACTCTCCATGGACAACCTCCCGGAACTGCCTGTTTGGGATCCCTACCCCCAGGATTCGGCCGCAACCGCGGTGGGGAGAAGACAGGAAGCAAGAAAGATGCACAGCACCTATGACCTAATGGCTCAGGGCAGAGGGGTCTGTCGTTGGCTCGCCAGGGGAAAGTGGAGATCGTGGCTGTTTTAGCGCGCAGTGAATCATTTCCATGGATGGAAAAAGACCACCTTCTAAGCTGGAAGGGCATAGGCGCACGCTGCTTTTTTGGGTCGGAAAGGGGCTTGACACTCCTTCTACTTCAGGGCAGTTCGGAGAATAAATGACTATGTACTACTGTTGTATGATATGATGGGTCGTGGCCATACAGCAGTTAGTTGGTAGATGGCTGTTTCTTTGTCTTGTGTGACGCCACCAAGCCATCCTTGTACATAACTACGGCATCATTGCATTATTATTACTAGGCGACCTCCTCGGCCTCGGGGGGCAGTCCCTCGACTATGTACTTATGGACAGGTCGCAGAACCACAGTCAGTGGCTGCGGCCTTTCGGACACGCCAAGACCTCGACCGGGACGATTCATTTCGGTTCCGCGACTTTTTTCCGGCCACAATCCCGATGCCGCAGATGGTCTATGGGACAAGGAAGCCCTGGGATTCGCGCAGATGAGGCGGATGGGCCACGCACACAGGAAGGATGTATGCTATGGACTGCGCATTATCCATAATTAGTAACATCGTAGTATTATTATTATTATTATTATCAGTTGCTACGGGATTTCCTCTCTGAGGGTTGTTCGCCAGGGGCGTTAGCCCGAGATAATCGTCGTTTCTTCTCCTTCCCCCCAGATCCCGGGGCCTCCCAATATTTCATCTTCGCCCCGGGCGGAGTGAGTCGCGGGGAGGAAGAGAGGGGCTCCACTCCGCCTGGAGAACCGGGCGTTGACAGGCCGGAGGACGTCAGAGCCCAGGGGCTGAACTGGAAGGGAGCCGGAGGGCCAAAACCGAAAACGTGGAGGACGCTAACCATCTCTGGCGAAGCCGAAGCCGTGGTCCATGGCCTGGCCGACACGGCCCGCACTCATTGGGCGCATCTCGCGTGGTGCTGTGGATCTCCTCCAAGACCCAGTTTCGACAAAATACCCAACTGCGCGAGATGAATCGGAGTACTGGGGGCCGTTGGCAGGCTCTTGGTGTCCGTGCAAGAGCTGGATATGGCCGGGGATGGCCAACCACGGCCGGCCCTGCTCGCCGGCGTGGGGAGAGGGCGAGATGTAGGTGGACCCTGTTCACGCCCGTCTCCGAATCAACGACGGGCGTCTGCGGCTCGGCAGCGACAAGAAGAGGAAGTACTAACAGACGCCCCCTGGTCCCAAAAGTTCACGGCCCCCGTGTGATAATCAATCAACCCGCGAGACTCTGCTTTTAAACCCGGCTGGACCCCGCGCCTGGAGATCTTTCTCTTCATCCACTTTCCTTGATATTCCTCTTCTCCCTTTCTCTATACCCACTTCCGGCTGGATCGGCTTTCAGTTTAGACTATCGGGATATAGAGGCATACGGCGAGGCAATCGACAATATGGCTCGGAAATTCTTGGGCCTCGATGGCACCAAGCTGCAGATCGCCATCGGTCTGCTGGCCGGCATGGACTTTCTGCTCTTCGGCTACGACCAGGGTGTGACGGGTGGTCTGTTGACCCTTCAATCGTTCAACTCTGTGTTCCCTAGCATTCAGACTTCGGGAATGGTCATGCATGACGGCGTACTTACACCCTGGAAGAAGCTTCCACCATCGGTTACCAGTTATCGGACTACGAAGCAAGGTATTGTCGTCGCAGCGTACAACTTGGGATGTTTTGCAGGCTCTATTCCCACCATCTGGGTCGGTAACATGCTGGGTCGCCGTCGTGCGATCTTCATCGGTTCTGCCATCATGATCGTTGGCGCCATTCTTCAGTGCACCTCATACGATCTGGCGCAGCTGATCGTTGGTCGCCTGGTGACTGGATTCGGAAACGGCATAAACACCTCCACTGTTCCTACTTGGCAATCGGTACGTCTCAGTTCAATATCAGGTCTATGGAGTTGGGAACTCTTTTGCTGACTTAATGTGTAGGAGTGCTGCAAGTCCCACCGCCGCGGCCAGATGGTCATGATTGAAGGTGCTATGATTACCTGCGGTATCACCATCAGTTACTGGATTGACTTCGGTCTGATGTTCGCGGACCCCAACCCTGTCGCTTGGCGGTTTCCGCTGGCTTTCCAGTGCTTCTTTGCCCTGGTCATCGTCGCTTTGGTCATGTTCCTTCCCGAGTCTCCTCGCTGGCTCATCTTGAAGGGCCGCGAAGAGGAGGCCAAGGAGGTCCTAGCGACGCTGATGGGTGAGGGTACCGACGAGATGTTCCTGGAGACTGAGTTCACGGCCATCAAAGCAACTGTGCTGGAAATGGCCCAGGGCTCGCTGCGCGACATGTTCACGATGGGCCCGGATCGTCATTTCCACCGTACTATGCTGGCCTACGTCAACCAGATGTTCCAACAGATCTCGGGTATCAATCTGATCACCTACTACATCCCCACTATTTTGGAAGACCACGTCGGATTGAGCGGAGTTGAGTCGCGTCTGATCTCTGCGTGCAATGGTACCGAATATTTCCTGGCCTCCTGGGTGGCTGTATTCACTGTTGAGAAGTTCGGCCGCCGCACTCTGATGCTCTTCGGTGCTGCTGGCATGTCGGCTTCCATGGTTATCCTCGCAATTGTCGACAGCATCTCCTCCAAGCCCGAGAACCTGAACACTCCCGTCGCTGCCAAGGCCGGTATTGCCCAAGCGGTCTTCCTGTTTGTGTTCAACACCTTCTTCGCCATCGGATGGCTCGGTATGACCTGGCTCTACCCAGCTGAGATTGTGCCCCTGCGGATTCGTGCTCCGGCCAACGCCTTGTCGACTTCGTCCAACTGGATCTGGAACTTCATGGTCGTCATGATCACCCCGGTTGCTTTCAACAATATCGGCTACCAGACCTACGTGGTCTTTGCTGTGATGTAAGTTGCCTGGTTCTCTTATCCTGACCGAAGATGAAAATACTGACTCTGAATAGTAATGCCTTTATCGTGCCCGTCGTCTACTTCTTCTTCCCGGAAACCACCTCGCGATCCCTGGAGGAGATGGACCGCATCTTCCGCAAGACCACAAATGTATTCAACGTGGTCTCGCTCGCTCGCAACGAGCCGCACATGTACGGTCCCAATGGCGAACTCCTTCGCACTCTGGATGATGTCGAGGATGAGGCTGTTCGTCGCGCTAGCTTCTTGAACCAGCAACACAAGAAGAGCCATGAGACCCACCGCGAGAACGCCGAGAAGGACAGCGAGAACACCAGCGAATAGACCTCGACGTCTGTCGATCTCCAGCAAATCCTAGACTAGTTCAGGCACCGCTCTTGTTATGTGCGTGATGCCGACGTGAAGGCCGTGGTGGACTTGAGTCAGAACCGCTCAGCCCAATCGGCCGGGTTCAGGTTAGGTTCTTCCGGTCATTATTATTATATTTATGTTTCAAAGAGGAAGGTCAAATACCCATGCTAGACTGAATTTTGCTTTCATCATTAATTTTTTGAATTCCACTTCCGTTTATTACTATGATATATGTGTGTGCCCTTCGGGTTTCCTGCTTTTTTCGTTGCAATAGTGTATTACATTTAGAGGCGCTGGGGCTGTACACTTCAATGCTTTTACTGTCTCCATTTCTTTCCCAGGCTCTCTTCTGCAGCAAGCATTCCAGGGGACATACAAATTTGTCGGACTTATCCTTTTGCCAGCTCGGGATCTCCAGTGTCCATAGACAGGGCGGTTTCTGACTGAGCGACCGCTGGATCCTCTCATCCTTTTACCGATTCGATGTTACCTTGACCCGGCAGCAGCCAAATGCCATTGGCCTTAGAGAGTGTGCCAATAGTTTACCCCTGATGGCTTTATCTTCGAAATATCAGCCCTGATGATCGACATGGCACGAACCAATAGTAACCGAAGACCGCGCAGACATTCAGCTGTAATGTTTCATAGATGGTGGAACCCCGTGAAGTGGGGAGCAGCGATTATTATAACATAATAGCCAGTTAAACCCGGATGTATCACCCAGCGTCACCTGTCTATGCATCATGCTGTTTTCCAATATTGTGGCGATCGCAGCCCTCATGCCGGCCGTCACAGCGTCGACGCTGCGGCCGGTTCGTCCCCAACAAGCTGACCTGAGCCGTTTTTCTCAATCAGTCTCCCGTTGCACTCCAGCGTATACTGAACAACATCGGTGCGAATGGATCTGATGTGGCTGGAGCCTCCGCCGGCGCCGTGGTAGCCTCTCCATCTACATCAAACCCTGACTGTAAGTTTGCACAAGGTAGTACCGTGCCTCGTACAAGATTAACAATATATAGACTTCTATACCTGGACCGGGATGCGGCTTTGACCTTTAGCATGGTCGTTGAACGGTCTCTGGCTGGCGATAATTCCCTAGAATCCCTTATCCACCAGTACATTGCCGCTCAGGCCAAGCTGCAGACTGTCTCTAACCCATCTGGGGACCTCTCAGACGGCACTGGGCTTGGCGAGCCGAAATTCTACCCTAATCTCACAGCGTTCCTGGGTTCCTGGGGCCGCCCTCAGCGGGACGGACCGGCTCTGCGAGCGTCCACTCTTATTGCTTATGGCAAACACCTGATGGCTGCTGGACAGCAGTCGGTGGTTAAATCGAATATCTGGCCTGTTGTACAGAACGATCTGTCTTACGTCGCCGAATACTGGAACCAGACCGGATTTGATCTGTGGGAGGAAATAGAGGGCTCTTCTTTCTTTACGATCGCCGCGCAACACCGCGCATTAGTGGAGGGCGGTGCTTTTGCTGCAGCGCTCGGTCAATCGTGTGATGGCTGTGACTCGCAGGCCTCGCAGATCCTTTGCTTCCTCCAAGATTTCTGGAATGGTACAGCTGTGATCGCCAACCTGGCTGCCAACGACGGCCGCTCAGGACTGGATGCGAACTCGTTGCTTAGCTCTATCCACACCTTCGACCCTGCCGCGCGTTGCGATGACACCACATTTCAGCCCTGCTCTGCACGTGCTCTCTCAAACCACAAGCTAGTCGTCGACTCTTTTCGCTCTCTCTATGAGGTCAACAGGGGAAAGGCTGCCGGGAGTGCAATTGCCATCGGTCGCTATGCAGAAGATACCTATCAAGGCGGAAATCCATGGTAGGCTTATCATATTACCTTCCTGACCCAGGAATCTGCTAACACATGTACTGCATATAGGTATCTATCCACATTAGCGGCCGCGGAGCAGTTGTACGACGCTCTGTACCAATGGAAAAGACAAGGGTCGCTTTCTATCACACAGACAAGCCTTCCATTCTTTCAAGACCTTGTCTCATCTGCTGCGACAGGAAACTACTCCAGCTCTTCCACCACGTATTCCTCAGTCACGAAGGCTGTTCAGGCCTATGCTGACGGATTCTTCTCTGTGGTGCAGCAGTATACTCCCGACAACGGGACTCTGTCTGAACAGTTCAGCCGAGACAACGGCACTCCAACCTCCGCACGGGATCTGACCTGGTCCTACGCGTCGTTTTTGTCTGCCGTCGCCCGTCGTGGTGGCAGTGTGCCAAGCTCCTGGGGGTCATCGCGGGCCAACAAAGTGCCAACTCAGTGCCAGCCGAGCTCCGCAACTGGAACCTATGTTACGCCGGCAGTCACATCTTGGTAGATGAACAGTAAGAGTGAAGATCAATTGGACATAGTCGAAATGACTTCTTTTGCTTCAGAATGAACCGTAGCGTAACTTGCGGGGGAGCGACCCACATGAGCTCTGTTAGCCCTGGCGCACTGCGGCGTAAAAAGAGAGAAGAAAAACTTTTTGAGGCAAATAATCATCAGCTGCCGCCCATCAATCAAGTCTACAATGGAGCTAGAGTCTCTTAATCTGAATGAGCCCGAGCGGAACTGCGAAGATCAGACTCAGTCTCGCTCTTCATACCGAGAAGGGACTCAGCTATTCCACCCGCCCCCCCCCCCTTCCGGTGGACAGTGGCAAGGATGCCTGGCTGTTTCTATAGCGGCCGGCTTCATCATTGAGGGTCTCACCTGGGATATGTTTGTCCTTAGGCACTTGTAAGTTCGGGCAAGTGCTAAGGCCTTTAGGCTTTGCTTTTTCATACTGCGTCTTCCAGGACTACTATTCCACAGTCGACGTGTTCCGCGATTCGGGGAACACCGCCGCCATCGGCCTACGCATCTCGCCATTTTGCCTTATAAAACTGTCTAACAAAGGTTTACGGAATTTCTTACCTATCGGCACGACTGGATTTTGCATGATTTCTAGGTGTCTTCGATTTCGTCAACTGGCCACCCCGGTGGGCTTCTTGATTATGTGCTTGGCTCTGGCGCTGAGCTCGTTCTCCAAAACTACGACTCATCCCATTCTCTCGCAAGGAGTGGCCTATGACGAGGTGCTGGACTGGTGTATTTGCTTGTCATTCTTTTCATGAATGAGTGGTCTATCAACGGCGTGGGCTTGCCTTTGTTACCTTGTGGGTAAGATTATATTTGTTCTATCTTTACGGTTTGCACCAGCGCCAACTCAATGCTCTAGGCAGGAATTGGCATGTCTGGCGTTATCTTTCCAATGACACTTCAATGGCTGCTCACCGAGTTTGGATTCCGCACCACACTTCACATCTGCTCAGTTGTCCTCTTTCCTCCGGTTATGCCATTCCTCTATTTCGTCAAACCACGCCTTCCAATCACATGCGATTCTGTCAGCACTATTCGACCTTTTGACTTGAGCTTTATCTGGACTCGGTCATTCCTCATCTACCGGGTGTGCAATATCGTGGAAGCATTGGGAATTTTCCTGTCTACTGTCTACCTTCCCACCCAGGCTCGGTCCTTAGGGTCACCGACCAGTTGGCCTCGCTCACTGTAATCTTGTTCAATCTGGCATCCATGGTGGTCTGCGTCTTCAAGAGCATGCTGGCGGACCGCTAACGAGCAACAATCTGCATCCTTGTTTCCAGCGTCGGCAGCGGCCTCTCTGTGTTTCTTCTCTGGGGATTTAGCGTGTCATTGGCACCACCCTACGTTTTCTACATAGCCTATGGCTTATTTGCCGGCTCGTGGTCGTCCACCTGGACCGCCGTCACGCGAGAGACATAACAGCTGAAGCAACTGGCAGATCCGGCGATGGTGCTGGGGATTTTGGAGGCCGGTCGCGGCATCGGCAATATCGTGAGCCGATTCTTGGGCGAGTCACTCATCTCCAGTAGAGCTTTGAGTAGTGCGTACGCCTTCGGGGTACCTACGGAAGCCTTATCATCATCACGGGAATTACGTCTCTTTTTGGTGGTGCTTGCGTCCTGGCGCGGCCTTTGAAATGGATCCGACTCGATAAAGCCTGAAATTACTCGCTAAAATAGTACTAGAGTGAAAACAAGAACCTTACCGCCTCCATATCATTGCTTTGAAATACCATCTACTTCCAAAGGAAAAAGATCGAGAGAGTACCCTAGATGGTAAAGGTACTCTCGAGGGGCAATTCCCGACTCGAGTGGCCGACCCAGATCTTGTAGGTTCCACGCTGCAAGGCCCATTGTTGAGCTCCCACATTCCAAGTGCTCAAGTCTCTTCGGGTCAGCGAGAAAGAGACAGTCTCGCTTTTTCCAGTTGCTATCGGTACCTTTTCGAATCCACGCAGTTGGCGAACCGGTCCGTTTGGAATCCCGACATAGAGCTGCGCAACTTCATCCCCGTCCACGCTGCCAGTATTATGCACAACTGCAGTGACTGTAACAAGTTCGTCCCACAGGTGCGGGTTGCCGCCTTGCATGACTGTCGCTGACGGTGGGTACTGTGATGACGGCTGGTCTGTTTTGCGCAGGCTCAGGTCTGAATACGTGAAAGTTGTGTAGGAGAGCCCATAGCCAAACTCAAACCGTGGAGCAATATCCTTCTCATCGAACGCTCTGTAATCAATGAATTGGCCTTCACTAAAGTCAGACTGCGGGAACAGCCAGTATTTGCCTTCGGGCTCCGAGGGACGGAGCAGAGACCCGTAGTCGTTTGCCTTTTTAGCCACCGTGTACGGCAGACGACCAGACGGATTGGCTCGGCCATACAGGAGATCAACCAAGGCTCTTCCGGTATTTTGACCGGGCAAGTGGGCAAACATGGCCGCGGTAATGTTTTCATGTTCAATCCACCCATCAACCAACCGAATTCCAGCATTGTGAATAACCACCACTGTATTGGAACACTTGCCGGCCACATTAGTGATTAGAGTATCGCTGTAACTGTCACTCAGCCCCGGACGGTCATAGCCCTCAGTGGAATAGGCATTGACAAAAACCAAGCATACGTCGGTCGTCGTGTCGACATCAGGGTCTTGGGAATCAAAGTTCCACATGACAGAGCTGCCGTCAGAATATGCTTGTTGTTGAATCGCACCCAGGGGGGTATCAACATAAGCGGCCGAGTTCATGCCCGAGCCCCCTCCAACATACAACGTACTGTTCTGCGTTGCCTGGGCAGAGGAGACCCCTGCAGGCTGGGTTTCCAGGAATTCTGGGCCATGGGCATCATACCCAAAGACTGACACAAGCTTGGGAGACTTCAAGGGCAATGCATTGTTTGTGTTTTTGACCAAGACATGGCCCTCGATGGCACCTCGGAGCAGAATTGGTTTCGAATCGGGAGATTTGCCAATAATCCTCTGATGCGCAGTAGTCACATCGGTGGGCATTCCAATTCCTGGGCGTGGGATACTCTTTTCCTGGTCCAGCTGGTACCAAGTCGCCATAATTCTAAACAAAGCTTGTTTAGCAAATTGTGCGGTCCCTGCACAGAGGGAATTCATTACCTGGTCACCATATCGTCCAGCCTAGAGGCTTTCATTGATCCATTGGAGATGGCAGTTGTCAAATTATTACCCCACATGGTCGATTCAGGCATGACCATGTCCAACCCAGCATTGGCCGAGGCGATGCCAGCCCACTGTGCGCCCCAATCAGTCATCACATATCCTATCAAATTAGTTAGGTGCCAGGCTCTCGCTAGAGACAACTTCTCACCTTGAAATCCGAGCTCGGTCTTCAAAAGGCCGTTCATTGTCTTGCTATTTTGGCAGGCGTAGGAGTTGTTGATGCGCTGATACGAACACATAATCGATGCAGTGCCTGCCAGGACAGCATCCTGAAACGGCCATAGGTATAATTCATGCATCGTCTTGTCGTCGAGGTTCGCGCTGACTGATTGCACGTACTCACCCTGCGCGTTGTCCCCGGGGTATCGATTTGTCTCTTGTTCGTACGCAATAAAATGCTGCCATCTTAAGCAAGAGATGCATATTGCTGGTCTTTAAGTCATACCTTGGTACAAGCCCCAACCCCCGAAGATTGTGCGCCTTGGACAGTCTGATAGACAAGCGCACCGCTCAGGTAAGGATCATCTGAGAAGCCTTCCCAATTGCGTCCGCCCTCAGCGATACGCCCTAGCGGCCCGACAACGGGTCCTAGCATCATATTGACACCCTTTCGGGCAAATTCGGCTCCCATGTGAACGGCTCGCTGCCTTGCCAATGCCTTGTTCCAGCTGAAGATCATTGTCAGTGCCTACTTGACAAAGGACAGAAAATGCGTTAATACCTCGCTCCAACATGGATTCCGCTGGGCCAACTGCTGACATAGTCGGTATTTCTCTGTTAACATTAGTCCGCAACCCGAGAGAGTAGCATGTCACTACAGACCAGCCCATTCCCTGCATCCGATACACACATCCCAGGAAAGCCCAACCGCTCAATGGGCGGGATATTCCCGGAGCAGCCATTGTCGGCGGCATATCCCGTGGTCAAGTTCAGCTTCTCTGCGGGGGTGAGCTTATCCACAAACACTCTGGCCTTTTGGTAGGCAGATGCCCAGGATCCAGAGCCGGTTCCTTCCGCTGGATAATTTCAATAAGCCTCGCTGGTGCAAAGCAAGAAGGGATATTATCTTACGTGATGGATAGACTGGCGGAGACTGGCCGTAGAAATAAGTGTCACTTGTAATGTTTTCAGCTTGAGTGACCGAGGTCAGAGACAGGCTGAGCAATAGCCCCAACGCGCAGGTTGTGGGTCCCATAGTGATGGTTGAATCGGTGCCGGTCTGGCTGTTATGGTACTCCGGCCACCCAATTTATAGCTCGGGGCCTCGCGGGTGGCTATGAGCACAATCGCGACTCATCAATTTGACTTCGACGTCACCTTCCCCCTCTCTGCTCGGATTGCATTGGCCCGGGCTAATATCGGTTCTCGATCTGGCACCAGTCACGTCGCAGCGGCCGAAGTGGGGAATGGTGCCGTGTTGAATCTGCTGGCGAGAATCTTGCGGGGGCACAACCATGTCATTCGTCGTCCAGAGCAGGATCTCGCGCGTGTGGTGCACATTCCATCGCCAATAGTTCCGAGTCGGGGCAATGCGCACGCTGATCCAGCTTGCCGAGGGAGCCGTGCCATGCGTGACATCGTCGTGTATCAGCACGACGTCGTATGCTCTGCTCCAGACACACTTTGTTTGTGCTGTGCTTGACTGCAATAGTCATCATCTACCCCTGGCGGAGCCACCCGCTTCCCCGCTCCTTCACAGATTGACGCTGTGGGGCTCTCTCGATGGCCATGGATAATTGTGGTCGGCTCTACTTGCTTTAAAAGAGTGTGTCACCTTGTCTAAACAGCGTCAAGAAAGATTTTGGATGGTGTTGTTGAAGCCTGACATGGTGATAATAAGAATAGTCGTATCGACTAATATTGCACCACCTCTATTCCAAGTCGGCCATGCGAGCGAGTATTCCCAAGAAAGGAGTGCGAGAATAGTCTTGACGGTTGCCAGCACTGCTAATGGGCGCTATTTCTGCAGCCACAAGTTCCGAGTTGCCAATGGGTGTTTCACGCTTTTCCTATGGCTGCCTTCAATTTGTGACATGTGGGATTTGCAAAGGCCTATATTGGGATGTCTGACAAAAACGCAGCTCTATTTCGTCCATGTTATGACCGGGCACGATCAATCCCTAAGCCATAGCGTGAGTCCCGGTCAGTAATCGTATATATTGGAGTATCACGGCTGGAAGATATGTAGTTGGCCTGAATGGTTGAAAACAAACTCTGAATCACTCACACAGATTCTAAAAGCTATAACATCCATAAATTGAGCTAGTAGTAGCTAGGTAGCTTTTTCATTACCTTAGTACGTTGGGAGCGAAACTGGGTGCAGAACCTAAATAGGAAGTCCTCCCAAATGGGTATTTCACGTGACCGGCCCAATCATCTTCCGCCTCGGGGACTTTTGCGGATTCGTCATCTTGGAGTGTAAGTCTCCTGCAAATTCTTTTTCGTGGTGTTTCTGCGAGATCCATACAATAGGCTTGACCGACCCGCAATTTTCCTTTCGGAAGTCATGGCTATTCGTCTCAATCAGGTGGGCGGATCGAATGGATTTCAAAGCAGCACGGTGGAGTCAACAAGATGCCGATGATATGTAAACCGCGCCGAAGCAGCTGCTAGTCTTGACAGGACAACATCTTCTTTCACCATTCCGACTATCGACATGGCCTTGCCGGATGTGGATAACCGCCCTGCCGAGGGCATCTCGTACTTCACGCCGGCGCAGATACCTGCGGCCGGCTCTGCAGCCCGTCCGCAGTCCAATGGCCAAGAACCACCCAAGCTCTTTCAGCCCTTCACCATCCGCGGCGTAACTTTCCCAAACCGCATTGGCGTAAGCAGTCAACCATGCATTATAAGAAATGCCCATCGGCTAACGCATGCAAAAGCTGTCCCCGCTGTGCCAGTACTCGGCACAAGATGGTGCCATGACCGACTGGCATCTAGCCCATCTAGGCGGAATCGCCCAGCGCGGCGCAGGCTTCCTCATGATCGAGGCCACCGCCGTCTTGCCAGAGGGACGGATCACGCCCCAGGACCTGGGATTGTGGAAAGACGAGCAAGTTGCACCGATGAAGCGTACCATCGAGTTTGCCCATAGCCAGGGCCAAATTATTGGCGTGCAGATTGCCCACGCTGGTCGCAAAGCGAGCACCATTGCTCCGTGGCTCTCCGGCGCCGTGATCGCGACCGAGCAGGTGGGTGGCTGGCCAGACCAGGTGAAGGGCCCGAGCGATGTGCCATTCGCAGCCTCATTCCCACAACCTAAGGCGATGAGCAAGGCGGACATTGAAGAATTCAAGGCCGCCTGGGTGGCTGCCGCCCGGCGCGCGGTGGCCGCTGGGGCTGATTTTGTGGAGATTCACAATGCTCACGGCTATCTCTTGTCCTCTTTCCTGCACCCCTCTGCCAACCGCCGGACCGATGAGTATGGCGGTACCTTCGAGAATCGGATTCGTCTGACCTTGGAGGTCGCAAAATTGACTCGAGACGCAGTGGGACCGTCTGTACCAGTCTTCCTACGCGTGTCTGCAACGGACTGGCTGGAGAATAGCCTGCCAAACGAACCTGGCTGGCGCTCCGAGGACACAGTCCGCTTAGCCGAAGCGCTTGCCACCCAGGGCGCCATCGACCTCCTGGATATCAGTACCGGCGGCGTCCACGAAGCGCAGAAGGTCACTTCGGGGCCCGGGTTCCAGGCGCCGTTTGCCATTGCCGTCAAGAAGGCGGTAGGAGACAAGCTGGCGGTTGCCGCCGTGGGCACCATTGACTCGGCGCATTTGGGAAACAAGCTTTTGGAGGAGGATGGCCTGGACTTTTCGTTGGTCGGTCGCGGATTTCAGCGCGATCCTGCCATCGTATGGACTTGGGCAGCTCAGCTGGGCGTGGAAATCGCCATGGCAAACCAGATCCGCTGGGGATTTGCGCGGCGGCGCGATGGTCAAACCTATCTCAAGACGAGCACCGTCAAAGGGTCCATTTTCGATTGATCGGTCATGTACACTGTTCGTAGCTGGGTCTATACCCTAGATTATAGACGATAGAATTCATATACGTACCTAGAGGGAGATGGTTTTGCTGAGACTAGCCTAAACGGGACAGGAAGGAGCTATCGGTATGCCGATCCAGACGCGGGCCGGCTGTGTGTGGCGCTCTAGACTAGTTACATGCATAGAATCACCTTCATCGTTTTCGGGCATCAGACAGCCCTTTTTCACTACTCGAAGTAGTCAACACTGATGAGACATCACGAATCTCCACATCATCTGTACCTTCATTCACCGAGTGCCGCGACTGTCCGCGTCCCGCCTCTGAGACCTCTTCTGACTTCGTTCCCGCGCCCTGACACACCAAGTCCGCCGTCCCTTTGTGGGCGACTCCACAATGCCATCTTCTCCTGTTTCTCCCACACTTTCTAAGTGGAGCCTCGCCATCCAGCGCGAGACCCTACGGCCCGGTCACAATTTAACCGAGCAAATTCAACCGAGCAAATCCACCGATTAGCCAAGCCTCCGCCAATGACGTGACGGTGTACTCCTCCCCGGGATCCTGCTCCACGCTCCTCCGCATTCGCGCCTGTCGATCGTTTCCGCTCACAGGGCTGTGCCTTGGCCTCGGAGTGGTGCGATGACGTGCCGGACGGCCGCGTCGCCTTCACAGCGCAATATTTAGCCCGATATGGAGCTCCACATCTATGCCGATTTCATTATATATACGGTTCTCCGCCGCGCGTCCAAATGGTGTTACAACTGTAGGTAGGGTCATCTGGGTTACTTCGCAATCATGTATCGCATCACCAACATCTACGGTATGTTTCCTTGAGTTTTGTGGCCGCAAGAGACAGAGCTAATATGCTTCAGCCCTCGCTGCGTTCGGCACCATCGGTGGAGCCCTTTTTGGCTTCGATGTGAGGTATGAATCTCACCCTATCTTCTCCCATGAAATAGAAAGACAATGTGTTCCCTAACGGTAAAACTAGTTCGATGAGCGCCTGGATCGGCGCCCAGCAATATATGGACTATTTCGGCTCCCCCGATTCAAATCTCCAAGGTGGAGTATGTCTCAACCCCTCCAGTCTCTCAATACAGAGCTCATGCCGACACAAAACAGATCACTGCGTCCATGTCTGCTGGCTCCTTTGCCGGTGCTATCGGAGCAGGCTGGTTGTCCGATCATCTTGGCCGGCGCTACGCCCTCATGATCGCCTCGGTGGTGTGGATTATCGGTGCAATGGTCCAGTGTAGCGCGCAAAATGTCACGCACCTAGTCGCTGGCCGTGTGGTCAGCGGTCTTGCCGTCGGGGTCACCTCGTCACAGACATGTGTCTACTTATCAGAATTGGCGCCGGCACGGATCCGCGGGCGCATCGTCGGCATGCAGCAATGGGCCATCGAATGGGGTATTCTGATCATGTTCCTGATTGCGTACGGCTGCCATGTTGGCCTGCCCGGCCCGGCGGCATTCCGCGTTTGCTGGGGTGTGCAAGCGATCCCCGGCCTTGTTCTGTTCATCGCGCTCTTCTTCTTCCCCGAATCGCCTCGCTGGTTGGCCTCCAAGGAACGGTGGGAGGAGGCTCTACAAACCCTGGCGGATCTCCATGCCAAGGGTAATCGTGAAGATGTCGCTGTCCAAGTAGAATTTGAGGAGGTCCAGGAGGCGGTCCATCTGGCTCATGAGGCGAAGGATCTTTCGTTCCTGTCCATGTTTGGACCTCGAGTCTGGAAACGCACTCTGTGCGGAATGTCAGTCCAGATGTGGCAGCAACTGCTCGGCGGAAACGTTGCTATGTATGTTCTCGCCCGTTTTCTGTGAGCTCGGTCCCTAACTCGGCTTCCAGGTACTATGTTGTCTATATCTTTGAGATGGCTGGCATGGTATGTCTTTCTTTCCTTCTTCTTGCTCCCTCGAAATTTGGCGACTTTTGGAAGAAACTGACCTAAGCAGACCGGCAACACGACTCTCTGGTCATCCGCCATCCAGTACGTGATTTTCCTGGTTACCACAGGCTTCATGCTTCCAATCATTGATCGCGTCGGTCGGAGATTGCTCCTGCTGATTGGAGCTGTGCTTTGCATGGCTATCCACTTTATCATTGCGGCGGTCATGGCCACCAAGGGCCATGCCGTGCCGAACGTAGACGGTAACTCAAATCTTACCTGGGAGATCAAGGGATCTGCAGGCATGGCAGTTATTGCCTTTTCTTACATATTTACCGCTGTTTACGGACTTACCTGGGTATGTTGATCCTCATGGTTGATGTCAACTCCCACTGACCTCTACAGGCCCCCGCTGCGTGGATCTACGCCGCAGAAGTCTTTCCACTGAAATATCGTGCCAAGGGAGTAGGAATTTCAGCCGCCACCAACTGGATTTTCAACTTTGCACTGGCGTACTTTGTCGCCCCGGCCTTCCACAACATCCAGTGGAAAACCTATATCATTTTCGGGGTCTTCTGTACCGTCATGACCTTCCAGGTGTTCTTCACATATCCGGAGACAAAGGGTCGCACCCTTGAGGAGATTGATATGGTCTTTGACACGGATGTCAAGCCGTGGAACACCAATGAAATCCATGATAAGTTTGGCGAGGAGATTGAGCGACACATGGGTAAAAGTGGCAAGGACGCCCCTGGCGTCAGCCATGCAGAGGAGGTTTGAGCTGCTCCTGAATGACAGATTTGTTAAGGACAGACCACTGTCGGTGATGATACCGAGCATATGAAATGAATTTAGATATAGAACGTCGGCCACGCGCCAGTATTTTGTATACGCCCGGTTCTATATCTTTCTACCTTTATGTTTCTCTCTCTCTCTCTCTCTCTCTGTGTGTGTGTGTGTGTTTGGCATTATTATGCGTACGGTTTAGGATGCATGTTGGTGTAACACTCTATGAGATCTATCTATCCCTAATTTCTATCCATGTCAAAAAGAAATAAATACAAAACCAGAAATAAAGTCTACAGCTTGCTCTTAGGCGGCTGGTTCTTGAGGAGTGCCTCATTCCACGGATACGGGTCAAATACCAGATCATTGACCGGGTTCTCCTGGCTGGCACGGCGGAACAGGTCCTCATAAACCTCGCCGTCATACCGCCCCAGACTGCTATCAAGTTGCCAGTCAGGGATGGCCCAGGCATCGACCAAGCGGATGGCATGCGGCCTGATCTCGTCCAGCAGCTTCATCACTGCCGTGGTGCGCGTGAGCGTGATTTGTCGCACCGTGACGGCACCCGACGAGAAGAACTCGGCGGCCTCGCGCTCAAGGGTGTGGAGCGCGTAAAGGCGGAACAGTTGGTGCATCAAGGCCTTAGTCTCCGGGTCCAGGGATGCCGACAGCTCAGGAGAAGAGACGGACTCGTAGAAGTTTTTGACTACCAGGTACTGGGAGTGAGCGGTCGACAAGCGCCAGAAGTCAACCA